CCCCATGCCCCTTGCCTTATCGCCTTGCTACCTTATCACACGGTACGTTGGCGGCATTGCCAAAGAGAGAGAGAGAGAGAAAGAGACAGAGAGAAAGCATCGTGACATAAAATTAATGCCCAACCGACAATTTTAATCGGCAACAATTTTTGTCTTGAGTTATGGCTGGAAACGAAACGAAGCGAAACGAAACGGCAAGTCGCACCCTTGGACGAGGTCGCGAAAACTTTGCTGCAAAGATTTTCAAGTTTTCGGAGAAATAAGGCAACGCAGCCAGCAGCATAGAGAGGAGAGGCATTCGAAGGACATGCAAACGTGCAGACATTCAAGCAGCCAGCCAGCCAGCCGGATGCGTATATTTAAAACTTATTAAATTGCTATAATTTATACGACTTATCTTGTGGGCGCTGGCGTCTTCGTCTTCGCCTCGAGGGTGGCTTTAGACTCGTAAAATACTCGACAAAAAATCGTATGGCAGAGCTAAAGGCGCACACGGCGACAGTTCGAGGCAAAGGCAATTAATTTACATGCAAATCGTGCTCAAACTTTTTAGCCCCAGTCCAATAAAAAATCCAGTGTCTGCCTTAAAGTATTCTGCGCTTAAAGGCTAATACAACCCACCCACCCACACGCCCTCACACACACACTCACTTGATTAGTGCGCCTCCTGTTGTGCGCAGCCTGTTTAAAACAATATGGCGAGAGCTGAGCACCGCGAGCAACGAGAAAAGCGAAAAGCGAGGCCTACGACCCTTTTGGGACTGCGACTCACGCGCGTCGATGTCGACAGGTTGTAGTACCTTAAAGGCGCTGCGAGCTCCATACCTGCCTCCTTGTCATTGTCCTTGTCGTTGTTATTGTTTTTCTTCTTGTCTATTCCGGCCTAACAAATTGCAATTTTTTGTTGGTTCCTTTTTGTATTGTTGTTGATTTATTGTACAAAAACAACAATGGGCACAGTGCAAACTGAGTGCACATTAAACATTCCGTAATGAGTTTAAAGTTTATAATGGAATATTTGATTATGCCAAAGGCGGTGTTCGTTGGATTCCTCGACCTTTCAGAAAATGCCATATAAAGCATCGTAATTACAAAAGACGGATTATTCGATCTACTGAAAGCGACTGCCTTTGCCCAAGTTGATGAGTCTTTGTGCATACGCCTTGATTTACCCAAACTAAGAAATGTGCCCAGCTGCTGACGCTTTCTGTTACCAATTCATCAGAAGCTCTTATGCCAAGGTTTTCGTCTCCTGCTGCTGCTGATTCAAACCCTTTTCCACACTTGTGTAAATCTCTTAAGCTGCAAACACTTTGTACATAAAGTAAATTTGTATCTTCAATGTCTGTCTCTGTTTTCTTTTTCAATTTCCACAACATAAAACGCGGCCATTAAACGCTTTAAAATCAACATCAGCTCTGCGACGACAGGGGCAATAAAGTCGATCCGAAATTGCTTCCTCCGCACATAAAATCCAACAACATGGCGAGCCCCAAAATCGTCCTACATGCCTAAATTCCTTTACACAACACCAAACACACCCGAACACATATATACATACACAATTACTGAGCTTTGCGCACAAACACAGCAAAAGTTAACGAAACACTTTACCATTCGCCTGATTTCCACACCCCTCCAAGGCCCCTCTGTCTGGCACATCCCCTACCACGCGCTCTGCCCACTTAATACTTAAATGCAAACGTGTAAATTATGTGATTTTTCCCCGGCGGCCATGTTTGTTTGCAAACTCCATTACCAACATGGCGGGAACTTCCTTCTGCCTCGAAATATGCCCCTTCATGCTCCCACCTCGCCACACATTCACCTGTTTGTTTCGAAGAATCGTCGCGTTTTACCATTAAAAGCGAAAAAAAACCTATCCAAGAACCCCTTTATGTGTTTTTCATGTACTTTTATTTGATTGTCGCACGCTTCGACGCTTCGCAGAGCGGCCTGCTAGGCGGGGGCGGGGGCGGGGGTAATTTATAGCCCTCTTTTAGTGCTTAAAATATTAGCAAATGTTCATTAACGACTATTCAAATTGGCGTTAGTCAGGCTCACTTTAAGCACTGAGCGAGTATTGCAATTACTCAAAAGTACTTAACACACAATTGCAGAGCGGAAAGGTTTTTTAACTGCCCAACGATAGTGCGTTTAATTGAAGTCAACGCCGAACAAGGTGCGCAGCTCGGAGCAATCATAAAAATCCATGCCCTCCCAGTCTCTGTCTCTCTGTGATATGATATCCATTCACTTAGAGAACATCGAAGCAAGCAAGGCTAAAAGGAAGGACAACAAATTAAAATTAAGTCCATCCCCACGGCGACTGGATGCAGCATAGTGTTTATTAGACTAGAGCAACACCTCGGCAAGTGGCACACGCATAAAATATAAATTTGTAATTTTAATATTATTAAAAATGTTAAATTGCACGCAGCATAAATCTCATTTTGGCTTGTGGGCAACTCTTGAGGGATGCGGCATGAGGAATGTGGGGTTGGGTGGTTGGTTGGAGGACGATGGCATAAATGCGACAGCTTGTTGGCTTCATTGTGGCCCAGGGGTTGCGACAAACACTTACACTCTTGCACACACGCAAACACACCCAGACACAGAGACACACACACACACACACACACACACACACACACACACACACACACACACACACACACACACACACACACACACACACACACACACACATACACACACACACACATATTGTGCGCATTATACAATAACCATTACTGGCAGCTGCGTTTGCCACACTATTTTTATTGTGCCCTCTTTATGTGTTGCTTTAATTTAAGCGATTTGCTTTGGGTTCATAAAATAGCCACAGGCTTAACGAGCCAAACGTCAGCATGTTCTCCAGTCAAGTTGTATATGCATATTTTTTATGAAATTATAAATGCAATTAAATAAATAGATAATGATTTAATTCATAAAGCTCTCTCACTCCCTCTCTCTCTCTGGTATAAATATCTCTCTGCATCCTTCGACACTCCACAATAACAAGAATTTAACCGCTTTTGACCCATTCAATCGATAAATGGAGGGTAAGCTTTATCGCACCGGCCATTTATTTAATGAGCCAGCTGCAAGTAGCAGTTTCATCCAAAGAGCCATCTATTCGCTCCCACTTTAGTATCCCGTTTTTTAAAAGTACCCAATACCCATTAACTTGAGGGAATTTATTTCAGCAATTGCCAGCGCCGACTACCGACTGCTATTATGCGTTCGTTAATTATTCACACACACACACACACACACGCAGAGCTCGAATCGCAGCACGTTTCGGTCATAAAAGTAGCCCCCTATAAATGACACGCCCCTAACGTGGGCGTCTAGCCTGAAAAGAGCCAAATCGCTTAACCTTCGCTCCCTAACACAACTGCCTCCGCAGATCTATGGATATTTATGCATTCCTTCATCAACACTCCCAAAACTCACCCTAGCCCATATGCAGGAAATCTTGACATTAAATAAATCTAGCATAGAGCGTATAAAAGCTTATAGTGGGCATCTTTAATACACACAGACAACCAACCAACCAGCCAAACCAACCACCCACCCACACACACATGTGTAAAAAATGACGCAGACATTATTCACGCTATCATTGCACGCAGCAGGGCAGACAGACAGACAGTCGGACCGAGTAGCGTGGAAGCCAAACGGTTGGGTAGGGAGGAGAAAGTATGAGGCGACCCGACCATTTTGGAAATGCTTTGGCTATATTCATTTCAGGCTGGCCACCCGAACTATGCTCGCCTGGATTTGTCGCAGTCGCTTTAACTCATATATCCAAACACATCCACAAACAAATGGAAATTTCAGCGGCATGAGGACGCTTAGCTAGGAGTTTCATTAGTTCGTCTGCTCAGTTAGCGAACAAAGATGGAATCCACCTTCACATGACCATAAATACGTACGCACTGGCATTAATAGCACATGAGCTTAACTGTGGGTGATCAGTCAGGGATACCAATAAAATCATTAGGGTTCTCTGTTCTCTTGTTGCTTGCAGTTCCAAGCTTAAAGCTGTATAGTAAAGTAATATTTTCTAGTGATTTGCTATGTTGCTATGACCAAGATAAGTCTTTGGCGCGCAGCCCTTAAAATTTTAAATATCAACTCGCATTGTATAAGCAAATCTCCTGTCCATACACACACATGGTCACACGGTCACACGGTCACATGGTCACATGGTCACATGGTCACATGTACACATTCTTTTTTCACTGGCTGTTCCTTGGGATTTGTTTAGGCATAATCGAATCATCATCAAGTCGTCAACAAGTGATTTCTATTTACCAGACACTACGTACTGTATGTACTGTAGTTCTAGCCAGTCCTATTCTTGGCATCACCTCAGTATTCATCGCTTTTGTTTACTGCTTCTTTATAGCCCACACCTATTTATATTGATATGATACAAGCAGATTAATATCATTTATGGCACATTGTGTAGCAAAGCAAATATTTCCGATCGTACTAAGTGGGTTATACTCTTCTTACTTTTTTTCCGAGGGTCAATCCTGATTGACATGAGAAAATAAATTAAGTATTAGCATTTTCCTAAGTAAGACCAAGTACTTCTCCACATTCGTTAAAAATCTGATTCTTAACCAGCAAGAGTTAATCGATAAAATATCGAAAATTACGTAGTATCCATCGAACTCAATTTCTTTTAATCTTCATTCATTAATTTTTTACGGTTTCTGTATTGGACACTTTCCCTTCTATCACATTCACTGAATTGGATTTCCCATTTCCCATTCCATTTCCATTTTTTTCATTCTTTTTCGTTTATTTGAGGCTCTGTTCAATGTCAGTTTGTTATCCTTGCACAAATCCTTTTACACAAATGAAATTTGGACCAAAGAACGATAGGCAAAATACAGTTATGTTTAAAGTTGATTTGGCAGCGAGATGCTCCGAGTTATAATACTAGACTAACGCCATTTCCTTCTCTATATTTTTGACTACAGATATCAACAAGGGCTCACCCATCGACTACAAAAGCGGATCAGCCTGTTCCACACCCACAAAAGACACGCTGAAGGGCGGCTACGAGCGCAGCACGCAAGGCTGCATGGGCCCGGTGCTGCCGCCAAGGAGCATGAACGGGATGCCTACGCACCATTATTCGGCGCCGATGAACTATCGCAAGGATCTGGCCGAGCGCTGCTCAGCCCAATGCAACTGGGCTAGCATCGTCGCGTTAGCGGTCCTGGGTGTAATTGTTCTCTTGATAGTCGGGCTAACGTGCTCCGGTACTCTGCGCTGGTCGCCGTCGGCGCCATGCCCAGTTCTAGTCGGCAACGAGGTCTCTGAGGTGACGGCTGCCAAGAGCACCAACACTGATTTATCCAAGCTGCACAATGCATCGGTACGCGCGAAAAATGGTCAAGGCATAGGAATCGTACAGGGACAGGCTGGAGGGGGAAGTGCAACGGCGACCGTCACAGCGGCCACATCGAATAGCGGGACTGCTCAAGGATTACAGTCGACATCCACCTCGGCAGAGGCCACCTCTTCGGCAGCGGCGGCCACTGCAACGTCCTCCTCGTCTTCGTCGCTTACGCCTTCGACTTCCCTATCCTCATCCTTGGCAAATGCCAATAATGGAGGTAATTATGCACAAGTTTTAATTATTTTTAAATGAGTTTCCGCAAGTTTTTGCGAAACTTAAGGTAAGGAAGTTAAACGAAATAAAAGCGAGAGGGAGAATGCTAGGCAAGAGACCGAGAGATGTATTAAGCGCTTACGGGAGGCGCTTAGCACGCGGTCAAAACTTTATTTATTTATTTTAGATCCTGAGCCGCAAGTTTTTCTTTCTTTGCGTTTGACAGAATCGTCTTAAATCAAGCCGTTCAAATATTGATGGCCAATGCCGCTTCCATTATCCCTCCTTGCCAAGGAGAATTCACTCGTCTAAGTCTTATTATCAACAAACAAGTTGATCGAGTTAATTCAAATATTTTTATTTTCTGGCCTAATTAGCTCAGTGATGCTGCATCTATCGAATTTCAGCGCTGAGTCTTTTAAAACTAGTTTCTTAAGCAATCTCTCAGTGCGTATAGTTTGGAATGTGTGATGAAATAGTTAATTGTAGTTGAGCACTTACCCATATCACAGACGTCACACTTGCACATACTCCAACATGGGTCTTAATCTTCAATTCATGTCAATATATACATCCACAAGCCTTCCATAGTGGCTCCATATTTTGCCCGTTCTCAATGTGTTGTCAAAATGTCAGCAAATTTAAAGCGCTCTGGTTTGTTCCGCAGGACATAATTTATTGCTTAGCCAGCGAAAGTGGATTTGATTTTCAGATTTTGGGCTATGTATTTTTAGGTCAGAGTGCACACATGACACTTCACATTTGGCAATTAAGCTGTCAAATGTTGACGTGCCCCCGTATTGTATTACTTTGTAGGTCTCTGCCGTTTTTTCTCTTGCTGTCTTCCTCGCTCTCTCTCTATATATATACCCGCGTTCTAATCGACGCAGCGTGGTAGTTGGTGGTGGGCTAAAAACCTGTCAGATTGTCCCACACATTTTTTCTGACAATCTGCCTGGTTGGAAATGATTTAAAAATAAATGATATGCCTAAATTAAGCAAATGTAGTTGAGTTGCCCGGCGCGGGGTTCATTTTAAAATATAGAAGCTAACCACAGTGGGACAAGGTAATACTCTAACTCTCAACCACTCATCCAAATAACCATAGCAAGTAAAGGAGGCACGGGAGCAGTGTCAACACGGCTGTCTGTCAATAAGGCTGGAAACAAACGACACCGCAATGAAAGAAGCTTAATGGAGTGGCAGGGGGTGCGGAATGATGATGATGATTTAGCTGCAGAAACTTTTAGCGACTTAATTACAAGAGCAACTGGAGTTCAGGCACAAAAGTATTTGGCTTTGACAGCGATGCCAGCATCGCAATATTCCAGCATGCAGCGGCCCGGGGAGCCAACTGTCATCGCTTTGGATGCCCAGCAAAGCAATTACGATAAAACTTTGCACAAAACCGATAAAATATTGAAACTTGAGCAGAGCCAAGGTGATGCCTTTGTAGACGACGACATCAGCGACTATGAGTATGAAGATGAAAGCGAAGATGAGCCCAAGAAGGAGACAACAGTGCGGCCAGTGCCTAAGACTAGGCAACGATTTAGCAAATCATTAAACGGCGATTTGCGTAAAGCAGGTAAAACACTTGCCAAACCCCAACGGAAGTTTCAGCTTGCTGAGACTGCCGATACCATCGACATCGAGTCAGATACTGAGGGAAGCAGTGTTGCTTCTGTTATTGATGACTATAATCAAACTGACAGCACCATCAGCAGAAGCACGGAGGGCTCAGCGCTGACAACGACGTCAGTAAGTGACAACGATGACGTTGTTGAAATCGACACCACCGAAAAGAAGGAGAGGATGTCCTCAGCCGTCTACATTATTGAAAATGATTTTCAAATCAAACATAATACAGAACCACAAGCTGCAGCTGAAGTTGAAGCGAAGCAGAAATCTGATGTTAACGATAACAATAATGAGCGTGATTTACTGGATAACTACGAGGAGAACAGCAATACGGGGCAGCCACCCCCACAAAGTATAAATCAAACGGTGTCCGATGTAATGCTGAGCGATGCAGCACTTTTAGATAATGACGATATCGATATAGTCAAATTAGACGAAACGCCCGCCTCCAATGAAGTTAACCTTTACAAGACGGCTGAGCAACCCAGACAAAGCCCGCCGCAGCCTCCGCCAGCGAGTGAAAATGAGGTATTCAAAGATCAAGACAATGTTTTACCGGCACGATTAACACCACTGAAGCCGTATGTCAGTGAGCGCATTGATCGGCCCAGCAAGCGTATTTTGGTAAATCTGACTATCGCCACAGATGGCGACAGCTCTTCCGTCTATACGCTTCATGTGGCTGTGCCGACCGGCGACGGGCCCCAGAACGTGGAGCAGGTACTGACCCACGAAAAATTGGCTGGCGGGAATAACAATAATATGGACCATGGGGGCTCCTGTGTGTTTGAGCCGCCGCCACGTATGCCCGATTGCCCCTGCAGTTGCCTGCCCCCTGAGCCACTAATTTTCGCGGACAACGACGAGAACCCGGTTGACATTGACTCTGCCATCCCAACGACACCGACACCGACACCGACACCGCATGCAGAGGAAGCTACTATCTTAAGCCATCTCAATGAGTCGAGTGATAGCGAGAAGGAATATCTGTCTGACCTCACCGTTACTAACCCTCCTACCACTGACACCAATAACAGCATTGCCGCTTCTGAAACTAGTTCCGATGTTCGTGAAGGTGAAAAGTTTGCATGCCCCGATGTTATGCCTATACTCATACTGGAAGGTGATTGTACTCTCTGCTTTCGATGCTAACCTCACTTTAAGTGCTTCAACTAACCCATCAATTAATGAAGTAGCCATACATGCAGCCCATAGCTGATTAGAATACTCTAACCATAAGAATCATAATCACATTCTAATCCCTAATTACTCCCGCATCTGTACAAAAAACCTTCAAGCATGAACTTCTGGCACCAACATCTGGCTGGCTGTAGAACGAACAGCTTCATCTACTAACGAGAAACTCGACATCTAAGCAACTCTATATGTGTGATATACAAAACTTAATCAGCCTCACTTAATGATCTCGCATCATCATGTCATATAAGTCCTTATATATATATACCACATCGAATATATAAGCATTCCATATTTAAATCTTGAATTTAAATCAATTAACCCAAATGTGAATTGTTTTTGTGTTTGTTTTCATCATCGATTCACTCCTCACAAATGCTGCACGCGCTTCGCCAGGTGCTCGCACGTTCCCGGCGCGAAGCTTTCCGCCAGATGGCACTACCTTTGGCCAAATAACGTTGGGTCAAAAGCTAACAAAGGAAATCCAACCGTACAGCTATTGGAATATGCAATTTTATCAATCAGAGCCGGCTTACGTTAAATTCGACTACACCATTCCAAGGGGTGCATCCATCGGGGTTTACGGGCGTCGTAACGCGCTACCCACGCACACTCAGTACCATTTCAAAGAGGTTCTTAGTGGCTTTAGCGCCAGTACACGCACCTCCAGGGCAGCACATGTAAGTAATAACTACCCGGGTCTATGTCCACTAACACTTTAACTAACTAATTTCACTTTATGTGCTTTTCATGAACCACCTAATTGTCATATGTCACATACACACCACATAATAACCTTCTGCGGACCGCTCCCTTGCTTGCTTGCCACCGCCAGCTTTCCATAACTCGGGAGGTGACACGTTATATGGAGCCAGGGCACTGGTTCGTCTCGCTCTACAACGACGACGGGGATGTACAGGAGTTGACTTTCTATGCAGCCATAGCAGAAGACATGACGCAGAACTGCCCGAACGGGTGCTCCGGAAATGGGCAATGCCTACTGGGACATTGCCAATGCAATCCTGGCTTCGGAGGCGACGATTGCAGTGAGAGCGTCTGCCCTGTGCTGTGCTCGCAGCATGGCGAGTACATCAATGGCGAATGCATTTGCAATCCGGGCTGGAAGGGCAAGGAGTGCTCGCTGCGCCACGACGAGTGCGAGGTGGCCGACTGCAATGGGCATGGGCATTGCGTTAGTGGCAAATGCCAGTGCATGCGCGGCTACAAGGGCAAATTTTGCGAAGAAGGTAGAACTCAGTAGTTCAGCTAAACCCAAGACATTCCTCCACCCTCAACCGCATCAAATCCAATTGCGCCTAATACTTGTTCTTTTCTCTCCTCAGTGGACTGCCCACATCCCAACTGCTCAGGACACGGCTTCTGCGCTGACGGCACCTGCATCTGCAAAAAAGGCTGGAAGGGCACTGACTGTGCCACCATGGACCAAGACGCACTGCAATGCCTGCCCGACTGCTCGGGTCATGGTAACTTTGATCTGGACACCCAAACCTGTACATGCGAGACCAAGTGGAGTGGCGACGACTGCTCCAAGGAGCTGTGCGACCTCGACTGTGGCCAGCACGGTCGTTGCGAGGGCGACGCCTGCGCCTGCGATCCGGAATGGGGCGGCGATTACTGCAACACGAAGCTGTGCGATAGTCGCTGCAACGAGCATGGTCAGTGCAAGAACGGAACGTGCCTGTGCGTAACTGGCTGGAATGGCAAACACTGCACCATCGAGGGCTGTCCCAACAGCTGTGCAGGCCATGGCCAGTGTCGGGTGAGCGGCGAGGGTCAGTGGGAATGCCGCTGCTACGAAGGCTGGGACGGACCAGACTGTGGTATAGCACTGGAGCTCAACTGCGGCGATAGCAAGGACAATGATAAGGGTATGTATTTGATGTTCGAATGATGTAAAGGAATCCATTTCAAACCATACTTTACCCAATAGATGGCCTGGTTGACTGCGAAGATCCGGAGTGCTGCGCGAGCCACGTGTGTAAGACATCCCAGCTCTGTGTATCGGCACCGAAGCCCATCGATGTTCTCCTGAGGAAACAACCGCCGGCAATTACAGCCTCATTCTTTGAACGCATGAAGTTCCTGATCGACGAAAGCAGCCTGCAGAATTATGCCAAGCTGGAGACATTCAATGAGAGGTAGGTGCTTCCTTGTAGCCAATTTGCTGCCCATCGTTTTTAGTTTAATTCGACAAATTGTTGGGAAAGTTAAAGTGTATAGTTTTCAGAATTGGCAAGAGGCCCGAAGAGGCGCCATATTTCCTGTATATTACAAAACATTTAGCTGAATTTCATATGTACTACCAATCAAATATTAATCAAAATAGTTTGCATAATTAATATTTTTATGTGTTTAAATATTTATGTTTTTCGTTATCGTGCCCTCGTCTAAAACAAATCCCTATAAAAAGGCAAGACAATGCTATACACAAAATTCCCAATTCCCAGTGAAACCCTTGTAAATAAATCCCCACATGTCCTTTGTTCTATACTAAACCGTAAAACTAAACAAACCAAATCAAATGAAATCTTTGTAATCGACGCAAATTTAAGGTATACAAATAAGCTTATGTTAAACCATTAAGAATCTCAGGTATATGAATAACTTAGATTAGCTCTTAAGTACACCTTTCACAAGGAGTTGATATCATAATCACCTCACCCTCGTTACACAGTACTGGTTCCAGACCCACTCTTCCGATGCTCAATTGATGTTTAGCTAATTAAGTCAAGGCTTCTTGTGAAGGGTTCGGCAAAATTTCGGTATCATCGAAAGCAAAGATCTAACTTTGTTTCGGGTTTCATAACACTATCAATTCTAGTAAAAACAACAAAAAGATAAGACTAAGACAACGACAACCATGCTAATTCAAATATTTTTCTCTCTGCTCTCTTTTTCTTCTCATCACGCGTGCCCTAAATTCGAAAAAATGTTGAATCAATACCTTATAACTGTCACTACTACTCGCTCCTCCTAATACTACTACCACTACTCGATACTAATTCCCATAAAAATAAACATAAACACTCAAACCAACATTTGCGCAACCGAATTCCAAATGCTTTGTATTCTAACTAACGAATTCCATTCGCTACTTGTTGCTCTCGCTATAAATCAAAATCATATACTAACAGCATTTTTTGGAATTATTTCAATGCAAGGTAAGCAAGCGAAAACCGGTATTAAATAATACTAAAAATACTACAAATACTAATTCTCGATGGTTGTTTGGTACACTCATTTCATTTCAGTTATACAATTCTTATGATTTCCCTTGCTTTTAATTTAAGTAAAAAGAAAAACATTTTACTCTTATTTTATAGCGTAGTTTAAATAATTTTCTAAGCTGATTTTGTAGTTGTTTTTTTTTTCATTTTTGATTTTAATTAAACATATTGTGGGGTCCTATATGACTCACTCGTTACTTGACTCGCCAGACAACCAATCAAATATTTGAATTTTAATTTAACATACGTATAAGCTATATAAGCTGTTGTACTTAGGTCACTGCTAGGTCATACACAAAGCTATATACCAACAAAAAATATACATATATAAATACTATTTGTTCAAATTGTAAACCTTTGTATGTGTTGATACGAGTCTTATGTTATGTGCGTGTGAACTTTTATCATTTGTACTTATCGCATCATTTCTTTTCCAAAGTAGTTGCGAATCATACGTTCGATATGCTTGTTAGCCAGATGTATTTGTAGTTGAACCCGAGCTTAACAATTTAAGGCCCGACTAACGGTTTCATTTCGTTACTTCCCCAACAGCCGTTCAGCAGTAATCCGTGGACGAGTTGTCACCTCCCTGGGCATGGGGCTGGTGGGCGTGCGCGTGTCCACAACTACACTATTGGAAGGTTTTACACTCACTCGCGATGATGGATGGTTTGATCTAATGGTCAATGGTGGAGGCGCCGTGACTTTGCAGTTCGGACGCGCTCCGTTCCGGCCACAGTCACGCATTGTGCAGGTTCCATGGAACGAGGTCGTCATTATCGACGTGATGGTGATGAGCATGTCCGAGGAGAAGGGTGTGGCAATGGCAACGACGCACACTTGCTTCTCACACGACTATGATCAAATGAAGCCGGTGGTTCTGGCCTCATGGAAGCACGGCTTCCAGGGCGCCTGTCCAGATCGCAGTGCCATACTGGCCGAGTCGCAGGTCATTCAGGAATCCTTGCAAATACCTGGCACGGGCCTCAATCTAGTTTATCACTCCTCTCGCGCTGCGGGCTATTTATCGACTATTAAACTCCAACTGACGCCCGACACGATACCAGCTTCGCTGCATCTCATTCACTTGCGCATTACTATTGAGGGAATTCTGTTCGAGCGCGTTTTTGAGGCTGACCCGGGCATCAAGTTCACGTACGCCTGGAACCGCCTAAACATATATAGGCAGCGTGTGTATGGTGTCACGACAGCCGTGGTCAAAGTGGGTTACCAATATACCGACTGCAAGGACATCGTATGGGATATACAGACCACCAAACTGAGTGGGCATGACATGTCCATCTCAGAGGTGGGCGGCTGGAATCTGGACATCCACCATCGTTACAACTTCCACGAAGGAATTCTTCAGAAGGGCGATGGCTCCAACATCTATCTGCGCAACAAGCCTCGTATTATTCTCACTACAATGGGCGATGGCCATCAGCGACCCCTCGAGTGCCAGGACTGCGATGGCTTGGCTATGAAGCAGCGCCTGCTTGCTCCAGTTGCCTTAGCTGCCGCTCCAGATGGAAGTCTCTTTGTTGGAGATTTCAACTATATTCGCCGAATAATGACCGACGGTAGCATTCGCACAGTTGTTAAGCTGAACGCCACACGCGTCTCATATCGTTATCACATGGCCCTCAGTCCGCTTGATGGCACACTTTACGTGTCCGATCCAGAGTCCCATCAAATTATACGAGTGCGCGACATCAGTGACTATTCACAGCCGGAACAGAACTGGGAAGCGGTTGTGGGTTCTGGGGAACGCTGCTTACCCGGTGATGAGGCGCACTGCGGAGACGGCGCTCTCGCCAAAGACGCAAAACTGGCCTATCCCAAAGGCATTGCCATCTCCAGTGACAATATCCTTTACTTTGCGGACGGCACCAACATCCGCATGGTGGATCGGGATGGCATCGTAAGCACACTGATCGGCAACCACATGCACAAGTCCCACTGGAAACCGATTCCGTGTGAGGGCACCCTGAAACTGGAAGAAATGCACTTGCGCTGGCCAACTGAGCTCGCTGTGTCGCCAATGGACAACACGCTACATATCATTGACGACCACATGATTCTACGGATGACACCGGACGGACGTGTGCGTGTTATATCGGGACGTCCTCTGCATTGCGCTACAGCCACCACAGCATACGATACCGACCTGGCCACGCATGCTACTTTGGTTATGCCGCAATCCATTGCCTTTGCACCACTGGGCGAACTGTTTGTTGCAGAAAGCGACTCCCAGCGCATTAATCGCGTGCGCGTTATTGGCACGGATGGTCGTATCTCATCGTTTGCGGGAGCTGAGTCCAAGTGCAATTGCCTAGAGCGTGGCTGCGATTGCTTCGAGGCGGATCACTATCTGGCCACCAGTGCTAAGTTTAACACCATCGCAGCCTTATCGGTTACCCCCGACGGACACGTGCACATTGCCGATCAGGCTAACTACCGAATACGCTCCGTAATGTCAAGCATTCCTGAGGCGAGTCCATCCCGAGAGTACGAGATTTATGCGCCAGATATGCAGGAGATATACATCTTTAACCGATTTGGTCAGCACGTCTCCACTCGTAACATTTTAACTGGAGAAACCACTTACGTATTCACCTACAATGTCAACACGTCGAATGGAAAGCTGAGTACCGTAACGGATGCAGCTGGCAACAAGGTCTTCCTCTTGCGTGACTACACTTCCCAAGTGAATTCGATTGAAAATACCAAGGGTCAGAAATGCCGCCTCCGCATGACTCGCATGAAAATGCTGCACGAACTGAGCACTCCGGACAACTACAACGTCACCTACGAGTACCACGGACCTACGGGATTGTTGAAAACAAAGCTTGACTCGACAGGACGCTCTTATGTCTATAACTATGATGAGTTTGGACGTCTGACTTCTGCCGTAACACCGACTGGTAGAGTCATTGAACTGAACTTCGATTTGAGCGTGAAGGGAGCCCAAGTGAAAGTCTCGGAGAATGCACAGAAGGAGATATCGATGTTAATACAAGGAACCACTGTTATCGTTAAGAATGGAGCTACAGAGTCACGTACGACGGTAGAGATGGATGGTTCGACGACGAGCATCACGCCGTGGGGACACAATCTACAAATGGAAGTTGTTCCCTATACAATTTTGGCCGAACAGAGTCCACTATTAGGCGAAAGTTACCCAGTGCCAGCCAGACAGCGCACAGAAATTGCCGGAGATCTTGCCAATCGCTTCGAATGGCGCTACTTCGTGCGACGTCAACAGCCTTTACAACAGGGTAAGCAAAATAAGGGCACCCCTCGTCCAGTCACTGAAGTTGGACGCAAGCTGCGCGTCAATGGGGACAACGTGCTCACGCTGGAATACGATCGTGAGACACAATCGGTGGTGGTCATGGTTGATGACAAGCAGGAGCTTCTCAATGTAACTTACGATCGCACCTCGCGTCCTGTTAGCTTCCGCCCGCAGTCGGGTGACTATGCCGATGTTGATCTGGAGTACGATCGGTTTGGACGCTTGGTCAGTTGGAAGTGGGGAGTATTACAAGAAGCCTATACCTTCGACCGCAACGGGCGCTTGAATGAGATCAAGTATGGCGATGGGTCATCGATGGTTTACACTTTTAAGGACATGTTTGGTTCACTGCCGCTTAAGGTGACCACGCCCCGACGATCAGATTACCTTCTGCAATATGATGATGCTGGCGCTCTACAAAGTTTGACAACTCCAAGAGGTCATATCCACTCCTTCTCGCTGCAGACGTCACTTGGCTTCTTTAAGTATCAGTACTATTCGCCTATCAATCGACATCCATTTGAAATCCTTTATAATGATGAAGGACAGATTCTGGCCAAAATACATCCCCATCAGTCTGGCAAAGTGGCATTTGTACATGACGCTGCAGGACGACTGGAAACCATTTTGGCTGGGCTTTCGAGCACCCATTACACTTATCAGGAGGCGACAAGTCTGGTGAAGTCCATTGAAGTGCAGGAACCCGGCTTCGAGCTGCGCCGCGAACTAAAGTATCACGCAGGCATTCTCAAGGATGAAAAGTTGAGATTTGGATCAAAGAACTCACTGGCACCGGCCCACTACAAGTACGCCTATGATGGCAATGCTCGGCTGAGCGGTATTGAGATGGCAATTGATGACAAGGAGCTACCTACCACTCGCTACAAGTACAGCCAGAATCTGGGCCAGCTTGAAGTAGTGCAGGATCTGAAGATTACCCGCAACGCCTTTAATCGAACCGTAATTCAAGACTCAGCCAAACAATTCTTTACCATAGTTGACTACGATCAACATGGGCGTGTTAAGAGCGTTTTAATGAACATCAAAAGCTTCGACGTATTCCGCTTGGAGCTCGACTACGATCTGCGCAATCGTATTAAGTCTCAAAAGACAACCTTCGGCAGGTCAACGGCCTTTGACAAGATTAACTACAATGCGGATGGACATGTCATTGAAGTTCTAGGCACCAACAACTGGAAGTATCTGTACGATGAGAATGGCAACACCGTGGGCATTGTCGATCAGGGCGAGAAAATAAACCTTGGCTACGATATCGGCGACAGAGTCATTAAGGTGGGAGACGTCGAGTTCAACAACTACGACGCAAGGGGCTTTGTGGTTCGACGAGGCGAGCAGAAATATAGATACAATAACCGAGGTCAACTGATCCACGCTTTCGAACGCGACCGTTTTCAGAGCTGGTATTACTACGATGACCGCAGTCGCCTTGTAGCTTGGCATGACAGCAAGGGCAACGTGACGCAGTACTACTATGCGAACCCCAAGACACCGAAGCTGGTCACTCACGTGCATTTCCCCAAACTGGGAAAGACCATGAAGTTCTATTACGACGATCGCGATATGCTGATTGCACTGGAGAATGCCGAACTGCGTTACTATGTGGCAACTGATCAAAATGGTTCGCCCCTGGCCTTCTTCGATATGAACGGAGGCATTGTGAAGGAGGTGAAGCGCACGCCATTTGGTCGCACTATTAAGGACACCAAGCCCGACTTCTTTGTGCCCATTGATTTCCATGGTGGACTCATTGATCCGCACACCAAACTGATCTACACTGAACAGCGACAATACGATCCAACGGTGGGTCAATGGATGACACCACTCTGGGAGACGCTGGCCACCGAAATGTCAAACCCCACTGATGTGTTCATCTATCGTTACCACAACAACGACCCCATCAACCGTAACAAGCCACAGAACTACATGATTGATCTAGACGCCTGGCTGCAACTGTTCGGCTACGAACTCAACAACATGCAGAGCAACAGATACACCAAGCTGTCGCAATATATCCCGCAAGCGACGATTAAGTCGAATACCCTTGCACCAGACTTTGGTGTTATCTCCGGCTTGGAGTGCATCGTCGAGAAGACCAACGAAAAGTTCAGCGACTTTGACTTTGCGCCCAAGCCGCTGCTCAAGATGGAGCCCAAGATGCGAAATCTGCTGCCCCGTGTGAGCTATCGCCGAGCCGTCTTCGGCGAAGGAGTTCTTCTATCCAGAATCGCAGGACGTGCCCTGGTCAGCGTGGTGGACGGCTCCAATAGCGTCGTTCAGGATGTGGTTAGCTCCGTATTTAACAACTCCTACTTCTTGGATCTGCACTTCAGCATACACGACCAAGATGTCTTCTACTTTGTCAAGGACAACGTTCTGAAGCTGCGGGACGACAACGAAGAGCTGCGTCGCCTTGGCGGCATGTTCAACATATCAACGCACGAAATTAGCGATCATGGTGGCAGCGCTGCAAAGGAGTTGCGACTTCATGGACCCGAAGCTGTCGTTATAATCAAGTATGGTGTGGATCCCGAGCAAGAACGACATCGCATACTCAAGCATGCCCACAAGCGAGCAGTAGAGCGTGCCTGGGAGTTGGAAAAGCAACTGGTAGCAGCTGGTTTTCAGGGCCGTGGCGACTGGACAGAGGAGGAGAAAGAGGAACTTATACAGCATGGAGACGTCGACGGCTGGATCGGCATTGATATTCATAGCATACACAAGTACCCACAACTGGCAGATGATCCTGGCAATGTAGCCTTCCAACGCGATGCCAAGCGCAAACGACGCAAGACTGGCAGCAGCCATCACGCCAGCTCCAATCGACGACAGCAGAAATATGGGGAACTGACCGCGTGAGTGGAGGAGGACCCAGAGAACGAAGCGAGCGATGAAGCCATAGAGGAGTACGACGGGCCAGAGGACTATTTGATAGCTGTGGGCAAAGCCACCCATAAGACGAAGACGGATCCAGCCGTTGAGCAGTTTTTGTAATTACCTAGGTGAAATGCAACAGCGATAAGAAATATAAGCGATAAGCGATAAACGTTAAGCGATAAACGATAACCATTAAGCACAATACACAACAAAAACATGACACAATACAATTTAACTCATTAATACAGACTCTAATCGAGTTTAAAATTGAAAATATTATTAGCCAGGCGAGCCCGAAGTATAGAACAGATAAACCAGCAATCCACGTAAATCTTTATAAATGTATGTATGTTGATGTTGAGTTTAAGATAACATAAATAGGGATAATATGTGTTTAGTCCACGTGCAACATTCTATGTACTATACTTTATTGGTAACTGATGCTCGCGTGAAAAGCGATCAGAATTCCGCTTCGGAAATATAGATTTGTATAAAGAAACGTGAAGCGAAATCACACTGTAGGATTCCTTGATGAAAGACGTTTTGCTTGGTAACGTATTAAGGCCCAGGTAAAGCCAGCTTTTTTGTTCAGTCTACAGAAGTCTAATTAGCCAGTTGCATTCGATATCAGACAAGTATTACACGACCGAAAACGAAACAAATTATGCATACTCGAATAAGTAATAATATATATGTAAAAAGTTAAGCGCCCCCGATCAAAGAGGAAAGGGGATAACATAAACAAATACAGATAAAACTGCAATACTCCCTAGCCCTATCCCCGTACTACTTGTATATGGTAAGACGAACCTAAAAGCCGCTTCGTTTCCATAAACTGCTTTGTATATTGTACATACACATACATTATATATAAACTACTATAATACTTAAATATGCTTTAACACTCAGCGCGCCATTTTGATTATTTGTATAACCCTATTTTAGACCTGCGTAACACCAGCTTACGTAGTCCCTTTGACTCATGAGTTAAGCAAGTGCTCGAATTTACTCAAACGCATAAACTTAAGTTTGACAGCCAAAAATCAAAAACTAATTTTCGGGCCTGCCTCTTCGGGTCCCGCCTAACCAATGAAATAAAATACTGACACACTCGAATTCCTACACACATATAATATGTATAATCTCCTTTTCACTGTTTAAACTCATTTCGAAGGCAAAATGCATTAAAAAAAAACTTTTTACAAATTGTGATATATTTCTTAACATTTCGTTTCACAACTTGAAATGTTGCAAATGAAGCCGAACGTTTAAAACAGCAAAGTACTTTACTCATTCGTGTTTTTTACATAGTCTATTAAGATTTTAGTTTTTTAAAATGCAATATTTAATTTAAAACGTTTTGCCATGTTAATTTGTAGAATTTGTAGAAGCGATGCAGTTCATAATGCCTATAATCCAATGCTAGTTTAAGAACAATCCTGGGGATTCGTATCCTTTTATGCATTTTTTTTAAACCATAATCTATAAAACACCAATAATTTCTGTCTTTCAACTGTTGCTTTGCTAAGTGCTTTTTTTTATAATTATTATTATTCAGATTATTAAACTATTTATATCTGAAACTAAACTATTGACTATTGAGGTATAAATAATCTAGCAATAAAAGTAAGAAAGGATACTTAATCTTAATACTCATCCACATATATGAAATACACATTGTAATATATACACACATACACACACACGCAGACACACACAGACACAGACACTCATACACACACACACACACAAACATACACTCAACTACACATCGTTGACTAAGGATTAGGCTAAAGATGAACGAAATATAGCACTAAATATACATAATGTAAAAGTGACAGCAAGGAGTTAATCGTAATAAAACGTAGGAATTAGTTAAAGTGTTAGTAATTTTATTAAATAAAATTATATATTTAGAATGCAGAACACATAACGAAAAAAGGAACATGTAAGTGTAAGCATCAAAAATATTATAACAACAATAAAAAGAAATCGAAACTCAAATATAGTTATATTATGTTAAGATAAGTTCGCATCATTGTCTCATGCGAAATGAAATGTTGTGTGTGAGGAAAACTATATTTTCAAGTTTTCCAAAAATAACAAAAACAAAAATAAAAACGAAAACAAAAACAAAAACAAACACTATTTTACACAAAACGAATTGTATAATAAAGAAATGCAGCAAAACTTATATAAATGTATATGTAGTTAAATTAAGCAGCATTATATTAACCAAAAACCAAATGAAAATTATTGAAATCAGCTAAAAATATATTGTGACTGAGAAGGAATAAAACTATCTACGTCGTCTACTCAATTGTGCTTAAATCTACTTAGTATCTTTTGTTCATCACAAGGAGTTGTAAATTTTCCGAAAATACGAAACAAAGAGGCAACATTACATAAATATGTATTACAATTCGTTGAGCTCATGTTTATGTATTGGCATGGACACAACTTATAGAGCAGAGAAACGTTGATAGAGCAGAATGATAACCCTTTGATAATAAATAAATTATGAAGAAAACTTGTATTAAATGTACGAAATTGTCTCCAACTAACGTTGCGCCGCTCTTGCGGTGAATTGTCATGCAAATTGAAGTAAAGATACTCGTAAGCAAAGCAGATATCAACATAACACATAACAAACACACATTTATGGCAACCCGGCATATATGATACAACCATATATATCTAATAGTATAATGAATAAAAAGCGATTTCAATAAAAATAAAAAATTACAAAAAAAACTATTTGTTTTCTATTTTTTAACTGGGTTGGAAAAGTTATCACCTTTTCAATTTATTATATTTGCAGCTTTGAGGTTTTCTAATGAGCTATTATCAAATAACGGTTAAGTAACCATGTTTCAGTTTGTAAATCGTATTTATTTGGTTCATATTATTCGGCTCTCTTGCTGTCCCATTGCATTAACGAAATAAATTGAAATTTTATTTAAAATTTTGAGTATTTGCTTACGTCCACAACGTCTAAAAGGTTCGACCTCATTCTGCCTATTTACCTTCAGACCCCATATCCGTTTAAACATTAATAGTTTTGAAACAAAGTTTAAATGAAATGTTTTCATACATGTATTTCTTATATCGTGATACATTTGCAATAAATACCAATCAACTTGACATTTCTTTGAAATTCAGCACTTACAATAGACTGCGACCCTTGGGGTTCTCAGTAAAGATTGTGCCTCCAGACGGCTGATTAACAAAATTTGAATAAGGAACCGGGACCACTTCAAAGTTGGCTTCTTGACTTAGTGCATTCGTGCTGCGAGTTAAAACAAGAAGCTTTCCATTTAGACTCTTGTCAACAACCTTAAGTTCACTCAGTTTCTTTTGGTTATCCACCACATAAATGTTGTAACTGATGCCATAGAGTCCGAAAAGCACATCCAATTCACTTCGCAATTTGTCCAATGTGATGTACTGATTGTTAATACCATCCTGAAGAAAAATGGAGGCCTTGTTGCTATTGGAGAATCGAGGTTGCAGTTCGCCATCTAGGGTTACGTTTAACCACGCAAGCTTTGGCAGCTGCAGCTCCTCAGTGGAACAAATTGTCAAGTTGAGTTGGATTCCCTTGAGGTCGCAAGCTTCACTGATAATCTGCCTCTTTGATTCGACCTGCTTTTGATCAAATGGAAGGAACTCCGATTTGACTGCCCCCTTTATCATGGACGAATAGTTGACCAGAACCTTTTGCAGCTGTGACTTCGCTTCCTGAACTTCTTTGTTGCTACCATTACTCTTCAAGTCATAAAATATGAGTACGGGGTCAGTTGGTATAAGCTGTGCCTTTTTTTTCAGCTTTTGCACACGATTAATAGCTTCACGCGCTAAGCCTTCTTGGAGCAGTTCTTCATTTGGCGTCATGTCCATTAAAACGAGGACTTCATTATCACTGTGTGCCTCAAAGTTTCCGCCAACCTTCTCAGAGGTGCAGTAAATGATGCGCACTTCCTCCAGCTCAATCCTTTGGCCCAAAACATCAAAGTAACCCTGGGCCACATGCTTTTGAATCTCCTCATCCTTGAGCGCTTTGATGGCTGCCATAACTGCCTTGAAATTTCCCTTCAAACGCTGTCCGAGCACCTACATCAAAGTTAAAATGCTAATAAGAATTACAGTCGTGTATCACTAGCATTAAATACTTACTTTATGGTCAGGCTCGGCACGTAGTGTCACTCCGTACTTTTCCTTTTCCGAGCTTAGCGTCAGTTTCCGCACATTCAGCTCGCTGAGTATGAAATCTTTCAAGCTTTCAATCTCCTTCAAAGTTTGCTTATCTTTGTGAATAACAATAATTTCCGAAATGGGATACTTTACAGGCAGTGTACGACGGTCACGCATAACACGACCAAGCTCAACTACCGACTGCATTAGCGCCACGGATCGCTCAATGTCTCTACGGATAAACTTGCGCTGGCTAACAGGCATCATTTGATAGTGCACAGAGTCAACGTGCTCTAAGCTACCTTTTGGCTGGAACAATACAAGTCGTTGAAAAATGTATTCGGTTAAGTACGGAGTGAAGGGTGCCATCATCTTGACCATTGTATACAAGACATCATAAAGAGTATCTAGCGATTGTATGCATTGTTCAGCGCCCATCTCGCCCTTAATGCGACGGCGATTCAATCTCACGTACCTGGATGAAAATGAAAGCTATATATATATGAGCTAAAAATATGTGAATATCTGTTACCAGTTAGTTAGTTGATCAATAAATTTAGTAAGTCTTGGCACGACCGTATAAAGGCGATACATTTTCATCTCTGTCGCGAAGAACTCCAATAGGGACTCCTTGAAGGACAGGATCCACACGTCAATGACAGAGGCATGTTCCATGTTTTGTAGATGTCTCGAACGCTCATAGGTATACTGGGCCTTGCCTCCCAACTCCTCTTTCTCGTACCGCACAATATTTTGCAGAAGAAAGCGATAAGCATTGTACCACGGCAGGAATACATCCTTGATTATATCGCGTACTCCTTCCTCCTTGAAACGCAGACTTTCTGCGCGCACCACTGGCGAATTGATAAGATACAGACGAAGCGCGTCCGCACCATACTTATGAACAACCTCCATTGGATCCGGATAGTTTTTCTTGCGCTTCGACATTTTCTGCCCATCGGCAGCCAGCACCAAGCCACTCGCAATCAGGTTTTTAAATGGAGCCTTATTAAACAATGCCGTTGAGATCACTAAGAGCGTATAAAACCAGCCGCGTGTCTGATCAATGCCCTCAGCAATAAAGTCAGCTGGGAAATTGTTCATGAAATCTTTTTCATTCTCGAAGGGGAAATGCTGCTGCGCAAATGGCATTGACCCGGACTCGAACCAACAGTCAAACACGGGCGCAATTCGACGCAACGGCGGATTTCCAGGAATAGCCGATGGAATTTCAATTTCATCAATAGTCTCACGATGCAGATCATTTACTTGAACACCGGATAACTCGGCCAACTGCTTAATGCTGCCTATGACAATTGTTTCATCACCATTTGGAGAGCGCCAGATGGGTATAGGAGTGCCCCAATAGCGGTTGCGGGAAATCTACAAATATATTTTTAAATGTAAATCAGAGTCAAGACATGTCAGCAAGGTAATAAAACTTACTGCCCAGTCCCTGGCATCCTTAAGCCAATTGCCAAAACGCTTCTCCTTAACAAAGTCCGGAACCCAGTAAGTCTGAGCGCTGCTGGCTAACAGGTTTTTGGACATATGTTCGACACGCACAAACCATGAAGGCACTGCCTTGTATATCAAAGGGGTGTCCGACCGCCAACAGAAGGGGTAACTATGCTTGACCTGGCCACTGGAAACTAAATTTCCACTCTCCTTTAACTTAGCTATTATATGCTTATCTGCATCCTTGACAAACTGGCCAGCAAAGTCTGTGACCTCTGCTGTAAAACGACCGGAATCGTCAACAGGGCAAATCACTGCGCTTGACTTGCTGATAATGCCAGCCGCCAGGCAGACGCGATAATCGTCCTCGCCAAAGTAGGGCGCATTATGCACAATTCCAGTACCAGAGTCCTCCGTAACATAGTCATCTACCAGCACACGGTGGGCCTTTACTTCGGCGCCACGCTTGGCAAAGTAGGGAAATACCGGCTTGTAATGCTGACCCTTAAGCGTTTGTCCGGCAAACTTTTCCTTTAGCTCGTACTCCGCTTCAGTTTTAAATACGTAAGACAATCGCGACTCAGCCAAAATAAAGAGCCGATCACTTTTTACATCGCGCACCTATACGAAGGTAATTGATAATGAATTGCCAAAAAATAATATACATTTATCTACCTTGACATAAGTCATCGTCGGATGAACACAACAGGCAAAATTAGAAGGCAGTGTCCAAGGTGTTGTGGTCCACACCAGAAAATAAGTGTTGGGCAGCGATGTGGCTTCGAGTGCAACAACTACACAAGGATCTACGACCTCTTTGTAGTTTTGGTTCGCCTCGAAATTGGACAACGAAGTCGTACAGGCAGTGGAATAGGGCATAACCTTCACACCCTGATATACCAGACCTTTGTCGAAAAGCTGCTTGAATATCCACCATATCGACTCCATGTACCATGGGTATAGAGTCTTATAGTCATTCTTAAAATCAATCCATCGGCCCACACGTGTCACAATGGTCTCCCACTCGTCTGCGTAGCGCATGACAATCTTCCTGCACTCGGCGTTGTACGCCTTTATGCCCATCTTTGCCACGTCTTCTGGGCCCTTTATATTAAGCAGCTTGTCGATTTCAAACTCCACGGGTAGTCCGTGACAATCCCAGCCAAAACGCCGATCCACATGGTAGCCCTGTTGATAGGCATATCGTGTGACGATGTCCTTAATGGTGCCAGCCAGGATGTGTCCATAGTGAGGCAAGCCAGTTGCAAAGGGTGGTCCATCGTAAAAGGTGTACCTAAGAATGATATCAGTTTTACACTTTTGGATGATGCAATCAATTGTGGTTTTTACTTGGGCTTTCCTTTCGACAGCTGGCTACACTTTTCGAAAATTTTTTCAGCTTTCCATTGCTTCAGCACATTTTCTTCCTCAGCCGGAAAGTTTATATTTTCAGGAACGCGACAAACGTCGATGCGTTTAAGTTTTTCCGGATTGCTCATTTCTGTCAGGAACAATTAGTGAATTGCACTTTTTACCTCTAATTAATGTTTATGAATAACTTACCTATCTTCAATAAGAGTTGAAAGTGCGAAATTGATGTGATGGCAACAACATGTGCTTATCGAATGCACCGCTCTCAATTCTCGTTGTGAATTATCGGATTTCGATAAATCGAAATTTTACATTAGTGGTACTGCATAATAATTTTAAAATAAATTTATTTTTATTAAATATTAATGCATATAGGTTTTAAGGTATATACTCATTTTCATGTCGTCTAAGAATCTTACAATGATAATTTCTGTGTTATGCTGGTATTCGTGACATATAAATGTCTATATTGTATAAATATTATTGTTAAATTTAGACTAATAAACGATTAACTTTTTATAAAATTTGTAAAATATAAAATTAAATAATTTAAAATCAAATAACAATAAAAAATATATAATAATATATAATTAAAATATAATATATTTGATCTGTTTATATACTGTTTATTAAAACAAAATACGACTTCTTGTGCTATACAGTATTTTTGTTACTTCAAGATTTGGGCACATTGTATAAAATGTGTACATTTAGCGTAGCCGTATTTGATCAGCAAAGTAATAAGCAATAAATGGAAGTATTAGCATCGTTTCAATTCTTATATTTATAGAAATACGTGAATCGCAACAAGTTGATGTGTCGGACACTATTCAATACTTGTAAAACCGGTATATGAAAATATAATTTCCGTTTAAGATACACTTGCAATCAAAGACAATGGCACGCCCAATTTTTCCCAATCAGCAAAAAATTGCTGAAAAGCTGATAATTTTAAACGACCGAGGTCTCGGAATTCTAACACGAATTTACAACATAAAAAAAGCATGTGGGGATACCAAGTCCAAGCCAGGCTTCCTGTCTGAAAAGTCTCTGGAGTCGTCAATTAAATTCATTGTTAAGCGCTTCCCCAACATCGACGTCAAAGGCCTGAATGCAATTGTGAACATCAAAGCAGAGATAATCAAATCTCTTTCGCTCTACTACCACACCTTCGTCGACCTGCTGGACTTTAAGGACAATGTTTGCGAGTTACTGACCACTATGGATGCTTGCCAGATCCACCTGGACATAACACTCAACTTCGAGCTGACCAAAAACTACTTGGACCTAGTAGTTACCTACGTTTCCTTGATGATTGTTCTCTCCCGTGTCGAGGATCGGAAGGCAGTGTTGGGTCTCTACAATGCGGCCTTTGAGTTGCAGAACAATCAGGCGGACACCGGATTTCCCCGCTTGGGCCAGATGATCCTTGACTACGAGGTGCCGCTGAAGAAGCTGGCTGAAGAATTCATACCTCACCAGCGTCTGCTCACTAACGCATTGCGCTCGCTGACCTCAATATATGCTTTACGCAATCTGCCCGCAGACAAGTGGCGCGAGATGCAGAAACTCAGCCTTGTGGGCAACCCGGCCATACTTCTGAAGGCTGTGCGTACAGACACAATGTCGTGTGAGTACATTTCGTTGGAGGCTATGGATCGCTGGATCATATTCGGGCTGTTGCTGAATCACCAAATGCTAGGTCAATATCCGGAGGTTAATAAAATATGGCTATCCGCTTTGGAAAGCAGTTGGGTAGTAGCTCTCTTCAGGGATGAAGTGCTGCAGATTCACCAGTACATTCAGTCCACATTCGACGGAATCAAAGGCTATAGCAAGCGAATCGGCGAGGTAAAGGAGGCGTACAACATGGCCGTTCAGAAAGCTGCATTGATGCATCGAGAAAGACGCAAGTTTCTGCGGACTGCGCTGAAGGAATTGGCGCTTATTATGACCGATCAGCCGGGTCTATTGGGGCCTAAGGCAATATTTATATTTATTGGACTTTGTTTGGCGCGTGACGAGATTCTTTGGCTGCTCCGCCATAATGACAATCCGCCGCTGATAAAGAACAAAGGTAAGTACCTTTCTTCATTAGTCCACTGCATATTAAACTTTGAGGTTTACTTGTAGGCAAGAGTAATGAAGACTTGGTAGATCGACAGCTTCCGGAACTGTTGTTCCACATGGAGGAGCTGCGCGCGCTAGTGCGTAAATATAGCCAGGTAATGCAGCGCTACTACGTGCAATACTTGTCTGGGTTCGATGCCACAGATCTGAACATACGCATGCAAAGCCTGCAGATGTGTCCAGAGGACGAAAGCATCATCTTAAGTTCGTTATATAACACTGCTGCTGGCCTAACTGTCAAGCAAGTGGAGGACAACGAGCTATTCTACTTTAGACCTTTCCGATTAGATTGGTTCCGCCTGCAAACATACATGAGCGTCGGCAAGGCATCGCTGCGCATCACAGAACATATGGAGCTGGCACGCTTGCTCGATTCGATGGTGTTTCATACGCGTGTTGTGGACAATCTGGACGAGATACTCGTGGAGACTTCGGATCTAAGCATATTTTGCTTTTATAACAAAATGTTTGACGATCAGTTTCACATGTGCTTGGAATTTCCGGCTCAGAATCGCTATATCATCGCGTTTCCATTGATTTGTAGCCATTTTCAGAATTGCACTCACGAAATGTGTCCAGAGGAGCGGCACCACATACGTGAGCGTTCGCTAAGTGTGGTGAACATTTTTTTGGAGGAAATGGCCAAGGAGGCCAAAAACATAATAACGACAATTTGTGACGAGCAGTGCACAATGGCAGATGCTCTGCTTCCCAAACACTGCGCCAAGATTCTATCTGTTCAATCGGCTCGCAAAAAGAAGGACAAATCGAAATCGAAACACTTTGACGATATACGCAAACCAGGCGATGAGTCGTACCGCAAGACACGCGAGGATCTGACCACCATGGATAAATTGCACATGGCTTTAACTGAGCTATGCTATGCCATTAACTACTGCCCCACTGTGAACGTTTGGGAGTTTGCCTTTGCGCCGCGCGAGTATCTCTGCCAGAATCTGGAGCATCGCTTTTCACGCGACTTGGTCGGCATGGTGATGTTTAACCAGGAAACCATGGAAATTGCCAAACCATCGGAGCTGCTAGCCAGCGTACGAGCCTACATGAACGTACTACAGACAGTGGAGAACTACGTGCACATTGACATTACGCGTGTATTCAACAATTGCCTGTTGCAACAGACGCAGGCTCTGGACTCACACGGAGAGAAAACGATTGCAGCCTTGTACAATACCTGGTATAGCGAGGTGCTGCTGCGCCGGGTTTCTGCCGGCAATATTGTGTTCTCTATTAATCAGAAAGCATTTGTGCCTATTTCGCCAGAGGGCTGGGTACCTTTTAATCCGCAGGAGTTTTCCGATCTAAACGAACTGCGCGCCTTGGCCGAGCTAGTCGGTCCATATGGAATCAAGACTCTAAATGAGACCCTCATGTGGCATATTGCCAACCAGGTGCAGGAACTAAAGTCGTTAGTGGGCACCAACAAGGAGGTGCTCATCACCTTGCGCACTAGTTTCGACAAGCCGGAGGTAATGAAAGAGCAGTTCAAACGGCTGCAGGACGTGGATCGGGTACTGCAGCGTATGACCATAATTGGAGTGATTATCTGTTTTCGTAATCTCGTACATGAGGCATTGGTGGATGTACTGGACAAACGAATTCCTTTCCTGCTTAGCTCGGTCAAAGATTTTCAGGAGCACTTGCCAGGTGGGGACCAGATACGGGTCGCATCCGAAATGGCGTCAGCGGCGGGTCTCATATGCAAGGTGGACCCTACGTTGGCTACTACATTAAAATCAAAAAAACCTGAGTTTGACGAAGGCGAACACCTGACAGCCTGCTTACTGATGGTATTTGTGGCCGTGTCCATACCAAAGTTGGCTCGCAATGAGCATTCCTTCTACAGAGCTACCATTGATGGTCATTCGAATAACACCCACTGTATGGCTGCTGCAATAAATAACATCTTCGGAGCCCTGTTCACCATCTGTGGACAGAACGACATGGAGGATCGTATGAAGGAATTTTTAGCTCTAGCCAGTTCTTCTCTCCTCCGCTTGGGTCAAGAGTCCGACAAGGAGGCCACACGCAATCGAGAATCAATTTACTTGCTGCTGGACGAGATAGTTAAGCAGTCACCATTCCTCACTATGGACCTTCTGGAGTCCTGTTTCCCATACGTTCTTATCCGCAACGCCTATCATGGCGTCTACAAACAAGAGCAAATAATGGGCCTGGGTCTATAGAGGTCATAGAAAAGTAAAAGAGTAAAAGTCTCGCATTATTATCCGAGTATTTAGTATATAGTTTTTGATAATCGATCATTGTGCATTATGCTTACGAGTAATGAGTATACATTATTCTATTGTTAGACCCTAATAATTATATCTAATATATAATGATAATACCCCTACTACTGCGCATATAAGGCAAAAGTATTCCGCATTTTGATACATTATTTGTATAAATAAAGTGCATATGCAAACCAAATCATAAGATAAGAGTATTATAATTGCCTCAGCATTTGGAGCCCGCTTCCAGGAAATACGCCGTCTACATGGTGATTGCGTTATTATTATTGTACTTTATTACCCATGTGTATATTAAATGTGTGTTATTTATGTATTATTTTGTTTGCGTGTTGATCGAAAAATCGTCCACAATATTATATTATTTGGTCATGTTTAATGTTACGTTTCTTAGGCTGGTGTACAAAACTTGTTGTAGGTAAGTAATAAAATATGTTTAATTCTCGTCCAAGTATAATGCAAAGTGATTTAGTTTAAATTTCATTAGAGAATTCTCAATTCCAATACAAGATTTCACTTGTGATTTACTTTAATACCATATTGATTCTGTAGAGTTTACGTTCTGAATTATACAATTGTGCATTTGGATTTGACTTGTGTCTGCGATGACCTCTCTTGAAATCTCGCAGCAGCCGTATCTGGGCAAAAACAAAAGTGTAACTCTTATGTAGAGTAATAAATTATATAAACTAAGTGATGCTTCAGCTCAGGCTCTTAACAACGTGAAACCAATTCAGAAATTATAGACAGGTTTATTCTGCTGAAGTTCTACAATATTTTGGTTAACTATACCATAATCACTACTTGTTGCTATAAAGCGGGCTGTATATGTTTCTTTTGCCGTTATCGCTATCGTTATCGTAGTCGTAACAATGCTAGTTAGTATCTATATTTAAATATGTCCTTAATTATACAAACACATACATATACAGCATACTATTATCAAACGCTCTTCTCAATATTTGACTAATTCTTATTAAATCTTTAGTTTCAGTTTTGCTCGAAAAGATTATATTTTTTTATTTTTATTTTATTTATTTTTTTGTTTTTTGTTTTTTGTTTTCATTTTTATTTTTGTTGCAATCAGTCATTCAGTTTAGGCATCTGTTGACTTACAAATTGTCGCCACTGTCTTTTTTAATACAAAAGAAACAAGAGAAAAATACGAAATTAAAAAAGTGAAATTAGTTCGTTTTGCTGTTCCTGCCTCCCTTTGATAATAAATAAAACTGCAGTGTTTTGCTAAACTGCTCTTTTAAAGCTCTCGAGTACAAAATCGTGTTAATTTAAAAAAGTTTCGAAAACTCTTTGCCCTACGATCTGAAATGGTATCTGGTTTTCTGTTCAGCTTTCGCGCTTAAGTATATATATATATATATGTATATATATATAATTCATAATATTAATTCCACTATGACAATCTTGTTGGCATATAAAATCCTACAAATATGAGTTCGAGATTAAAATATGTTCTGTCCGTTGTTCAGTGTTGCTTGATCCCAGATCCTTCATCCTGCATCCCTGATCCCAAGGTGAGCTAGACGAACTCCTCCTGCTCCAGCCAGGGATGCTGCAGGCACTCCGCCGCAGAGGCCCGTATAACTGGATTGTACTCGAGCATAGGCAGCAAAAAGTCTGAGAACTTCTTGGCTTCTATGGGATCCCAGTCATACTTCTCCACAAGCACGTTCAACAGACTCCAGGGCTTCAGCTTGGTAATGTTCCGTAAGCTCCCTGCGAATGATGAAGTCCGCCAACACTGTTAGGTCAACAGCTCAACCAGTTCTGTGGTGCTCACTTACCATAGCTTGTGAAGTACTTGAGCCCGTGTTTGCCACGTAGGATCACCGACTGCGGTATCGATCCCAGCAGCTCCACAATGTGCGCCAGATGATCCTCGTCCCGACTGTAAGACTCACCCGCATGCGGATCGAAGAGGTAATCGCCTGTGGCCAACTCGAAGGCAAGGCACGCGGTGCTCCAGATATCAGCGGTATAGTTGTAGGGCGCACCCAGCAGCACCTCGATCGAGCGGTACTGGCGCGTCTGTATGTCCTCGGTGAAATGATGGTACTACAGAGCGCACACAGAACGAAAGAGACATCAGACAATTTGAATAAGCTTGCGATGCTGAACCAAGGTTTACTCACGTCATAGCAGGCATTGCCCAGGTCGGCGATCTTCACCCTCACATTGCTGTTGTTGATCAGCGATTGTATCGTGTGCGTATAGGATTGGCTCTGGGTCTGGCTCTGGTTCTGCGAAGGAATGGCATTGGCATTGACATTTAATTTAGCTGTTGTTGTTGTGGTTGTGGTTGTGGTTGCGGTTGCTTTGATGGAAGTCGCATGGCCAGTTGTGGTTGTTGTTACTGCTGTCGATTTGCTATCACAACCGCCAATGTTGCTACTATGATACAGATCTGTGATAGTTGCTGTTGTTGTTGCAGCTGCAGCAGTTGCTGTTGGTACGAGATGCGTGAAGGAGTACGTGCACGTGCTGTTGTTGGTGGTGGTGGTGGTGGTGGTGGTGGTGGAGTTGGTGTTGGTGCTGCTGGAAGCTGAAGGTGGTGCATTGGCAGGGTTTGATGTGGTTGTTGTGGAGCTTGCAGTTAACGTGTTCGTATTGGGGCTGTTGTTGCTGTTGTCTGTTGCCGCAGAGGTGTTGTTACTGTTGTTCTGTTGTGTCGTGGACGTGCACGTGCTTTGAGTATTGGAGTTAACAGTGGTGTAGGTGGAGCAGGAGTTGCTGACTGTGGAGGTATTAGGCAGCTGCTTTGCATACGTGATTATTTTTATATATTGTTTTCGGTTCACACAAGGAAAGAAAAGAAGAAGAAAACACATATTTTTTTTTTTGGTGCAATGCAAAAACATTTATCAGATCTTAACAGCTGGAATCGCACAGTGGCTTGGCCCAGCTGTTAACATCAGTTAAAAACTTAAACGTTCTAGGATATCATAGATTGCAGCTTTGCTTCAGTGCTCAATATCAAACTCTCGTTCCACAGTATTAGGGATAAGATTACTTAGAAGTCTTTATTGCGCGCTTCCTTTGCCTGACATTGAGTACTGAGTAAAGCGCAGCGGGAACAGCACAATATTTTAACAGCAATGAACAATATAGCACGTCTTATAGTAACTTGGCTCAAAGCAATCAAAACAATACGGACATTTATGTAAATACATATATCAAGCTGGCAAAGAGAACAACCAAATAGTTCAAAGTTAGAGAACAATTCTGCTTCTTAGTCTTCTGTGATAGCTGAATATAGTCATAGAATCTGTACATAAGAAATGTGAAACTCTTAGATTTATATTTGTAATTTGAATTTGTAAGCCATATTCAAAAGTTTGGCTTTCTTTCAATGGTTGAGCATATGAAAAACTATTGACACTATTTTAGTTCAGCTATTTCATTGGGCAGTTTAGTTGCTTTGGTTTGCAAAGTTGATATATGATATGTGGATTTAAACGATATTTATACTCACTCACGAAGTAAAAGAGTATATTGGTTTTCGTTTGTCCGTCAAATATAGATTATCGTGCGTACCCTAGTCTTGTAAAGTTATCAAATTTTCCCCTTAGTATATAAGAAACCCAAGATCAACCCTTCTAAACTTTTGCAATTATAAGCTCAAAATTGAACGACTAAATTATTGGTAACCTCGTCCTATTGGGAGCAGGGTAATTCAGTAATATATATATTCCAAAGTTTTGGACCGTGAATGAGTATTATGCAGTCGGTAGCACCCGACTGCAGCATTCTTATTTGTTATACCCTGATCCCATTAAAAATGGGAAATCAGGGTATAATGGTTTTGTGCAAATGTATGTAACAGGCAGAAGGAGGCGTGGCAGACCCCATAAAGTATATATATTCTTGATCAGGACGACAAGCCGAGTCGATTGAGCCCTGTCCGTCTGTCTGTCCGTCCGTCTGTCCGTCTGTCCGTCTGTCCGTCTGTCCGTCTGTCCGTATGTGTGAACGCGTGGATCTCAGCATCTATAAGAGCTAGAGACTTGAAATTTTTTTTGTAGGTCCGTGTATAGCACGCGCAGGTCAAGTTTGTTTCAAATATTCGATAACTATTCGCATTTAATTGTTATCGAATAAAAACATTATTGAAATGCAGTAAATAAATTATATCTCGAAAGTCTTAAGAGCTAGAGCCTCCAAATTTTGTATTTAGTCTTATGTATATTTTATGCAATTTTGATTTTTGTTGGATTTTGGATACCGGCTCCAAATTCCCCCAAATTCTTAGAATTTAAGTTTAGTTGGAGCTAGGGCCATTATGTGAAGGCGTTTGCATCTCAACCAAGCCAATAGGATATGTAGATCATATGCTGAAAGTTTCATTAAAATCCATTAAGTAAAACAGAAGTTATTAAACAAAACGTTTGGCCAATTTGCAAAAGCACATGTCAGCAGCGCCACGCGCACGCATTTTTCCTATGCGTGTGCACACATACATTCAAATGCGTGCATTCTTTTCTATTCCAAGAATTGAAATTGCGATTGAATTGTGCTGAATTATTAGCTGCTACTTATGTTCAAATTTGCAACAACTCGCGAAAGAAGGGCAGTGGCTGCGTTGGTATAGGCGCCGCTCGTATGCAGCTTGGTCCGGGTTCGAGACCAGAGGAGATGAAATGTTTTTTATTGTTTTATTTTTTTTTTTTAGTTATGAAGTGGCGGTGTTGGTAGAGTTTGTGCACGTTGCGCAAATAATCCGGGTTCGAATCCTGGTCTCGCAATGTCGATTTTTATTTGTTTTCTTTTTTTTTTAATTCTCGATACAAACTACGGAAAATATTACAAAACTCAAAGGACTAGGATCAGGGTATCTCCTAGTCGGGCACCCCGAGTAGAGCTTTCTTACTTGTTTATAATAGCTTTGAGTGGATAAAGGGTTAAGCATAAAAACATCTAAAGCTTAAGCCAGCTGTATCAGGTGAGGTATGTAAAGAGTTAAGCATTTCATATATAGTTAAATAACATAATTGGGCACATTTATATATAGCTTGGATTCACAGTTAGCATAGCGGTATTGGTGGGGTGTAACATGTATATATAGAAGTAAGCAACTGAAGATTGGAGCATGTTCATAAGCATAAAAGCGTCTGATTAAATAAAAACAAAGAAAAGCCAGATTTTGGATTGGTAAGGGCCTTGGGCTAGAGGCTACATTGAACATCGTAAATGATAATGTCCTAGAGTTTAGAATTAAATCGTTGATGCTGGATTAGTAACGAACGCACTGTGAACTATGCAGACGCCTTTCGCAATGGGTCTAAGCTTCCCGAACTCGAGAAGATAGCAAAGCATCAAACACAATTACTGAACAAACGAACGAGCGAACGAGGGAACGAGCGAACGAGGGAACTAGCGAGCCAACTTCCGGGGGTTAGGAGGAACTTAATGTGCACTTTACCTTATCTGAATTAACGGTAACGATATTTTTGGTAAGACTAACGTCTTGATCGGTAGGCGTGTCGCTGGCAATGGTGCTATTGTCACCGACGGTGTCGGTGTCTGTGTCCTCATCGTGGTCAATAGAAGACTAACAAAATGAAGAATGTTTGAAACAAAATCAATATGGAAGGGAAATCAAATCAAATCAAATCAAATCAAATTATGAATAAACTGCCATGTGTGCTGCACATAAATAACAGACATACATACATACATACGTTTACGTACATACATACATACATTGCTTGGGTAAACATAGTTAGTTGATCTTTATTACATTTGTGTTTGGACTTGAGTGCAAAATATCTTCGACGCGGATGAGCTGAAAACTGTGCTTGTACAGGCGGAAGGGCGCTGGGGGACACTCACCTTGGCAGTGATTTTCTTCTCAGCACGGTAGCGATTGCTTAAATTCGTAGTACCTCCGATCGGGCTATCGACGCCGCAGACGCTGGCCAGGCCGACGCCGTTGCACTCGCTGTCGCCCAAGAGGCTAGAAAATTTGGACGCCAGCGAGGATGTGGTGTTGGAGTTGAGCGTAGACGAGGTGGTGGTGTCGTCCTTGTCCAACGAGGACATGACCACAGCGGCCAGCGGCGTCGACGAAGTCGAGTTGTTCGCCGTGCTGTTGCTCGTGTTCGTTGAGCCATTTGGTTCGATCAGCGGCCACTTGGCCCTTGTTTTCGTTTGTTTCTCAATCGAACTGACTGCAGGTGGTAAGAAGACCGAATGAAAACCAACTCCAAAGGCGTTGGGACAGGTTGCACTTACTATACGAATCAGGAAAGTCGACGCCTTTGACGCGGAGGCTGTTGATCTCATCATCGATCTGCTGATTCATGGCCGCCGCATTGTCGATCACAAGTAGAATGTTCTCGGGCTTAATGTCTGTGTGAATAATGCTGCACTTGCTGTGCAAATAGTCCAATCCCTCCAACACCTGCTTGATTATGTTGCGCACCTGTGCAATGGCCAATCCCTGGTAGTTGTTCTTCACGATCAGCTTGTACAGGCTGCAGCCCAGCGCCTCGAACACCAGGCAGGTGTGCACGCCGTTCACACCACGCACCGTGAAGTGATTCATGAGTCGGACAATCCTCTCTCTCTTCACGTCGAGGGGATCTGCATCGCGTATGGCCTCCAGCAATCGAATCTCATCAGCTGCAGTCTCTATGTAATGGGGAGCACTCTTAACCACCTTAAGAGCTACATACTTCTCGTCTCTGTTGGCGAGAGCAGACAGCTGTCCAAAATGTATTGTCCGTCGAATGTTACCTCTACTTACTTGAGATCCCGACAGAGCCACACAGTAGAAAAGTGACCCCAGCCCAGCTTGCGCACAACCCGAAACCGATTGTCGAATATGTCGCCTATGACAACCGGATGGTAGCCGCCACGGCAATACTGTGAGGCATCTTCCTGCTCCTCATCGGAGCCGTAGAGACTGCTATCCGGTGAGTCTGGGTAAACTTCATCTGTGGTGCTCAATGTGCCGCGAGGCTCCGAGCTGAAAGTAGAGCAAAAGCCAAAGACAACAAATTAAGCTCAATAATATTAGGATTATTCAGTTGTTACTAAGTAGCTATAAGCCAACTGAACAATGGCATTTAAGAGCTGTTCAACTCATCTACTGAATCATCATCTCACTTAAAATTAATGAATGAGTCTAAGACAGAACAGACTTCTTATGGAATATGAGCAATAGTTAAGCATGAACCCACGCACATGAGTGCAACCAAATCTTCAGCCTCTGTCTCCACTCTGGTGGTTGGCACAACCGTTGACTGTGCATCAACAATGCTCGTTGGCAGCTTTAGCGTCAAGGGTTTCTCTCTCAGCACCAGAACATTCTCCAGTATTTGATCTCTCGGCGACAGTGGCTCGAAGCTGAGGCCGGAATTCCTGTGGCTCTTGGGTCGTTGCGATTGGTGGCGTAGTGGAATAAGTATTGGTCCAGCAGAGACGCATTTACGCTTCTTGGTAAAGCGCTTGCGACGCTTCTTTTCCTCCACCTCCAGCATTGCTTCGGTGGCCGCCTCCTGGGCGGCTCTCTTCTCCTGCTCGGAGACAAAGTTGAAGTCGCAGCTCAGCTCCTTGGCCAGCGAAGGCGTTGTAGTCGTTGGTTCAGAGATCAAACTCTCAGTGCTTCGAGGCCGCAGCAGGTGCATGAGATAGAGAAAGAGAAGCAGCAAGCACACCTTCAATCCATAAACGAATATTTCATCATGCCAAAGTGTGTTGATAACTTGGCCGAGATATTGCCGGAACACACTGGCAAAGAGTGCCAGCAGATGAGTGTAGTGTACGTAGTACTGCTTGATCAGAGATCCACTCAAATTCCAGTCCAGCCACACCCAACCACTCAGCAATGTCGCATTGGACTCCTTCGGGCAAATGGGCCCCAGCTCCGGGGAGTGCATCCACCAGTTCTCCATCACAAGTTCGGCTGCGAGTTTGTTCGACTATTCGATTTTCGCACTGCACTACATTGCACATAGGCGCAACAATGAGAGTACGTTCCCCAAGGGACGGAGTGGGCAGATGCAGAGGGGGCTGGCGACCTTGACTTTCCTATGCGTTGGCGGCCAGCTTCGCAGTTAACATTGTTTTTGTACACTCGCAAACCGTTTGCACTCTTCACTTCCAAAGACGGCTTACATAACGCGCGCGCTGAGGACGCGAAGGTAAATAAATAAATCTCACAACGCAGAATATTTTAAAATATGAAAAGCATGTGTTTCTTTTTGACTCGACAACCGTACGGCTCGCTGGCATCTGCGAGAATGCTGAAACATCAGTGTTTTTGTAGAGAGAGCCAAAGTCAAAGAATCCAATAGCGAGTATATTTGTGTATTTGTATATTTGCTGTTGTTTTTATCACAAAGAAATACAAAATACATCGACTTTTCGTCTGCATGTATAGAAACTGTGCAGCTAAAGAGACCCACAGCAACATATACTTAAAAAAAAAAAAAAATATATATATATATATAAGAATCCAATATATATATATATATATAAATATATATGTATTTCTATACATATATTTTGGCGTAATTATCCAATTTTCCTCACCAACTCGTCGTAGCACGCGGCTCTGCCAAGGCAGCGGCAGGTGCCGGTCATGGAATTCGAATAGCAAAAGCTGCGAGCATCGAAGAGCATCATTATTATTCTCATCATTATTGTGACAATAAAAGTTAGTTGAGCACTGTGCAAAACTGGATGCTTACTTTGAAACAATATAAATAAATTTTAAATATAGCTTCGAGCTCTATTGGAGCCACACAATATGCACTTAAAGTTCAAAAGTGAGTAAGCTCGTCTGTGAGTATTGATTTATCCTCCAATTCGAGGCCCCTTTGTGAAAACACTTGTTCCTTGCATGACTCACCCTAATGCACAAAGAGAAACACGCACCTTACATCGCTTGCTTTGTTGCCTCGCCGCTCAGAAAACTAAACTAAAAATTCTCCGTGGCGGCTGCTTCTTCAGTATTATTATTTATAGACGCGCCATGCACACAAACATACATATATTTGTACGTGTGTATGTGTGTGTGAGTAAACACAAAAAATTGCTGTAAAAATAAATGCAAATAATTGCATACGGCATACGGCGTACGTCATCGTTTTTTTTCAAGTGCAGCATAAATAGGGAAGTCTGTGCATGCGTGTGTGTGTGTGCATGCGTGTGTCTGTGTGTAACTGCGTCACCAGCAACTGAACGCAAATGAAAAACGTAAACAAGCCCAAACCACCATTGGATTGGTCAGTACGTGAGCTTATCTAAGAACATGTTTATGCGTAGGCGAATAGAAAGTTCGCCGTGAAGCGCGAACATAGTAAATAGTGATCAAATTGTTGTGCTATTGGCACTGACTGCACATTGGTGCAAAAGCCGCTGATTCTGCTGGTAGTAACAACAAGCATTGTTTCGTTCTCATGATTTAACTGCATATCTTATTAAATTGAGTTAAATTATCATATTTATATTGATGCCCAATACACATTAAATTCATATATTCCGAGACTGTCTGTATCCAATCTCATGTGGAAGTCTTTACAAAAAAAGGTCCTCTAGAGAAGAGTGCCCAACTAGAAAATACCCTGTGCCGACTTTCAATTTGATTCGCCCTAAAGAATTGGGTTAGCACAAGATTATTGATTTACAGAGCAGTCCAGATTCGAGTGACAGGACAAGGTCTGCTTTTAATATTTGTAAATCTCATTTTGAAATACGAAATCATCTGCATTGGCTGGCATCTTGATGCTGAGCATATACATATATATATATATATTCTTACAATTTAGAAGGAGCTAACAACTGCCCATTTTTGTTGCACATAACCATTGCCCCCATAATGATATTTGTGGCTCCTCAAACCAAAACTTGGACCGAAATAGTTGTCCAGATAATAAGCAATACTATGCATTAAAGACATGATTAAACGCAGCTTCCACCAGTTACAAAAAGATATATTAGATATACGTTCAGGCAGCGAACAGGATATATCAGGTTTGGGCAACAGTCATCTTGTTATCCGTATGAAAGCAAATCATATATGCCCGTAATTTATTATATATTCTATGCCCGTAAACTTGACCGTTAGAATGGAAGGATTGGAGGTGTGTTATCGATTATATTCCACGCCTTCTACTGATTGATTTAAAGTTATATCTAAACGCTCCTCGGTCAAGCTACAGTAAAGACATAAAACTTAATGCTGCGTCGCTTGGCTTGGATAGCTAGTAGACTCCAAGAATTCTTGGCACACCCTAATAGTGTTAGGCCGTAAATGAGAGTTCTACTGTGGTGTGATCCGATTGTTAAATCTAAAGCAAAGAAACCAACTCTAATTGCATTGAACTCATAAGCTTTGGCTTCGATTTATGAAACGATCCATTGTCAGTTTTTCTTGCAACGATCTATTAGAGTATTGAAATACATTTCCCTTTTTGGGAAGTCGAGCCCACTGTGCACTTAGGGTGGGAACTCAGGCAGTTGGCTGACCTGCCAACACAGAAATTGAGAGGTGCTCGTTGTCGTGATGAATTTAATAGTGCCCCACGCTGGGTTGTATAAAATAGGTTCGATAAAAGAGTCTATGACTGAGTGGAGGCGAGAGATGACTACTCACAGGCTGACGAAGGGTCCTCGGAGGGCCGGCATATCGCGTCGCCGATTGAGTGGCGGTGAGAGTGATAGAGAGAGAAAATCCTGCTGAGCCTTGTCCTCATCAACGATGCTCGTCGGGGTGCTGTAGATGCGTGTCGTTGGCAAGTATCCAATCTGCTGAAGAAAGTCATCCCGGTAAGAGAGCTTCGTGGTCGACTGCGAAGACGTCAGCGTGCCTAGCGACAGTGGCTGATGTGCCACTCCCGTGCCATGGTGGTGCAAATGCAGATGATGGGCGGATGCCACCACCGGAGCAGCCATATTCACATGATGGTGAGTCGTCGGATGGAAATGTGGGTACGGTATAGGCACGGGCGCGGGCGCAGCTGTTGGTGCATTGGCTCCACCGTAGCCCAGTCCGTGGGCGTGGGACAAGAAAGGCGGCGCAATGATTTTGTCGTCGAAGCTGCGCCTAAAGCTAAAACCCTTCAGCGAGTTGCTGTAGTTGCGATGCGACAACGGCGAGCTGCCCAAGTCAATGCTGGCAGCTGGACCGAGCAGCTTCATGGTGCTCAGATAGTTTGGCGAACCGCTGCCCGCGGGGCTCAGCGTTTGTGTTTGAGTCTGCGCCTTGCCGCTAGCCGTAGCCGTGCCGCTGCCCAGCATGCTAAGCGCCGGCGAGGTGCGCAGCTGAGGACTGCCACCGGCCGTGTTGGCCGCCGTGTTGCCGCACACCGAGTTGCCCGCCGAGAGCGGCGGCGAGATGGCACTTAGCGTGGAGATGCCGCTGTCACTGCTGCAAATGCCGGCCGGCAGTGTGTGTGTCAGTGTGTGTGTGTGGCCCAACGATGTGTGGGTGGGCGAAATGAGATGATGCTGATGCTGATGCTGGTGCTTGTAGCTGCTGCCCGTGCTGCCACTGCTCCCCCCGCTGATGCCACCGCCGCTCACAAGGCCGGCCATGCCGCTACTGGGCAGAACGGGAGCCAGCTTGGCAATATGCCCGCAATGCGCCTGCAGTGTGAACGATACTCAGAGAGAGTCCTTTTTCAGGTCTCGCTGGCGTCGACTCCTTTTTCTGTGTTAGCACTTCTTGGTTTGCTGCTGCTGCTGCTGTTTTCTGAAGGTATTCGCCTTGGTTAGCAGCTACATGGCGCCGATGTCCTAGCCGTCGTCCACATCCTGATTGTCCTTTGTTCCTCTATGCAGACTTCCTTGTTCTTGTTGCAGGGGCGCTTATGCTCCCAATGCAGCCAGAGAGTTTCCAGGCTCATTTGCACTCGCAGTCGAAGCCATCGCCTCCCCAATTACTTTACTTTGTGTAGCATACTTCTGTGCGTAGGAAAATCAATGAAGGCCTTCCCTGTCTAAAGCATTTTAATGCATTTTAATACCCGTTTTTCGGTTTTCGGTTTTCGTTTTTCGCTTTTCGCCACTCGCTCTGCTTTATAGCCCAAATTGCGCATGAAAAATTAACACATACATGAACGTAAACTATGTACACGCACACACAGATACAAACGCGGCTAATTTTTCCTCCACTTCGGTATTGACTTTGGTTTACTTTTGATTCATTCGTTTTACCGTTATAATGCGATTAATTCGAAGCGAATTCATTTAACTTCTGTCCCCAATTGAGGTATCACTTAACATTTCTAGATTCCCGATTTTGGCCCAGCAGCAGGAAAAATTAAAATGTATTTCTGGATTACACCTTTGATTATCCAGTTTTAACTCTGCAGTGCCTCGCACACGTACTCTCCGACTGTCTATCGGTTTCTGACCCGTACAAACCCTGCAGCGAAGTTGCGCCGAGCCGTCTCTACTTACTGCCCAGCCTCAGACCGTTCTCTCTCTCTCGCTATCGCTCGCTTTTACTGGCAGAGCGCATGTGCCGGCTCCGCCGTTACTGCAAAAGCATTCCCACAAAGCACCAAAACAAAACAAACCAAAAGAGAACGAGAGCAGCTTAGAGAGGCTGAAAAGCTCACTGCTAGAGTCAGCTGTCAAAAGCTCAGCCGCACCAACAACACGATAGACAATGCCGTATTTGTTTACCAATGCACATCAGCAGAAAAAGTCGTAAAAATGGCGTTTCAGTTATTTTTAAGCTTTCGCCGGGCGCTTTTTGTGAGAGTATTGCAGGTAGATGCGCCCCCCCTTTTCAAATAAGTTCTTTCAATAATATGCACAAATTGTATTCATTTATATAGTTATTTTATTGATTTCGGTTTCATTTTGTATCAGAAAAATTTAAATTTGAAAACAATTGTTAATTGTAATTTAAATATTTGGAAATGTTTTTATTTTGTTTACTCGTAAATACACACACAAAACTTTAAAATGGTACTATCATAATTTTAATTGTATATAATATATATACATACATATTTATATATATGTATATTTATATATGTTTTTATTGAATTGTATGTGTGTATACATGTGCTAATTCTTTGTAATTGATACAGATGATATACATTTAGGATATTATAAAATATTTTGTCTAATTGCAAAACATTACATTAAATATGAAACAAAAACCAAACAATTTTAAATAATTTAATATATAAATAATACAATTTGAGGATAAATTTAATTACCAATATTTTGTGGGCGAACAATTATTGAATATAATTTGGATACGAATACTTTTGAAGGAAGTTTTGATACTATATATTTACGTAAATTTAGAATAGATAGGGGATTAAATGTTGTTCTTGATGTTGCTGTTTAAACGTTATGGTTATATTGAGTGCGATTCTAGACTGTTTAACTTGACTTATTTATATACATTTGCAACTTATCGAGCGGACCAATTTCTTTGGTTGGATGCGGTCTCCATATACACGTTTACCCAACCAAAATTGACCCATCATTCAGCAAGAGCACAGAACAGTTTATTGGATTCTTTACATATATGAACATATTTTAACAATTTAGTGTAAGCTAATTTTAAAAATTGGACACCAGGTTGCAACAACAAATATTATATTCTTAGCTAACAGGCAAATTTCTATAGGGTACGCACACACACAAATGCAAAGTAAATCTAATATGTGGTATATGTGGTATATGTGGCGGTCGCATACATAGACATGAAAGTTAACGATCCTGGTGACATAAGGTTCAAATTTTGGGTATATATAGGCATATTTGTTAAGTAGTTTAACCAAGTTCAGTTCAAGGACTATATATATATATATACATATATAATGTATAACTGAATGTGCAGTTCAATTCGATTTGCATTGTCCACTTCGTTACGGTATTTTTGCAGAGGAAATTGCAACAAGAATATAATTTGAAGTAATTTCTATCGGATTGATTAAAACGTGCACTTTACAATTCATATTATAAATTAGAATTAATTTCTAAAGCTTATGATAAATATATAAGTATGTATGTATATATATATATATTTATATATATGTTTCCGATTTATTGAACATACCAAATTTTTAACAATTAAAAGGAATAAAAATATGTATGGCTGTTCAAAACGCTCTCATTAATTGGTTTCTCTCGCTTGAAGCATGAATCTAATATTTTTGCTTAACCATATCTAGATGCAAAGAAAGAGAAAGAGAAAAAAGAATAAAATAGTTCAATGAAATAAAAGGCAAAATAAAATATGAATAAGAATTATAGTCAATTATGCTTAAGCTAAGACCAATTACCAAACAAATCTAAGGTGCAAGTTGGCAGTGTGATGATCAATTGTTGAGCAGCTCTCAGCCAGATGACAGTACAAAACAGACAAATACAGAGTTGCATTCACAATAAAGTATATAAAGTGTATTTACAGTATGCTGTAATTTCATTAACATTTCCATTGATTTTTAATTCGAGCAATAAGCAAATATGAATAGATTCGAGTGCCAGATGAATACACGAGTATAGCTGTTGGGCAGTGTTTCGGAAATGCCCGACATTAGTTTTAGTTCCGGTTAATGGACGATCTCTGAATATGATGAATGGTGATTGGATGACATTTGTTAAATAAAATCTGGCCAGTGAAATGAAAACGAATTAACTCTGGAGCGGGGATCATTGACATACATACATACATTGCATATACATAATACATTTATTTATAGATTTAAGTATATACAGACACACATATGCCTACGCTCTTCTCGATGTGAAAATGAGTGTCGAAAAATATACGTTCAGGTCCTATAACTGGGCTGCATATGTTATGATATAAGAATGCAAGTTTGTTTATGTGTGTGTACATGAGAGCTTATATGGCTATTAAATTGGATATTAATTGTTTATAATCGTTTAAATATTATTTATTAAATATTGTGTGTATTACTCGGCTCCCAAAAACAAGTGTTGGAGGCTGCACAAGAAGTTGTTAAGAGTGACTTCTGCATGAAACTATTCTAATATATAGATATATATATATATATGCATATATATATATATTTATACATTCATTCAAAAGGTTACTGTGGTTTACAATATTTGGGATTTCGTATTTCAAGTATTTTTGCAGATTTAACAACAAGTTCGATGGTCAAAGACGCTTTGTTAGAGTCAAGATTGTTATTGTACTGCTGATAAAAGTTCTTGAATGTATGTTTTCTAATTCAGGTGAAGAATAACATTCTCGATTCCTTAACTGACCCAACTTGTTTATATACCTGGTGTGTATGTGGTCTGTTCTGTTGTGTTCAGCGAAGTGTTCTCATTTGCAGCCACGGGAGCTCCAGTGAAGGGATTGACTCCAACTCCAGCGCCACTTGGAGGCGGCATGGCAAAAATGGGTTGCCCACCCGCCTGCTCCCTGGGCTGTGTCGTAACAGGTGCGCCGCCAGCACCCAGGTTAACATCGTCGAGATCAACGTCCTCCTATATAAACAAAGAGCAGAAAAAAGTTCAATTAAGGAGCAATTCACTCAACTTAAGATCTAAAGATCTGTAGAGCTGTATATTTCGTCTGCATTGTTTAGTCAAGGAGTTTTCTGGTTAGTAGATTAAAGCCGTTTATTATTTATATACAAATATTTTACAATGTGTTTTGTTAGTTAGCCTTAGCAAATTAAAAAGTCACATACAAAACCAAAAATATACTAAAACTACATATTACATATTACATTACATATTACAATTACGCGATTACGTGATTTCACAGTACAATTTCTATTAGATGAAAATTAATTTATGAGAGAGTTCATTTACCCAGCGGAGGCCTAATAGAGAAGACCAAGCTTCGGACATATTTAGAAAATGCTCCACTTCTTTTATTGCCACTGAATATGGACTCAATTTTAATTTGATATAACGTTTAAATTTGGCTTGTTACGATGGTTGGGTTAGATAGATAGGTGGGGATAGTTGTACCGTGGATATATATATTTACGCCTTTTGTCATGCGGAAGTCATGCCGGAGTCGTTTTCTATTGCTATACTTACAAGACGTGGCTGCTGTCCCAAATGCGGTGGCAGCTCGCTGGCCTCTCGATTGCCATCAGAGCGCTGGGTTGTTTATATATGGCAAAACATATCACATACATATGTACGAATCGAAACGGATCGGATCAAATCGGACATATATAGTAGATGTGTATATATATTTGCGATATAAATTTAGTATGAGCCGCGCGCAGGCGCAATTGTGTGTGAGGTTGTAGGTGGGTATGATGAGTCGATCGAAAGGTGGTTTTGAGAAAAAAATAAACAAAATTAGAAATGTAAATTTGTTGTCTTTTTTTCCATCACATACATACAATTATACACATAAGTAGTACATACAAAAGAAAATGGAATTCAATAATATATATATATATTCTCATATATATTTATATATACAAAGACAAGAAAACAAGCGCAATCAATCTCATTATGTAGACAAAGGCAAAAACTTTAGACGAAAAAAGGAAGCGTCGAATATCATTTGTCAGCTCGAAACTAATAATTTATCAACATTTTTTGCCTTTTAAAGAAAAATATGTTTACAGCAAAGTTGTGTTGGTTTGACTTTCATTTATCATTGAATCGAAATTCGAGAGTTTATTTATGTATTAGTAGAACCTTCAAAGCATTTGATGATTTTCGTGGAATCCGCATTCAAAGCAAAATAAATAATAAAAAACAGGAATGAGGAGACAAATGTTAAAAATGGCGATGAAACATTTGCGGGGTGTTGTAAGTCGTGTCGTATATACCTTTGCCTTTTGTGGAGAACTTAAGCTACATACTTACTTACCTCAACATAAGAAACAAAATATGAGATAGTTATTAAGTAGAGTAGAAATGAAATTCAAAACTCAAAATCATAAAAAGCTCGTTCAAGTGCACCAATTCAAGCAAATTATAACAAAAGTTCTGATTTAATTCATAATTAAATCAAGCATTTATTAATCAGTAGCGAAATGCTGGTTAAGATTTATATGCTTTAGTTGTTTTTTACTTTTTAGCTAGAAAACTACTATTGACTAAACAATCGCCCCACAAAAATCATCAAAACGTGTCCAGTGTTGTATCAAAATACAATCTAACGGGCGCTTCGGGACAAGTGTTGTGCCGCATTTATATACATAAACAAGCTATGTGAGTGTGGGGTTGTGTGTATGTGATATGTTGCAAATGTTTATACGATAGCATTCATTATGTGTAGTGTCGAAATGTTCATATTGAAATCGATTGTTTCTCTTGTTTTTTTGTTGACTTTCTTTTTATTCCTTTGTTTTTTAATGGTTAGTATGTGGGCAGGGACGCAATCAATAACCAATAACCAAATCAAACATCACTCACATTCAAATGTGAATACTGGTCGTGCGACTCGTTCACCGGTGGTTTAAACTTGCCGCAACAGAAGTTGCAACAACAGCAGCAGCAGCAACAACAACAGCATCCTGTGAGCAATGTGCAGCAAATGACCAAGGCCTACAGAAAAAGAAGACGTGAATCAGAATAAATTAGCAAAATGCTCAGAACAAGGACCACAAATTACACTCGACTCACCTTCACAGCCGGAGATGTGACCACAAAGTAGGCATTCACATTCTCCTCGCCAAATTGCTCGGCAATGTACAGACCCAGCGAGCCATAATTGTCATAAATATTGCGTTTCGTCTGATCGCTCAGTATCGAATGCGCCCGATTGACCTCCTTGAACTGTTTGTGTAAAGCAAATATTAATGAAGTTCTCATTTTTTCTTATATTTATGTTGGCCACTTCACCTTATCGGCAGCATCTGCGTTGTCTGGATTTTTATCTGGATGGTATTTAAGTGCAAGTTTTCTATAAGTCTTCTTGATATCGTCAGCCGTTGCTGTTTTAGGAAGTCCCAAGATTTCGTAGAGCGAATCGCCCGATGTGCTGAAATAAGCCAATCAATCGCAATTACAATTATTACATTTTTATTAAAGAACAAGTCATTTTCACACGAATAACACCAATAAAATATTACAAATGGAAAAGATATACTCATATATTTCCAATCGAGTTATTATAGGTGCAACAAGCATACACACAGCCCGACCAGCGGAATACCTGTCGTATCTGTATTCCTTTTATTTGTTCTTAAGTCCCAGAAGGCAACTATTTACCTAATCTAACTCGCAGTCCACATGCAACTCGCAAGTCTCGTTGGGCTGGTGTGATGACGATGACTAAGCGCTGGGCATTCCAACAGCAACAGTTAAGGGCAATGCAACACGCGATAGCTAGACTTAAGTTTGTGTATGTACTCTTCTCTCAGTAGTTACTGACATATGGTATATATATATACTTATATGTATGTATGTCATTGATGCGAAATGCGAATCAAGATGCGATTTACGCCCACTCCGTGTTATGTTCCATTTCTTTATTTTTGTATCTTTATTTTTGGCAAGGCTTTGCTGAGCTGCTTGGCCTTAATGTAGTAGAACGTGCTGATAAGAACAACGAGCTGAAATAATTGTGATGCTTTGAGGACATCTCTCAAAGCAAAGTGGCATTATTTGCGCAAAAGGGTGGTGCAAATGCAAGCCAAGCCAAACCAAGGCCAAGGACGCACGAAACAAAAAAAAACTATTTAACAGAGCAGAGCTTGGCCTCAGTGGAAAAGCAAACGAAATGGGGCCAACGAAATGCCGCTTGAGCATTACTCATCGCAATATATAATTGTTTTAGTACAACAATACACCTCATACATACTTGTACTGACCCGTACATGTGTTTAAAGAATGGGAGCACAAGCTGCCAAAAATTGTTTAGCCCCTCTAACGCTTTTACCTGAAGCAGTTATGGATAACATACATAAAGACCTTCCTGTGTGTGTGTGTGTCAGAGAGTAATGTAGTGAGTAAGAGAGATAGAGAGAGAGTAGGTGAAGCACTTGTTGTTATCAAAATTCATTAGCTTTAGTAGCTTGTGTAACGTTAGTCGCGGATAATACCCGGTACACATTAACGTACTCATTAAATTCACAAGCACATTATTTGCTACATAGTTGGAAATAACTGCTCAAATACACATGCACACACGCACATTCTTAAGGACAATGCAGACTCGCAGAAATGCAGCTAAGCAGCAGCTGCCGTTTCTTTGCTTTTTAGGATTTCGCTCTTGTTTATCTTCAAGTGAATGAAAAAGAATGGAACCTAATTCAGCCGTTACAGCAGCTGCGGACTGTTACCTCTGCTGTTGTTGTTACTGGCGTGCGGAAAATCAATTGACAGTCGACTGAGCTGCCACTGCCGCTGGCGTTAGCAATGCGCATCTGCCGTCTGCAGACTGTGTGTATGTATGTGTGCGCAGAAAAAATGGTAATATGAAGAAAAGCATTTGTAAAATTCTACTTACGACAATTTTCTTTTATCCATGCCACCGCCACTCATTTTGCTGTTATTGTTGGCGCGCCTTTCTTCGATTATATGTCACACTATAGTTAACAATTAATAATTAACACCAGCTTTTTGCACGCACTCACACAGTCGGGAAACAACACATTTGTTATATTTGTCACGAAAATTGTAAATGACTACGGCTACTACGGCTATCGTTATCGATTCTGACTAGTGATGTGCACGTCCACTGTCTGGGATTCACGACGTGTGTCGTAATCGATAAACAAAATTGTTTTATAAAAAATAGATCACAAAATAATTCAACAAAAGAACAAAAAACAGTAAACTTAAAGTGCAACACAATAAATTCAAGGCTTACTCAATATATATTGATGACTTCTGTAAAGTGTCATCGAAGCGTAATCGCAACATGTGTTGTCATCTACACAAAATATAAAAAATATGTACAAATTTCAACCGTATCTTCAGAATGTGACAATTAACATTAATAAATTTCCCATTGCATTTTCAAATAAAGGCTGCATGCTGACTTTTAAAAAGATTGAATAGTATTTTTTTTGTTATCACATTCGATAAGCAATTTTCGCTTTGATAATCGCTACATGATTTCTTTTAACCGATGCGAGTGTGACCATAGATCTTAAACTGTCGCATTAGAATGTGCCGCTCTGCTCAGTGCGGATTTGACGGTTGAATTTGTCGGTTGTGTGGAGTGCGTGTAAGTGTTTCGCATTGCAGCCAATGTCAAAGCCCCAAATCCATGGATAACTGCAAACTGTTACACATTTGAATTTTACACACAAAAACTAATTTCGTGCGTGTCATGTTTCCATAATTCAACAAATTTCATCACCATTCGCAAAATTTGAACCGAATATCCAATCTCTTTTGCATGCTCAACATCTGTCGCAAATATTGGCGGTTCGTTTCTTTTAGCAACAGGTGTCAGTAAATTACCCGAATCGCAATCTGTTTTCTTTCTTCATTTTTGTCTGCGTGATCGAGGTGTAATGGAAAAATGTGTTTATAAAACGATTGGTGTTAGTGCATAGATCTCTTCTCTTCGTACACGATGTGTAAAAAGTTGGCACCAATAAATTATCGCACCATCTCGAAATGTTTCGCTGCAAATAATAATGAAAATGAGAATATCTAGTTTTTAATTTTATGCGTACGTTTGAGTGCGTGCAATTTTTATCGAAATCGCTTTGCTTTGCCACACAGAACGTGACAAAATTTGTTAAACAACAGATCAACAGCTACAATTAGTGCAAGCATACATAAGTATGTTTATATGTTGTATTTGCACGTAAGTATGCGAATATGTGGGCGGACATGTGCATAAAATGAATAAGAAAAAGTTTACAATTAACTTAGCAGCCATGTTTATGGCCCGTTTGAAGTACCGTTAGTAAGATGTCTCTTTTACTGCGTGGCTGTATTGCTGTGCGAATGTGTGTGCGTGCATGTGTGTATGGGCACATATGCTACTTTACACGCATACATTCAAACATATGTAACTTGTGTAAATCTATAAATGTATGCCAATAGCTATAGTAAATGCAATTACATGTCGGCCGCAAAGTCGTATCTTTTGTCCCCTGAAAATTCCAAGCCCCCTATTCCAATTTCCTATTGACAATCCTCATACAATTGCACGTAGCCAAAGCAGCACCGCACTCGAATTTAATTTACATAAATTTTTCATGCAACGAGAAAATAATTGATAAGCGTCATAAAAACAACAATAACAATGTCAACAGCTGCTGTTGCCGAGGCAACAGCTAAACAACAAAAGCAAAACTCACAAATACAATGCAATGCAATTTCAATTTTTTGTTCGCTTTTAAATTAATTTTGCGTGAGCCCCAAAATGAGTCAGTCTCAATAGCAAAAGGCGTGTGGCGGCGAGGCATGCCTGCGTGTATATTGCCGGTGGTAATGACGCGGGCAGCGACGCGACTTTTGCTGCGACGTCAGCGTCATAAGCATATGCGACTGACGGCATTTCTTAAATTGTGATCATAGAACGTGCGAGCGGGAAGGGTGGGTGCTGCAGTGCGAGGGAGGCCACAGTCAGACCCGTTTTGTTTCTGTTGTTGTTGACAATATGCAAGCGTGCGTTTTGAATTCATAGTGGCATCGACGTCGACGTCAACGTCAACATCGGTGTCGGCGTCGGCGTCGGCGTCCCTGTCACTGACCACAGTCAACGGTATATATTGGCAGCTGTGCTGTTATGTTGTGCATTACTGTTGTTTTTGTTATCAAAGCTTTGCGAATATGATGAATGGGAACAGTCGTTAGCCAAAGCGAGCCAACCGACAGATGGTCTGGAAAGCTTATTGCGCAATTTGATGCGTGCCCGATAAGTGACAGACGTTAGTGACATATCCTTATCACATCTCAGACTCATGTCTCATCTAAATAAATTCTAATGTTTATATGAATTAATAATGCAGATTAGCGAATGTAGGTTAAGAGATTATGCTGATTAAGCGGTTTTGCATGCTCACCCGTGAGCAGCATTAAAATTGTCCACAAATTACCCGCAAATCGCTTTTGGAGCCGCCCGCAGCGCCAGGCCAACCACCCACGAGTAGAGTACCTTTTATCGCACGTTGACGTGGCCGCATGTACATTTAATTAAATTCCGTATGTAGATGTATTTTCAATCTTTTACATGTCCCTCTTATCAGTAGCTAAATGCAAAACAGACCCGGACACTATCTGAAGCCCTCTTGCTGCTGCTTGACATGTGGTCTGTGGCATGTGACATGTTGCATGTTGCATGTTGCATGTTGCATGTTGCATGTGCCCTGTGGTTACGAGTGTAGTTGTGTATGTAAAACATTTCGCACAGCAGACTTGACACGACTTGCATTGGCTTTGCCACCGCCTATCAGACGTTAACAAAACAACCAGAATGGCCCGCCCATTGGCACAGTTTTAGGCTGTAGGTGCTTAACTTGAAACGGACGCATCCCATAAAAATGTTGACAACAAATTAGCATAGTCATAAAAGTAAATTCACAAACTAACAATGAAACATGCGCTGGACTAACCAATGCCCTGTCTACAGAGGTGCGTCCCATTCGAGTTGCCGTTGCTTTTACATGGAATGGAAAATGAATTTCGCATTAACTTTTCTGTTTGTTTGCTTCGTTCAACAGGAAACGAGGGAAATATGTGAAAAGTGTTCTGAATATATGTGTAAAAAGCGAAATTATTCCTTAACTTTAGTCTGCAACACCGAAAAATATGATTTGTCGACAACCTAAAATCACCAATGGTCGATTTTGCACACGAAGTTTATGGGCAGACAGACCTAGGAATAAGAAAAAATAGAGCCAAGCAAAAACTCAGACATTCATTGATGAACAGATAATCACGAACAGTCAGCTTGAATCGCCGATGGATGGTAATTAAAAATATATAAAGTTTTCAATTAACAGCTATGGTATTTGCAGCAAAAAGATTTAGTTCAATTTACCTTTAGACTGTAAAAATACAAAATATATATATTTCTCAGCTATAATATCGCACCTAAAATATTCTTAATATTTCATTTAACATCATTTATGTCTATATCTGTGGTAAATGGATACAGTTAATAAATGTATTGTAATACAATAGACAGGAAATTTAATAGAGGCGTCGCTAAATGACTTCATTGGTTGACCAAATTTTTGTTTCTTATCCTCCTAAGTTTGAGCTTTGGCGATAATTAACATTCAAAAAGTTAAGCTAACGAATCGTTTCTTATTGGGAGAAGTAGGAGGGTGAGTAGGAGTGTGCGTGTGTGTGTGTAATGGTAATATTTTATGGGGACGCAAAAGAAAAAAACGGGAAAACAATGGGCCAAATGGCAAAAATTACCAGGGATTCGGATTCTGTGTGGGGGGTAGCTCTGCGGCATCTAATGGGCCACCCAACGAGCACTGATTGGCTCATCGTGCTGTGGGGTTGGGTGCTTCTATTTTATGGACCTCTTACTAACACTGAGATTTTAAGGCGATGCCTTGTCCCAACTGCAGCCAAATAGTCAAATGAAGACGTTAAGCCTAAGGCTAACAACTCAGTCGAGCACCTCGCTGTGTATTTAATGCCTGCTTGGCCCGATTCAGTTTCATCTTTAAGTCTTTAGCAAGTGAGTTCACACACACACACACACCACGTACACACACAAATGTATGTAATGTGTATCTGTGTGAGGGGAAGTGAACGAATGTCGATGCCGTTGATTGTGCTATGTGGCGGCCACAGTAAGCGTAAGGAAAACTACAATTAACGGTTAAAGGAAAGTTTTCGCGCAAAACAATTCATTTTATAGCTCGATACGTTCTCTCGTCCGTTCAGTTTCGTCTTTTGCAAATGTCCCTTTAGTCTCGAATATTAAATGAATGTACTCTGAACTTAACCAAAGCCAAGTCAAACAAAATTCGACAAGCAAGAGATTAGCATTTCCCTTGCACTCAACTTATTAAGATAAATACTCAAATCCAAACCATAAAATCCATATAAAATACCTTTGGAGTATTTCTTTCAATCCTAAAATCGTATCGCATTTATATAATTTTTGTCAACTTACACAATAGATCACCAATCAGCTAGGATATATATTTGAAACATTGTAAAAGAATAAATATTTATATATATATATATATATATGTATATATATACATATATATATTCTTCCGATTCTATTCAAGTAAACTATAAAAGTTGCTATATAAAGTTGTGTGTAAACTTCTGACATTATCTAGTTGGATTTCATACATTTTTTCAATAAATATATAATATTATTGTATCTTATAAATGTATGTATCTTGTGTGTATTTACTAATTTTGGTGTTTTAAAGTTAATTATTCTGCGAGCTTTATTTTGTTGAACAAGCTATGAAGAACTAGTCGGGAATTTCGAACTCTGAGATGCCCTTAATCTCCACCGATGCACGTTTTGTCGAACCTACAACTCCTCGGCAACTTGAATCGCCTCTATTAACTGCTTTTTGTTGCAATCGCAATGACGATTCCTTGTTTCTGTATTGACTCAGTTCGTCATCCTGTTTTAGAATGTACATATATACTCAATGGAGCCACGCCACATCGCCCTCTGCCTGTTATGTACAACAAACTTGTGGTATTATATCGCTAACTATCACTTTGAATGAGTAGAAGAATCAGGGATCAAAATGTAAAAAACTCGGCGGACAAAACAACCCTGTTTGAATGCAGATTGGTTCCAACCCCAAACCCAACCATATTAAGGTTTGGAGCTATGCTTATGGAGCTGAATCTTTATAAAAGCTCTGACAGCTTTCGGTTATCGGCATTCGCTTATCAATCATTGAGTATCGTTTATCCAACATTATATATTGTCCGAAACGGCGTTAGAATAATGCCTTTTGGTCTTTCTATCATGTATAAAATAATCGAGGTCTTCCATGTTTATAGAATGCCATAAGGTATTTCCGACAATTGATTTAGCTATAAAACACTTCGCCCTACGCGCGCTTCCGCCGGCTGAGACATCCGAGATAAGCTCATGTGCAGCGCACTTTAAATGCAATTTGTGACAGTTTTGCTTGAGCTTGACTTTCAGCTGACACGCACGCAGTTGGCGATAATGTGGGTGTGGCTGTTGGCATCTGCTCGCAGAGCTCAAAGGACCAAGGACATTCCACGACAAGTCAGAATAACTGAAGAAATGGCTGCACAATGGAATTCCATTTTAATATATCACAAAAATGCACCATAGCTACAACAATAAGTCAAAACAATGTGTCGGGTGCGACCGACTGTATAAAAATCGTTAACGGTAAATGTATCCAATAAATCGGTGGCAACGACTATACGATGCAAAGTTCAGGTCTCTAGCCTTGCGTTCATACAGACAAAGGGAGTTAAGCCAGACGGACATTGCAGAAAACTGATATACCCGTTTTTGTTTCGTGAACGTGAATAACAAAGGGGCAATAATAAAACAAAGTTTATTACTTGTCTTAGAAGTCCATAAATCTTTCCAACTCGGCTCAGTTCAAATTTAAAGAAATTTTACTTATGAAGGACTTTCAAGGACGCCGATTGGAGCATCGAAGTGCTCATTAGACTGAAGTCATCTGCAAAGAAAAAGTATATTTTCTAGCGTACTTCAACAAACCCAAGCCTGACAACTTTGGGAATATACATACGGACAAAAGTTGGGTGTATGCAATATGTGTGTCACGTACATCAAACTTTGAGCCGGAGGCCTTACAATTGATTTTGAAGTAATGGATGTGTGGGGCGCAGGGAGCTCTTCGATGCAGATGCCAGTTGGTTGGCTGGGAAGCAGAACCCCCTGAAGCCTGTGATTAATGACCAAGTCTTTCACTCATTTATACTATATTGGGTCCTCTTTATTGTTATGTGCCCTACAAGAATGCTATGTAGTAGGCGCCTTTGCCAAAAGGCGCGTGGCTTTGTGTCTCCAGATAATAAATGCCTGAGGCATTGTCAACTGCTGCGCCATCGCCCATGCGATGCAAAGACCAGTGGCAGCTGCTCGCACTCATTTGCTCCGCTGACACGCATTGGGCGCAGAGGAAGTTGTTCGCTGACGACCACATTTCGGCGGCCAGCTCGAGGGCTCGTTCGTGCGAGCAGGTATCCGGATCTGCCGTAACATTGCAGCCAGGTTGCTGCTGCCCACCATTGGGATAGTAGTCCACATCACCCAGTCGCGCCATTGTACCCAGTCCTTGGCCATTGGTGTGTATGACCTCCACGTACACTGCGTCCTGCACTGACAGCCGATGCTTCAGCGTATCTCTGCTTCCGCTTGGATCGAGTGCTGTGATGTGCGGCAAAGGGTCGCCGAGCTGCTGCTGCACTTGTGCAGCTGCGGCTCCAGCCAAATGCGCACCCGCCCCAATCCCCACCAGTTGCTGCTGCTTTAGCGGAACATCGAACTGGCGGTGCAACAGAATCAACAAGCTACTCACACTGTCCACAATATCTGACTCGTTTTGCACCTCAGCCAGGTCCACAACGAAGACATTGCAAGGCTCTCGTTCAAGGAGAGCAGTAACAAGTATTAAGTGCTCTGAACTATTGACCGATGTCGAACGTACGGACACTCTGTTGACGGAATGGTCTGTCAGATAGGATTGTTGATTAAATTTTATGGATCACGCATGACTTACACAATTCGTTCCAGGGCATAGAACGATGAGCGAAGCAGCGATTCTACCTCCGGCTTGATGTGCTCTGGTGTGTTGACATTGCGACGTGTGTAGAGTAAATATTCTGGCGCTGCACTAACTGTAAAACTTGATTGTTGCCAAAATTGCTCTATTGGGCGACTGCAGCAGCTTTACTTACCTGCAGCCAATAGAAGGCAGCTAAGCATTACCTCAATGAACAACATTTTCTAATCGACTGAAGCTTAAACTAAGCCCTTGGCACTCCGTGTTTTATTGACTGCTGATAGCAACTGCTGATTAGATAAGATTATCGATAAGCGCGCCTAATCAAAATAACTTCACTATGATACCATTATACGATGCATGATAGACTGCGCTCCGCCAGCTGTATTTACATTCATTTGTAGTAAATTAATTGTTCTGTTTGACTCTAAACGCAGCTGAGTCGAATTAGTCAGTCTCCTGAGCTTGCAAACAAATTGCATTTAATTGCATGACAGATCAAGTTCAAACCCTGTCGAAGTCAGCTGCTACTTGACTATAAAGCGGCTTACTCGTTAATAGCTGACAGCTCGAGGTGGCCCCCTACCTGCACTCGGTAGAGCCGATACATTGCTAGTGCAGCTACTTCTTGCCATTGCATGAATGTCAGCCGGAGACGCATTGAGCTGCCTCTGGCAGGCCCAAAGCCAGAACAGCAAGGGACACTCCCACGTGACCTATTAAAGTTGTTGACCCCATTTGATGGCCAATTCTCATTATTAGCCTCAATAGCTAAGCTCTGTGTGCTTAAAAATTCATCTATCGCTCATAGACTTAGTGCTCCGTGTTGGGAAACAACGTGTTTTCATAGCACTCGAACCAGCGTTAACAGAGCAGATAAATTGCTTGCGAAATTGTCTGTCAAGTGCACGCGGCAGCAATTAACCAGATGCCATGGATCCAACGCCCATTTACTAACTAAGCTCCAAGCGCTCTTCTTGCCGGCTCAGTGAGCACGTCAAGCGCTGGAAGCACACGCTAGATTTATGGACAAGCGTCTGTTATGAAATAACACCGCCCCATTTATAACCAGACTTAACGCTGAGCACAACGCTTGACGAGGGAGTACATCCTACACGCATTATACATATCAGTAACCAGAAAGCCCAAGTAGGATATACTCTGAACCCTGCGTAGGACTCATATTCCAATCATTCTAATCTTCTTTTATACACAAGCTCAGCGCAGCTTACGAACTTAATTGTTACCTTCTTTTTGGCATTTTTAGAGGGGATAATACATATATATGTGTACTTAAAAAGCACAAGCCTCTAGTATTTCATATTTTGTAGTATTTAAGAGGGCTTAAAAAATGAAATCTAATTATCTATCATAAAAAAATTAAGTGAGATCGAAAAACAAGTGATGTTTGGTATACGGGAATAGATATTTTACATTTCAAGTCTATGCTTTTATGGCTTACAAGATCGCCACATTCAGAGTCAGACATAGCTACATCGATTTAGATCGACGCTATAATCAAGAATATGTATTTACTTTACGGGTTTCACTTACTTCAGCCAGTCACATAATTTTTTACAAAAAATTGTACCCTAAAAGTGGGAAGGGGACTCCTATATAGTTTATATATATTTTTGTACGAAGCTATGAACATTGAGATTTCAAATAGCTTTTTACAAAGTAATGAGACTCTTGGAGACTCCTACTACTACTTTAGAACTTTAATACATTCCTCGTATCTTCTTGAACACTTTTCTTGCTTTTAATATCATGAGTCATGATCATTGAAAATATGTCCGTATGAACGTAGTTATCTCGTTAAATACAAAAACTAAAGCCTTATATTTTAAATGTATATTATTGAATATCGATAAAAATCGATAGTTTGATTTCACTCTTTAAGCGTAACTTAAATAGCACAGAAGCGGGAGATTTCAAATACAGTGTCTAGACTACTCAGATGCATACAGATCCAGAGTCAGATTGATAGATTTCCCATTCAATCCAAAATTGAAAAGACTAGAAACTTCTGCTTTTACGTTCTTAAGATGTCATTCGAAACATAAACTTATTCTGTACGTGAGTTTCTGTGTGTCATGAGCTTGTTCTACAATAATTGAAACAGCAGCGCAGGTTCTAGGGTATGTCTTATTCGTATACTCCTTACAAGACCACTCTTAACATTTTTTATAAATTACCTCAATCTGTTATTCATAAAATATGTATACATTATACCTACATAGAGAGAGGCATTATTTGATTTTTTTGTACAAATCCTTTATCCTATGCTTACAAAGCACCGAGACGTTGTCTTTTAAATTTGGTCCATTACGTTGTATAGAATTTGATTAGAAATCTATTTAAATTGATGTGTAAATGCGTTTTGCCACCTACTTTGTAAGTTGTGTCAATGGGGCTCTATTAATCAACGATGGCGAACATTCACACGCTGAATGTGATGTGCATGACGCGTCTATGTAATTGTGTTATGATAAAGTGGAATTGTAATAAGCCAAGTAAAAGACGTGTAGCACACTCTATTGGCTGATGCAGACAATCAGGGCTCTTAGAACGGGAACAGAAGCGTGATCGAATGTCCCGCATGTGCAAACCTTGAAGTGTTTGAAAGCGATTTAATATAATAAATTATGCTGAGAACTACGATAGCTGGAGGCAAATATCACACATACGCAGCGCAGCCTAGTCAACGGCAGTAAACGCAAAACAAAAACAAAAGAGCGAAAGCTTGCGAAGGAAGCAATAAAAAAATTCCAGATTCAAGCAAAACCCAAACATAGACATTCTGTAGGTTGGGGATGGTCATCATTGATTTTCATACTCCTCTTTTTAGGCTGAGCATGAAAATGGGAGTTTCGGGTATATGTGGCTTAGTTAAAATGTATTTAACAGGCAGAAGGGGGTGTTGCAGATCCAGTATAGTATATATGTTCTTGATCAGGAAGACAAGCTGAGTCAATTTAACCATAATCAGATAAGAGCAAGAGACTTAAATATTTTTGGTAGGTCCCTATGAAGCACGCGCAGATCAAGTTTGTTTCAAATAATCAATAACTAGTCCCGTTTTAATGGTTTCGATTGAAAACATTATCAAAACTAAATTATTAATATATTTTATCTATATGTTATATCTCGTACGTCTCTGGAGGTAGAACCGCCAAATTCTTTTATATTATTTTTAAAAAATATTTTTTAATTTATTTTGCAAACATGGCCAAACTGTGGAGTATATTAAAAAACGCAGATAGTATGGGGTTCAGGGTATCTCGTAGTCGAGTACTTCCGACTAGAGACTTCATACTTGTTTAGTTATGAAATAGAAAACGATTTTGATGCAACAGAAGTTGAAGGATGATGGACAACTGCTAGAGTTGGGGAGGAAATTCGAGTTGGCAATTTATACTTCAGCCAACATAAATGGAAGCCTTGATTTTATCGTATATATCAGTCAATAAATATGATAGATTATAGGGGACGTGTCCATAGTAATTTTGAGAAGTTCAAATTACTCCAGTATAAGTTAATGAAATCACATCAATAATGTCTATCGCATAATTGTTGTCATAAATGTGTGTTGCATTCACGAGTATATATTCCATAATTGAAATTTTAATTATTATTTGCAACTAAAATAGTGTTCAAATTGAAACAGAATTTGTAGAAAATGCTAATGTCAGATCTGATTGAATGGCTATTCACTTCATGAATGCGTGTAAACACGTCCTTCTTCAAGCATATCGGGAACAATAACAGAGCTAATGACGACAAATCCCAGACAGACGAGTGGCAAAAGGACTGAGCAAAGCCTGTTACACACATTGTAACCAAACTATTCCACTTAAATTATCATTTTTAATGGGTCCCACATAAAAACATTCTTGAAAATCCAGCATTAACATCACGACTACAAAATATGCAGCGGTATGAGACAATTTTAGTGTGCGTGTGTCCTTAACTTTGTGAGCGAAGTTAAATAAGATGCTGCCCGATACATGAACTAAGAACCTTAATGTCACACACAGAAACCACGTTAGGAGGAGCAGAGCGACGGCCATCGAGTGAATGTGATTGACAACTAGTGGGCGACGGAACTGTTGCCGCAGCTGTAAATTCCGCAAAAATGTTGCAGCACGCCAAAGGACTAAAGCTTAATATAACACTGTCAGCAACAGAACTTGTGCTGCCCAAGTACAATTAAATTAAACGAAGCGACAACATTCTCGAGAACTGACTAATTCAACCTCACACAACCCTCGTGGCACGTAATGAGTACACCCCGCATCGGTTGCCCTCCAGCCAGTCAATATCTTCTACGCAATCGTGGGCTGCTGTTCCTCCTGCTCTGCTTGTGCCAGTGCAGCACTTGCTATGGGGAGGTCTTCACTTTGGGCTATCTTACGGGCTCCCAACGTCGACCGGGGAACCTTGACTATCAACGGCCAGGTATCACAATTTCGGGCGCCATATCGCTCGCTGTGGAGCAGGTCAATGCCGGTAAATTGGGCGACCTGGGCCACTCGCTCGAGTTCGTTGTGGCGGAAACCTATGGGGACGAGGTCGCCAGCATACGACAAACGGCGGCCTTATGGACGCAGCAGGTGGCTGCTTATATTGGGCCACAGGAGACTTGCGTGCATGAGGGCCGCATGGCAGCCGCCTTCAATCTGCCAATGATATCATATGTAGGAACCAATCTGAAGTTCACAACGTGTCTTATCTATTGATTATTTATTTATTTATTTCCTACTCACATAATGACAGTACTGCACACATAGAGATCCGTCCAACAAGTTGGATTTTCCTACGTTCGCAAGAACACGGCCGCCGGACACACAGATCTCGAAATCGGTGGTAGCTCTGCTGTTAGCCTTTAACTGGACACAGGTGAGTTTCCTCTATCTCGACGATGCCAGCAGTCAGTATCAGCCCGTGGCGGAAACTATACTTGGCACCCTGAGCGGCGCAGGTGTAAGTGTACGGGATATTCGTACGTGGAACACCATTTACCATCATGGCTTTATGGCAAATCCGTTTGATAAGCTGGTGGACGAGACCCATGCGAATACTCGTAGTAAGTATTTGTATTTATGGATTGTGATAAGAAATGCTGATAGATCTATCTCACAGTCTACCTAGTTCTTGGGCATTACTATGAACACGTGGGCCTCATGGTCAGTCTTCAGCAGAGAGGTCTACTTTCTGGTGGAGACTATTTTGTGGTTGGCATTGATATTGAGCAGTATGACCCAGCTAAGCCAGAAAAGTATCTGAGAGGCCTACTGATGGAAAAAGTGGAGCCGCTGGCGGCCCAAGCATTTCAGTCCTATCTCGGGATAGTACCCACAGCGCCTGTTTCCTTTGCGACATTCGCCAATGAGGTAAGCTCCTCGGGCAGGCACTTTTCCTACTGATTTGCCATTTCTCTGAAAACTATCAAATGTTTTTCTCTTTTTTTTTGCTTGTTCCGTGAAGGTCAACAAATACATGGAGCGACCACCATTCAATTTCCCAAACCCGTTGGGTCTTTTCGGTGGGGCGAAACAGGTTAGTCTCAATCTTCCCTTTCGTTGCCTCAATGCCTTTTTACGAACTATTATTTGAATTCCACCCAAGATAAATGCTGAGGCAGCCTATCTTTACGATGCCGTTCATCTCTACGCTAATGCATTAATATCTGTCTTAAAGCTTGGTGGCAGACCTAGGAATGGCAGTCTCATTGTATCGGCCATCAAAGGCTCGCGCTATCTAAGCGCAATGGGGTGAGTATTCCAGTTAGCACAACTACGAATCTCCTCTGATGCTCTTTACATACTATGCATAGCTATCATGTGTACATTGACGAAAACGGAGACGCCGCTGGCAACTATACTGTAATAGCCAGAGGAACACACCGCAACAATCACAACGAGACGGTGTTGGGTCTTCTTCCCGTGGGCACATTTAGCCATAAGACTAATAACAGAAGCAGTGAGGCTTTGCCAGTAAGTAATCCTACAAGATATCTTGCCGCATTTCTTATAAAAGTTACTGTTGCCTTTTTATGCTTGCGCTACAGGAGCAGGTAAGCGCTTTTGGCATGGCAAATGACACATGAAATTGCAAGTTCCTTTTCTAAGGCTAATGATACTCTCTTTATAACACTGCAGGATTTAAACTTGTATCGCAACATCGATTGGGTGGGTGGAATGCGTCCTGCAGCTGCACCTCGTTGTGGCTTCGGAGGCGAGAAGTGCGTTAGTAAGTTGCTTACATTTCATGTCGACCATTAGTTATTCCACATTTTTCTTAAATTTTAGGTTATACTGGCGAAATATCGGCAGGCATCGCTGGAGGCGTTCTTCTACTGTTGGGTGTTGTCTCGTTGGTTCTCTATCGCAACTGGCGTTACGAACAGGAACTGGACAGCCTGCTCTGGAAAATAGATTTTCGCGAGGTTCAGGTCCATGACAACGAGCGCGAGCAACAGACCCAAAAGGCTACTCGAGTAAGTTGGGATTGGATTTCTAATTTCATGCATATCGACACTCAGAGGACGACATTTACATTCTAGTAAATTATGCAGACAGCAATTTTAAAGAATATGACAAATAGCTAAGTACGAATGCAATGAAATACACATCATTAAAAAATAACAAACAAGAAAGCTCTAGTTGGGGTGCTCGACTAGAAGATACCCTGAACCCTGTCTTATCAGCGTTTTTAAATAATTTAGCTAGCATATATTTATCATTAAAAAAGAAAATCCGACATTAGGATACCATGACTCGAATCAACATACATTACTAATGCCGCTACTTCACAGAACTTCTCGGCTTCAGTTCACTGCTTGAACGAAAAGTTGCAAATCTAAATTAAAATATCACCTGGCAATTCAAATACAACTCAATCGCAATTTCGTTTCTTTGAATAGAAAATAATGCAAGCATTTAATTGTGTGTGCGCATGCATAGGAAATAGGAATGCGTACGCTTGACGCTGATTGCCACGTGCTTTTGCAAATTGGTCAAACGATTTGGGTAATGACTGCTGAGTTACTTGACGGATTTCAATGAAATTTTGAGCATATGGTCTACATAGTCAATTGATATACTTGTAAGTTTAGTAAAAATGCCAACTCACATATTTGCAGCTAAAATTAAATTTAATGAATTTTGAGAGATTTTGAGACAATTTAACAAAAAACCAAATTGTATAAAATATACATGAAATTACGAGCAAAAATTAGAGACTAGCTTAATATCCTGCAAAGTATCATAGCTAGAAACTTAAAAATGCAATTTCTGTCTACACACCAAACTAATATCGAAGTATTGATACTAAGTATCATTACTCGATACTCAATATTCGATACTCGATACTCGATACTCGATGCTAAGTATACGAGTATCAAGTATCGAGAAATAAGTATCGCTACTCAATATCAAGTATTGAGTATCGAATATTGAGTACTAACTATCGATACTAAGTATCGAGTATCGATGCTTAGTATGGAGTATCGATGCTTAGTATGGAGTATCAAGTATTGATACTAAGTATCGAATATCGAGTACCGAGTGTCGATACTAAGTGTCGAATATCAAGTATCGAGTATCGATACTAAGTATGACCCGAAGAACAGTTTCGACACGAAAAACGTCGGCGTGTAGAGCGTAGAGATTAGAGAGTAGAGAGTAGAGATTAGAGAGTAGAGAGTAGAGAGTACAAAGTACAGAGTAGAGAGTAGAGAGTAGAGAGTAGAGAGTAGAGAGTAGAGAGTAGAGAGTAGAGAGTAGAGAGTAGAGAGTAGAGAGTAGAGAGTAGAGAGTAGAGAGTAGAGAGTAGAGAGTAGAGAGTAGAGAGTAGAGAGTAGAGAGTAGAGAGTAGAGAGTAGAGAGTAGAGAGTAGAGAGTAGAGAGTAGAGAGTAGAGAGTAGAGAGTAGAGAGTAGAGAGTAGAGAGTAGAGAGTAGAGAGTAGAGAGTAGAGAGTAGAGAGTAGAGAGTAGAGAGTAGAGAGTAGAGAGTAGAGAGTAGAGAGTAGAGAGTAGAGAGTAGAGAGTAGAGAGTAGAGAGTAGAGACTAGAGAGTAGAGAGTAGTGAGTAGAGAATAGAGAGTAGAGACTAGAGAGTAGAGAGTAGAGAGTAGAGTATCGATACTTGGTGTTGATACTCGGTACCGATACTTTGTATCAATACTTGGTATCGATACTTGGTATCGATACTTGGTATTGATACTTGGTATCGATACTTGGTATCCATACTTGGTATCGATACTTGGAATCGATACTTGGTATCGATACTTGGTATCGATACTTGGTGTCGATACTTGGTCTCGATACTTGGTCTCGATACTTGGTATCGATAATTGGCATCGATACTTGGTATCGATACTTGGTATCGATACTTGGTAACGATACTTGGTATCTATACTTGGTATCAATACTTGGTATCAATACTTGGTATCGATACTTGGTATCGATACTTGGTATCAATACTTGGTATCGATACTTGGTGTCGATACTTGGTGTCGATACTTGGTATCGATACTTGGTATCGATACCTGATGTCGAATTGTGGTATCGATACTTGATATCGATACTTGGTATCGATACTTGGTATCGATACTTGGTATTGATACTTGGTATCAATACTTGGTGTCGATACTTGGTATCGATACTTGGTATCAATACTTGGTATCGATACTTGGTGTCGATACTTGGTGTCGATACTTGGTATCGATACTTGGTGTCGATACTTGATGTCGAATTGTGGTATCGATACTTGCTATCGATACTTGGTATCGATACTTGGTATCGATACTTGGTATTGATACTTGGTATCCATACTTGGTATCGATACTTGGAATCGATACTTGGTATCGATACTTGGAATCGATACTTGGTATCGATACTTGGTATCGATACTTGGTGTCGATACTTGGTCTCGATACTTGGTCTCGATACTTGGAATCGATACTTGGTATCGATACTTGGTATCGATACTTGGTGTCGATACTTGGTCTCGATACTTGGTCTCGATACTTGGTATCGATAATTGGCATCGATACTTGGTCTCAATACTTGGTATCGATAATTGGCATCGATACTTAATATCGATACTTGGTATCGATAATTGATGTCGAATCGTGGTATCGATACTTGATATCGATACTTGGTATCGATACTTGGTATCGATACTTGGTATCGATACTTGGTATCGATACTTGGTATCGATACTTGGTATCGATACTTGGTATCAATACTTGGTATCGATACTTGGTGTCGATACTGGGTGTCAATACTTGGTATCGATACTTGGTATCGATACTTGATGTCGAATTGTGGTATCGATACTTGATATCGATACTTGGTATCGATACTTGGTATCGATACTTGGTATTGATACTTGGTATCGATACTTGGTATCCATACTTGGTATCGATACTTGATGTCGAATCGTGGTATCGATACTTGGTATCGATACTTGGTATCGATACTTGGTATCGATACTTGGTATCGATACTCTGTATCCATACTTGGTATCGATACTTGGAATCGATACTTGGTATCGATACTTGGAATCGATACTTGGTATCGATACTTGGTATCGATACTTGGTGTCGATACTTGGTCTCGATACTTGGTCTCGATACTTGGTATCGATAATTGGCATCGATACTTAATATCGATACTTGGTATCGATACTTGATGTCGAATCGTGGTATCGATACTTGATATCGATACTTGGTATCGATACTTGGTATCGATACTTGGTATCGATACTTGGTATCGATACTTGGTATCGATACTTGGTATCGATACTTGATGTCGAATCGTGGTATCGATACTTGATATCGATACTTGGTGTCGATACTTGGTATCGATACTTGGTATCGATACTTGGTATCGATACTTGATATCGATACTTGGTATCGACACTTGGTATCGATACTTGGTATCGATACTTTGTATCGATACTTGGTATCGATATCTGGTGTCGATACTTGGTATCGATATCTGGTGTCGATACTTGGTATCGATACTTGGTATCGATACTTGGTATCGATACTTGGTATCGATACTTGGTATCGATACTTGGTATCGATACTTGGTATCGATACTTGGTATCGATACTTGGTATCGATGCTTGGTATCGATACGTGGTATCGATACTTGGTATCGATACTTTGTATCGATACTTGGTATCGATACTTGGTATCGATACTTGGTATCGATACTTGGTATCGATACTTGGTGTCGATACTTGGTCTCGATACTTGGTCTCGATACTTGGTATCGATAATTGGCATCGATACTTGGTCTCAATACTTGGTATCGATAATTGGCATCGATACTTAATATCGATACTTGGTATCGATACTTGATGTCGAATCGTGGTATCGATACTTGATATCGATACTTGGTATCGATACTTGGTATCGATACTTGGTATCGATACTTGGTATCGATACTTGGTATCGATACTTGATGTCGAATCGTGGTATCGATACTTGATATCGATACTTGGTGTCGATACTTGGTATCGATACTTGGTATCGATACTTGGTATCGATACTTGGTATCGATACTTGGTATCGATGCTTGGTATCGATACGTGGTATCGATACTTGGTATCGATACTTTGTATCGATACTTGGTATCGATACTTGGTATCGATACTTGGTATCGATACTTGGTATCGATACTTGGTATCGATACTTGGTATCGATACTTGGTATCGATACTTGGTATCGATACTTGGAATCGATACTTGGTATCGATACTTGGTATCGATACTTGGTATCGATACTTGATATCGATACTTGGTATCGATACTTGGTATCGATACTTGGTATTGGTACTTGGTATCGATACTTGGTATCGATACTTGGTATCGACACTTGGTATCGATACTTGGTATCGATATCTGGTGTCGATACTTGGTATCGATATTTTGTATCGATACTTGGTATCGATACTTGGTATCGATGCTTGGTATCGATACTTGGTATCGATACGTGGTATCGATACTTGGTATCGATACTTGGTATCGATACTTGGTATCGATACTTGGTCTCGATACTTGGTATCGATACTTGGTCTCGATACTTGGTATCGATACTTGGTCTCGATACTTGGTATCGATACTTGGTCTCGATACTTGGTATTGATACTTGGTATCGATATTTGGTATCGATACTTGGTATCGATACTTGGTATCGATACTTGGTATCGATACTTGGTATCGATACTTGGCATCGATACTTGGTATCGATACTTGGTATCGATACTTGGTATCGATACTTAGTTAGGTGTAGCCCGGCCTCGATACTCGATACTTGATACTCGATACTAAGTATCGATACCGAGTTTCCAGTATCGAGAATCGAATATCGAGTATCGAGGCCGGGATACATATCGAAAATATCTTGCAATTTGCACATTTTTGTAGCCCAAAATTAAGAGTTACGTCTGTGTAGACTCCTTCAATAGATTCTAAAAATTGGCCAAAAATTATATACCCACGTGGCAAATCAGGAAAAACTGAATATTCTACAATTTTAATTAGATACTCAAAATGTTACGAAATTAAAGTTATATATTGTTCCAAATCGGAATAAACCATATCTTTTGACTGTGAATGAGTATCATATTTTCGGTAGCGCCCGACTGCAGTATTCTTACTTGTTTCTTCTTTGCAAGTTATGGAGTAGATAGAACATGGTTCAGGGTATTTCCAAGTCGGACGCACCCGATTTGAAATGTGAAAAATAAGATGATTTAAACTAAAATATGTTATTCCGATGGAATTCACTGTTTAAGCGATATCCTGCCATTTCGTGTCTGACAGAATCTCAAAAACCAATTGCCTCGTCGTTTTTCTCCGCAGTCAACCCACCCACTTATCCGCACTAGCCAGGTTAGTCTAAGCTCTAACCCCGATGCTGACTTTCGGTATACGACTATCTTCACGCCGATTGGACTATATAAAGGACAGCTCTATTCTATCAAAAAAGTACGCAAGAAAAGTGTAGACATCACACGGGAAATGAAGATGGAATTGAAGCTTGTAAGCAAATGAGTCTTATTTAATTATAACAGACCTAACGACTTTAAAATTCGTAAATAGCTGAGGGACGCCCGTCACGACAATATATGTGCTTTTATCGGTGCCTGTACGGAACCTCCTAACATCTGCATCATCAGCGAATATTGCACTCGTGGCAGTCTTAAGGTCGGTCATTCCATCTGTTGCGACGGTCGAGACTAACTAACCTTAATTTTTATAGGATATTCTGGAGAACGAGGACGTGAAATTGGACAACATGTTCATTGCCTCCATGGTGGCGGACATTATACGCGTGAGTGCTGCTGTGTAACTTTATACTAATGGCATCTCCTCCCGTTGGTTCTTGTGTATGTATATGTTCGTATCTGACCCCAGCATTCTGACTTCCGCAGGGCGTCATCTACTTACACGAATCGCCCATCCGCTTCCACGGCTCACTGTGCACGTCCAATTGCCTGGTCGACTCGCGTTGGGTGGTCAAGTTGACGGATTTTGGCTTGTTTGCTTTCAAGCAGGGTATGGAAGACAGTTCCACGGATATGCAGCATATGTCGACTAAGTGCCTCAGTGAGTAAGATAAAAGTGTTTTAATAAATTCGATGATGTAGTTACGAATTGTCTTTTAGAGCTTCTCTACCGAGCACCAGAGCTTTTAAGACAGGGTCCCTCATCGATGGTTATGGGTACACAACGTGGAGATGCATATTCGTTTGCCATATTGTTGTACGAGATGCATGTGCGGCGCGGCCCGTTTGGGGAGACAGGCTTAACAGCTATGCAGTGCCTGCAGAAAGTTATGCAGCCACAGGATCAAATCCATCCTTATCGACCATCGCTACAACCACTCGAAACCGCCTTCGATTGCGTGAGCGAGTGTTTGCGGGAGTGCTGGGCTGAGCGGCCAGAAGATCGACCCGAGTTCAAGGCAATACGCACTAAACTAAGGCCCCTGCGCAAGGGAATGAGACCGAACATCTTTGATAATATGATGGCCATGATGGAAAAGTATGCCAACAATTTAGAGGCACTCGTGGACGATCGCACGGACCAGCTGCAAGAGGAAAAGAAGAAGACTGATGCACTATTGCATGAGATGCTGCCGCGCTGCGTGGCCGACCAGCTAAAGAAAGGTCACAAAGTGGACCCCGAACACTATGAACAAGTTACCATCTATTTCAGCGATATTGTCGGATTCACGGCCATGTCGGCGGAAAGCTCACCGCTACAAGTAGTGGATTTCCTTAATGATCTTTACACTTGTTTCGACTCCATCATTGGGCATTACGATGTCTACAAAGTGAGTTGTGTTGTATCACGGAAAATGTAAATATTTTATAATTGCAATTTCGGTAACAGGTGGAAACCATTGGCGATGCCTACATGGTCGTGTCTGGCTTGCCTCTGCGTAACGGTGATTTGCACGCCGCAGAGATCGCCACAATGTCCCTGCACCTGCTCAGCGCCGTGTCCGAGTTTAAGATTCGTCATCGACCCACCAATAGACTATTACTCCGCATCGGCATACACTCAGGTCCCGTATGCGCCGGCGTTGTAGGCCTTAAGATGCCACGGTATTGCCTGTTTGGCGACACGGTCAATACGGCGTCACGCATGGAATCAAGCGGAGTGCCGCTGAAAATTCACTGCAGCTATCAGTGTCGGCAACTGTTGGACCGATTGGGTGGCTACTATTACCAAGAGCGTGGCATCATCTCAATGAAAGGCAAGGGAGACCAGCGTACCTACTGGCTAATGGGCGAGGATGAAGAGGCGCGCGTGCGTCGCACTTATGAGCGATCTCAACGGCGTGGTTCGCGGGCACTTAACAAGTTCATCCAAGGTACCATCAAACAGGTCCAAGAGCAGTCCAATGATTGCGGCATACGCTCTTCTTTGAAACAGAAGAATCTGCCTCGAAACTCACTTACTAGATCCTCCAGTCTCGAGTCGCCTAAGAAGCTGCGCTTTGCAGCTGGCAATATGTTGGAGCATCATCGCTATCATAGGTTTGATTTGATTTTTGTTTTATTAAGGCAGAGCGTAATAAACCGAACTCTTCATCTTTTCAGTGATGAGGCCTTACTGGAGGTAGACTCCTACACTGGGTTGCGGCGTTCATCCGGCGGCTCCACACACTCACGCTACGAGGAGTCGACACTATCCTGCCAAAGTATTGAACACCTTGAAACGGAGCAGCAGCAGCAGCAAAAGCGGAGGCCATTGTCCTACCCAACGGTTAATACACCACTGCTGATGAATCATGTTGAGGTTTAAATTAGAATGAAAGAAGCCCATTCAATAGAATTGTAAGATCTGAGAAGTATTATAGTGGTGTGCAGCTCATGTCATTTGCTTTAAGTGTTGTCAGAGGGTGCATAAGATCCCACTTCTATAATTACATATACATATTTCTATAATACGTGTCCATGTCGCAAACCGAGGCTAAGTGTGTGTAGTTCTTTGCTATATATGTGTAATAGTATCAGCATATTGTGAGAGTGATTAAAAATCTAGTCGTTGTATACAAAATGAATACATTAGTTTAGCCAATAGCGTAGAGTTAAACTTAAAGAATTAATAGTAGTAAAATATATGCATATGATACGCTTATATATGTGAAGATTTGTCGTCTTTTTTCCGTAATTGTGTTTTTATTTAAAATTGTTTGCTGTCTTCAAGACACGTTCACTATTGTTGTATGTATATTAGGTGTAGTATATTTATAATTTTTTCAAACTTAACGTTTTATATTCGAGTTTAAAACCAATTTGTGCATTTCTTTTGGAACATCCTTAACATATACGTAATTCTCACCTCTCTTGTAACTCTAAAGTCTTGCGAAAGCCAGCTTGCAAATACTTCAAATTGCTTGTAAATAATTACGTACTATATATACGTACATATATATAAATACGATACATAAACTCTATTAGGGAATTTCAATTTCAATTTGATTGCTTTTGTTTGAACTTAATTTTGCTAGATTTATATTTATATACGCGTATTAATATGTATTTGTGTACCTTAATTTTTTATATTTATTAATTTGATAAGCCACAAGCTTTAAAGCGCACTTCAATGCGTAACATTTAACTTTGTAATTTGTTTTGCTTAATGTCACAAATGTGTTGTATGAGTATGTGTGCTCTGTTTTTAGGTGGTCTTTTAATAAAACACAATTCAACAAGTTACTAAATAACAATCTCTACGATTCACTCTACGCTTGAATCGCATTTGTATATATATATAATCGGCTTTTCTTTGGGTTTCCTATAAAAATGCTTGCAACAACAAATCTACTCAAAATATGCATTAAAGATTTTCAAATATGTATATGTATATGTAATATATATAAATATGTTCATATAATAATGTTCTTCTCGATTATTGTTCGACTGCCAGAAACATTTCGATTCGGTACAAAACTAACAAATGGACCAGTGCCTACCTCTTCCTTTTGAGCACTGTTAACAAATTTGTTTATAAATATATATACATATAACGTTAATCCGCATATATATATATCAGTAAATATATATATATATTTGTTAAATGCGTCTCTGAAAAAATAGTGTCAACAATTTTATTAATATTTAAGGTTTCCTCTGTCTCCGAGTTTTGATCATATCTCAACAATTCTAAGCTTAAGCGATTTTTAAGTTTCCAATAGTTTGCTAATTATTCATGGACGATAGAAGTACCCTATGAAATACCTCATAAAAATTCCAAAGGGAAAGCATATTACATTTGACCTTCATTCTTATTAATTAGACAGTAGCTCCTTGGAGCCCTTCGATTGCCATTCATCCTAATGAAAGTTAAATCTAATATGCTAATGTATATATGTGGCTTCCTGAAATTGCCATTCAAATTAAGTGTAATCTAAGGTGTTCGTTTTAGATTCTTTAACATCTGCTGAGGGTTTATAAGGAAAGTATTATTATCGAATATTTGAACTCTGCAAAAATTAAAGCTGCTTCCGAGTTAATCCAATTGTTATTTTAAGCCTACTAAAAGGTATAGGGCACCATTGTAACAGGGCACAACTGTAACAAAGAATAACGGCAAGAGATCTGCGTCCATCCGCTGTAGACCCTAGTCTATGTGATAATTGTAGGAAGTGATCCTTAATAGGTTTCGCTGAAGCTAGCGCGCATAGATTACAAAGATGTGTGCATGTCCTGCGGTATAAAAATAGTCGTGGGCAGAAGTCCTTGAGAGTAGAGGCCTTCACCTAGGCTTTTTCGCTAAGCTAGTCGATCTGTGAAGCAGAGGGTAAGTACATTATTTGGTTATGGCCATAATTTATGTCAGTCCCACCTCCTAATACCATGTCGTGGGCTAGAAGGAGGGGTGTGACATGGTGATGGCGGAGCCGAACCGCCTGATGAACCACGTGACGATGCTATCGATAAACTTGACGTACGAGGAGCTGAACAGCCTAAATAGATAGCCGAACCCTTGTCAACCTCGCGAAGATCGACCCGCGATCCGTGGACAGATGATGGCACCGAACCTAAAAATGTAAAAACCCATATTAACACCTCGTCGAGCTACTAAACGAGCTATTTACCCGTGTAGGCATGCAGACCCGCGGGACTGCTGCGTGGACGCACACCAAAGCCGCTGACTGTGCTGGCGCTGCGCTGCAGCTGAGCTCCACTTCCATTGCTCTCCACAGCTGCCGGCTGCTCTCTGGCACTGCCAGCGCTACTAACACGCGCTGCTCCGCTGGTGGCTACGGAATTGACTCGACCGTCTGACTTGTAGCTGTGGCGTGACGGAGAACGTTGAAGTTGAAGGTGCTGCTGTCGCTGCTCTCGACGAGCATCCTCAATAGCTGCTGCATATTCGGCAGCTTCGCTGGAGGTGGCTGGTAGCTGCTGATGGGCAATCTCATCCTCGGGTATACGCTCGTTGCCCACTGAGCGACGCTGCAAAGGGGAATGCTTTGGCGATGTGGGGCAGGACTGGGCTACGACGACTAGACCTTTGGCAGAGCTGCTGACGCTTAAGGAGCTTGAGGATGAGTTGTTACTGCTATTGCTATTGGCGTTGGTATTAGAGGACAGAGCGCGCACCCTCGATTGCGTGCTGGAGGCACTCGACGGACGACGTCGGAAAAGTCCCTTGGTGGGGTCCATGTTACAGACGCCTAATAAAAACAACAAAAACAAAATTTTATGATTTGAGCAACAAATTCTAGGTTGAATGAATCATTTAATTATTCTAGATATATAATATCGAAAGACTAGCGCTTGGCCTTTTGCTTTTTGGGCAGTCGCTTGCCAGCGGTTGAACGGGCTTTCTGTTTTCCGGAAACGGCTTTTTCTTGGTCTGCCTCAAACTTTTTAGCCAGCCTTTTCATGTGGGCAGTATAAGAGCTGTGACGCTCATCTTCCTCAGCCTCATCGTCCAGATTATTGACAAAGCGCCCAGCGTTCGCGTCTGCATTGTAGTAGATTACATTGGGCATAAGCTCCTCGCCAGAGCTGGTGCTGGACACTTCAGTAGAATCGTCCAAGTTATTCTCGCTTCCCATCTCCAGTTCACTCTCGAACTCATACCGTGAAGAGTCAGAGGTGCGCGCCTGCTGAAAGGTTCTGTCCTTCCATTTGTTAACGATAAACTTTAGAGTATAGGCAACGTTTCGTCCAACTGTGGAGCGGGTACCCTCTGAACCACCAAAAGCACGGCCGTCAATTGTGTAAAAGGGTGTGATCGCACCTGTGGGGCATTTTTCGCCGCGAGAGCAGTTTCCTTCGCATATGTCTTTGTTCTGCAACAGCTCTTGGTAGCTATCTAGGGCCATTGCGCACTTCACCCGATCTAGTTGCTCCAGCGCCGACGACGGGAAACGCTCCCTCAGACGTCGACGCTCCTCGGATAATTTGTATTGCTCGAACTCCAGCAGCTGATTTTGAAAGCCCGTGTTGGGATTGGCTACTGCGCGACCAGCGCGCACCACCTTCAAAGCCTCCTTCCAGTTCAAATGCGTTGCAGTCATAATGTAGGCAACAGCGACGGTCACTGAGCGGGACATCCCAGCCAGACAGTGGATCAGCACATTGCCCTCCCTTAGCCGGGCTGCGTGAATAAAGTCGTTGCACACGGAAAAGTATTGCGACAAATTTTGATCCGGAGTATCAGAAGCCATGACACACAAATAGTGCTTGTCCTAAAGAGAGTTCAGATGCTGTTAGTTTCTGTGGCCTGCAGAGGAAGGGGATGGACCTACCGGCAAGAGGCGCCTCGGACTGTCATGTATAGCAATAATATGAGAGATTTTGAACTTCTCCAGCTGCTGATAGTCTTTGGAGTCGCGGTAGTTGCCCACATATAGTCCCGGCAAGACCTGCCAAAATATAGGAGAAGAACTTTCAATTATTAAAATTCAGCTCATGGAAATATATATTACATTTCCCATATGCCACTCCATCTTGATATCCGATACAATTAAATCGTCTACAACATTAATATTTGATACATACAATTGGATTTGTTTGTTTGAAAATACAAAAGCCTGTTTGTTGTCTGTTTATTGTTGCTACAGGCAACTGCCGTTGACAACTATCTCTCAGGGTCGACTTTTCAGGCACACAGTAAAAATATATGTTAATATCAAATAACTGAGGAGTAGCAAGTTCAATGCAAATTTAAAACGAGTTTGAAATATAAACTACTGAGCTAGGCTCGGTGTACGAAAGGAAGTTTATGAGACTACTGAGAGAGTGAGAGAGAGAGAGAGAGAGTGAGAGGAAATGAGAGGCTTTTGCTTAATGCTTAGCTTAAAAACAACAAACACTAAATTGTCATCCTCCTAATATCTGCTTATTATATATTTACTTGGCCATACTTAAATATTTCTAAGCTCTATAAATTTCCATTTACCAACAGCTGTGTTGGATTTAATGAGAAACTAATTTCTCACATTTTAAGTTGGAGTGTTCCAATTAATTTGCTTGTGCTCTAACTCTTATAGCATGTTGAACCAGTAAGAGATGCCCTGAAATCTGAGAACTAGTGATATTCCAATCATTATACGTTTCTCTTAAACATATCCATATACAAACAGCTCACACTCATTAGCACGTGGTTAGCCGGTTAATTGGGCTGGACTTTACTATATTAACTCAATTGAATAACTATCTGAATCAAACTTTCAGAATCTGTTTATGACATTCACTTGTGAGTATGTGGCAAAGCGCAAGTACTTGAAACATGTATTTCGTGAATCTAGGGAAGTTGGCATGTATTTAAAATCTAAAATACAATATACAAAATGCAAAATGCCCAATAAAAGATCTGTATTTCGTACAGCAAACACCACAGTAAGTAAAATAGTTAAATTTTCTTGTGGTATTCAAGCTGCGCTTAAAAAAACTAAGTAACTTTAGCATAACAATAAAATGTGATGATTTATTGAAAGAAAAAATAAAAAGCTAATAGTCGTATAGTATACACAAGTAATATTTTAAGGCTCTAGCTGTTTTGGTTTTTGAGATCGCTGCGTTCATGCGGACGAACAGAAGGACATGGCTTGATCGACTCGACTCTGTCGTCGTGATCCACAATATATATACTTTAAGGGGTCTGCCACGCCTACTTCTGCCTGTTACAAGCATTTTTAAAAGCCCTCTCTCATTTTAGATGAATTCAGTGTATATATATATTATCAATTGGTACTGATTGGCTGATATTCGTTTCTTAATTAAGTTGACAACATTTATGTGTGAGCTCTTACCTTGTTCATACCATTCCCCATGTTTCTTCATTTAAATGTCGCGAACACCTTCCGTCAATGGTCAAGGCCTTAAAGTACAATAAAAGTGAAAGAAAAAATTATTTGACAAGTTCATGGAGAATATGGAATGTGGAAGTGGAAGCGAAGGAAATGCGAAGGCGACCGCACATCAATCAGTCGGTTGTTCATATGTCTGCGTATTGTTTGTGGCCGCCCATGATAAAAGTGTGGCAGCTGTGGCGACTGTCAAGCACAATGCCTACCCGAGGCAGGCAAGGCAGCAGCAGAAGTAGGCACAAGTTGCCTCCACAGACAGACAATCGTGGCCTCGACAACAGAGGCAATGCATCCGTTGCGGAAGTAAACAATCCTTGACGTAGCTGCTTTTGTTGCAACTCATTAGTGGGAGAGACACGCTGACAGACAGTCGAAGCACATTTACCTGGGATCGGCGGAGAATTGCAACTGGGGCTGTGCAACTTATTACAATTGAGTCTGAATGCCAAGGGTCGCATGAGCAACTGAATAAGCCGCGATGCCCTCCAAAGTAGACAAGGATTATGGCCCAAAACCAACAGGTGGTAGGTTCTGAGGCCGCGACTGAAAACAAAAACTAGCTCAACGTCCACCAAGTCATGACGCTGCTTGGCCTGGCAAGCTTTGACTTATGTAAGACAAAGCAGACGCTGCTCAAGTAGGCGCCAGCCAGGCAGCCTAAAATTCATTATGCACAGCCCTCTTTGTGGGTACTTTTGGAATTAGCCACATTTACATATATCACAAGTAAACGCAATGAGTGCAAGTGAAGCTTTGTTAAATTTCATACCTGGCAACATGTCACCTTACCGTCTAAGCGACTGAGTGACTGACAAAAAGATGGTCCCACGATAGAGCACGTGTGGCACGTTTCTTGTCGTAACAGCAGCCATTTAACACAGCCAACCAAACAAACGAATGCGCATCCCCTTCCTTTGCCAGCTGAAGGCCGTATCATAAAAACTACAATTAAATTTAACTGCTGCAGTCGAGAGTGCCCGACTGAGAGATGCCCTGTGCTGTATAAGAAAATACTGCAGCCATGTTTGACGAGTAATGCATCCCAAAAAGTTACCTTATCTCGAAGTAAGAAAAGGAATCGAAAGAGTTATTATGCAAATCTTCAGAGCAACAAATAATAATTATCAATTACAGTCGCTTCATCTTCAATAGTGAAAAGACAAATTAAGCCAAGCATCCTAGACGGAAAAATAAAACAAAAAGAAACAACAAAAATTCTTATAGATACAGGAAAAAAGGGTCATTAAACAGTTACAAATTTTAAGAAACGTCTTTGGAACCTATAAGCCTAGCGCTTAGCGGAAAACTGCCTGAACCGACCAACCTTAAGCAGCAAGCGACCGTCTAGCCAATTTTCTTAGATTACAGGGTATGTAAATTGGTGCAGTTAGCTCTTGTGTCAGTGCCATAGCAGGTAATTGATCACACAAACGAGTGCTTAGCTTCTGTGAGGCAGCGCTGACATGGACTGGGGCGTGGGTATCGATCAGATCAAATTAAGCATCTGCTGAAAATAGTAGACACCCAATGCCCTGTGGGTGGTTGCAAGTTGCAACCACACCAAGCCTCATTCAATTCAATTGCTGTACGTTTGTGTGTGTAGCTCCAGGTGTGTCTGTCAGCTTATGCCTAGGCTCATCCATTGACCAAACAATTTCAGAACCTTCACATTTCGTCACATCGCATTTGCTCAAAGAGCTTTCAATGAAATTGTGCAGAAATCTACTTGACTGTATTTGTCGAGCACTTGGTATGACAGTAAAAGTTTGTCAATTGCCGAGGTATATACTAGATAATAATCTAGTATTTAGTATATAGTATTTAAAATTTAGCATCTAGTATCTAGTATTTAGTATTAAGTATTTAAATTGTGGAATTTGGCATCTAGTATCCAGTAACTAGTATACAGTATATAGTATCTAGTATCTAGTATCTAGTATCTAGTATCTAGTATCTAGTATCTAGTATCTAGTATCTAGTATTTAATATCTAATATCTAGTATCTAGTATCTAGTATCTAGTATCTAATATCTAATATCTAATATCTAATATCTAGTATGTAGTATCTAATATCTAATATCTAGTATCTAGTATCTAGTATCCAGTATCTATTATCTTGTATTTAAGCCAGTATTTCGTCTGCATGTTACGAGCCACTTGATCTGCAAATTGTTTTCTAACTTTTCATACCTTTGCGTCCACGAAATAAATCAATAACTGCAACTAGTGAACGTATTTGGCTACCTAAAATTGAGGCAACAATAAAAAAGTGGCGTGTACCTTTAGGCGCAACGGAAATACTATTCAAATTTACGGTTAGCTTCAATTATACAAAAACATTTGGCAACGAGCGCTGCATTTAAGCAAGGTAAACTACGTTTGGCCGCTTCTGTATACTCTTCGAGCATTGCGAATGGAAAGAGGGTATGATGCGTTCACTCGTAAAAAGTAAACGAAAATAATTATATTTATAGAAATAGTAATACTCCAATCTTATGGATGAACATATTTGCTCAGAATAATCGAATTTTTCTCCCAAATATTTCTTTTTTCTAGTTTTTTCTTCTTTACTTGCTTTTATGTATATGGTATTCCAATATCTATATTCTCCTATTATTTCAAACTTGACAGATTTATAATTTAATATTTTAATATGTATATGCTAAAACAAATATGTAACTTTACAGCTATCTATAATAATAATAATAAATATATAATATATCTATAATATATTAAAATACTTGGTGAGGCTACTGTTTGATAGGCACATGTATCTTGACTTTGGCACAGATTTTTTTATTTTTGACAACTATTTTTGTGTCCAGTCGTTACATGATAGTGGAGGGCAGCTCAGGGTATCTCGAGGTGCACCAGTTAATCCCTGAGATCTGTGTTGTTTCCCATTGTTCTCAAGTTTGCTGCCAATTTTTTCACTTTGCTAATTGGCAGAGGACTTTGCAGGAATTAAATTTATTTGCAGGCCAGTCGAAGCTAACTTTGGTTCTGATATAGTTATTAAATAGTTCTTTTTATTTCTGCTATACGTTGTCTAATGACTAGTCTGCATAAATTAGCAGAGATTGCGACCTTGCGCCCGCTCAATAAATGTGGAAAACATGAGCCAAGCATGTCGCGTGGCGTGTCGCGAGGCTACGGACCCGGGCTTTGACATTGGCATGGACTCAACTGTCCCCCACTGTCAGAGCCTAACGGGCAGTCAATTATACCGTTTACACATTTTACATTAGCAATAAAATAAATATATGCAAGCACTGTACTCACGCAGGGCGCAGCTCCGACAATTTATTTGACTGCCTAAAAAACAACAGGCGACAGGGGCACCTACGGGACTTCGCCTCTGAGCAGTAAATTCCAATGGCTTGCCCGAGGCTCAACGAACTGTGCGAACTGTTGTAATAAACTTCAGCGCCTTGGCCCTATGAACCATAAACAGAACACACACACACCCAAATGTAAATGAATGCGATCAAATTTTGGTTTTTTGCTGCCAGTGGGAAGTTGGAGTGAAACTCAATAAAGCATTAACCAATGAAGCAAAGCAAAGCAGAGCAAAGCAGAGCCTAGCTAAGGGGGAAGCAAGGCAACTAGCGCCGCCTTGTCTGATGTTTAGCAAATGTCAAGATAAGTCAATGGCCTGAAGAGCGATAAACAATAGACACTGCTAACTATAGTCGACTGTGACCGACTAAGTTAAGCCTCTGAAGAATACAACCAAATGTGGGCCAAGAGTTATATAGATATGGTGTAAACGAATGCAAAATGTAGTTGTTGGCTTAAGTAGTAGTAATTCGTGAGAAATATAGGATTTAGATTTATCACTTGGTCAGTTCAGTTATATAGCTTATGGTACCAGGCACGATGTATTCACTTAATAAAACAAACCCAATTAAAAAGTGTATGCAAAAAACATGCTCCACATGCCGTCATAAAAAGGTTTATTAGCATTCAAGCAAACAGCAATCAGACGCTAACAAATCAGGACAGCAGGAGAAGCGAAAAGTGCTGATATCATGTGGCTTTGAGGGATCCTGTTCCATTGCAGGGGATTTATTACATTGCCAATGGCTGCCGGTCAGAGTTATGTAAACAATATGAGCTCCTAACCAAACAAATTCTTGAATGCTGATAAGCAGCAGCCAAGGCAGAGTCCGGGCAGCTGTTCAGCCACTACCTTGGATATGTGGGATAAATTCCGCCAGCTAAGTAACTGCCATTCATCCCGGCTAATTATGCTTGTTGTTGGCTTGGAGGCGCTTATAGCCCACATGCATACGCAAACAAAGGCTCGAGGTCGACGGCGAATGCAAAGACCCGCTTCTAAACGGAAGGGCGCCTTAGCACTCATGCAGTCAAGCCAAGTCCAAAAATGTGGAAGCTTTGCACGTTCCAGTTAATTTAAATAATTCATTTTCAGAAATGGTTTGTGAGTCGAGCCCTGCTTATGAAATTCACGTTGACAAATTCAAATTTCAAATGTTGCGCAAGGGAAATCATACGAAACTCTAATTAGTTTTAGTTATTCATATATATTCCGGGAAAAAGGATCATTCTGAATTAGGTATAAGAACTGAAACAGTTGCAATCTTCGAGCAATTTGAAGACAAGTTAAATCTCTACTTAATACTTCGGACTATCAAATAAAAGCAGAGGCAAGTATTAAACAGAATGACCTCACAATGCAATTAATATTTTCTGATCTGATGCGCTTTAATGGGCGTTGAGCTAGTGAAAGCTGGCTCAAAATCTGACCAACCAACTGACCAGGCTAACGATGAGGATTATGGATGGTTGAGTGTTAAAGTTTGTCAGCTCAAAAACTTAAAAGAAAATATTGTTTCTAGCTCTTCAATTTATTTATCGCAGAATGCATAAATTATGGCATTTCACAAAGGGTTAACATGTTTAAAAAAAAACTATTTAAGGCTAATATTTCTGCATATGTCACAGCGGCTAAAAATATTGAGGTAACATTAAAGCAAGATTTTTTTATTTGTCTAATTTGACTTTTTTCTGAATTAAAGTTCAAATGACAAATGAAGTTCTATAATTCTGAATAGATGTCAAACCTATAAATATGAATACTCTGCAATTAGGCAGACCTCTCGAATACTATAGAAATGCGAATTTTATATGTTCATTGATATATTGAGTAAATATAATTCAGGTGCGAGATATATTTGAGAAAATGCCACTACCAATTTCTACCCGTTTGGGAGTGTGCCTGTGTGCGAATTAAGAGTCATCAAACATTCCGTCTACAACTACATCTACATCTACATCGTGCTTCATCAGCAATCAGCAATCGGCAATCGGCAATCGGCAATCCCCATCGACCATCATCGTCATCTAAAATGAATGCCGCACTCAGCTGTGAAAGCGCATGGAGAACGCCTCAGCGTCTTTTGGGGTGCCCAAGTGTCCTGCAAGTGTTGCTGTTGTCGAAAAAGTACAATTTGCACACCAATTTAGAGCCGCAGCAAGCCACAAGCGAAAAGCACTCTGGATAATAGGGCTGTGACACGGCCCTAAATATTACTCATACGACTTGTGGCACAGCTAATTGCGTTGCTATAAAGGATAGTCTAGGCTACGTTAATTTCCATGTTGCGTGCAGACATTTTGCGTAGGACCAGTAAAAAAATCAGCTGAAAAGCCAGCTAACTGCAAATTACGCCATCCTGCATTGTAATTTTCTAACTATTTGCATTTGCATTAATTTCCCAAATGTTGAGCAAGAGCGGAAACGGGAAGTCCCCGGGGACGCGACAATAATATAGGTATTATAAGTTTCCATGAGTAACACTCAACACTTACCTTTCTTTGCGACTTATGCTACTGGTGTGGCGTCAGTTCCTGGTATCCACGTCAAGTCGCAGTCACTTCAATACTACTTCATGGGCACATACGGACACACGCACACGCGGGAAGAGGCTAAGATGGACACTCCTTCACGGCTGTTATATCACACACGGCGCACGGGGCAAGAAAAGGCAAGAGGACGCCAATGGCAGCGACTATAACGACTCTGAAGCTGTCTGCAGCCGTGGCCACCGAGCAGAGTTTGATTTTGAATTCAATTTTGTTGTTGTTTTTGTGTAGTTTTGCTGTTAAATTGTGCCGTGCTGCCCCGAGTAGAACCAAACTGGCAACTTTGATAACTGTTTTTTTTAAGTTATTTGCTTCATTTAACATGTCTCATTTTTGCAGATGGAAAAATAGTGTGTATCGAAACGCACCGAATGGCAGCAAAAATACCAACGAGCCAACGAACCAGCAAAAAGCCACAACAAAATAACAAAGTCCAGCCGCAAGAACGGCGCGCGAATGAATCTTAAAAAAGTGCCGAGTGCCCAATTAGCCGAAGCGTTAAAGCACCTCAGACGCTGCTCGCGGACTGAGACAAAGTCTTAACCCAACTAAGAGCTGGACTCTAGGCGAAACGAGTGAAATGTCGGAGCCGAGAGCCATGAATGAAGCACTAGACTCTGGACATGCGCAGTGCGCAGCAAAACAGAAGCGCGCCAACTAAAAGCACTCGACACAGTTCTCACTCAACTCACAATTGCTCTCTTACAAGGTTATATAATCACCAACCAAGGACTAGAAGGAGGAAACGATAGAGCAGAAGAAACAGAAAGACAAAGAGAATGAGAGAGCGAGCGAGAGCGCGCGAAAGAGAGCGGTTGAGTGAAAGCATTCGTTTGGTCAATCGAAGGTGCCGCTTAATGTGCAATCATGATGCACAGTTACAGTTACAGTTGACGACTCATCGCTACCTGATTTAAGGAGTTTGTTTTTAAGCATTCGGTTAGCTAAAAAAGGAACGCAAGGCTATGCCCGCATATGTACATATGCGTGTATATCTGAGATTGCAATTCCAATTAAATATATAATTGGATTTATATATTTCATGTCTGTATATGTACGTCTGTATATGTATGTACATATGTATGGCTACATCATTCAGTATGTATTTAGAAGTGTGCAATATTTAAATATGAATTATTTCACTTTTATATGCTCAGCTGCCTCTGGTGTGGATCTCAGTGTTGTAGCTGTTGCCCACGCCTGAATTTATTTGGAAAATACATCGAACGCAAATAGCGGCAACGCGGCAACGCGGTATGGCGAGGCACGATTTTGTGTGGGCGCGCTAGTGACCAGGCAATATGTATGTATGTGTATGTACATATATTCCAATACTATATTCTTACATATAGATCTTATACAAACTCATAATATGCGACAATCTCTGACGCATCATCGTAGCCCAGAACTAAACTGTAAACAGCTGGTCAAAATTCATTTCAATGATAATTAAGTAATTATATACATACCATTACCTACTATCGGTAAACGGGCGGGTCGATTGATCGATTAATCTCTTCCGTTTACGTATGCAGCAATTTAAATCACCAAACAATCGCATTAGCAGATATGTCTAAGCCTTCAAAGTATAGCTTGAAATGTAAAGCATTGTACATACACACATATAGTGTATATGTACTCTACATATACATACATATGTTCATACATATATTATTTCGTATGTTCTGAGCTGGTTCGGAAGCCATGCGACTGTCGGCGCTGCTCAGTTTCAGCCAACGGAATTTGCTCTCTCGAGCAGCTTTTAGATACTCAGCTGATGATTATTGTTGTAGTAGGTATTGGTGGCACTGGCTATTAATAAATCTGATGTGTGTGAATCTTGAGCACTCGAATAGCCCACGATCGGAACAGAGAGAGCAAATGAACGGTGACTTCGTTAGACAAAAATTGAGAAAGTGATGGAGAGAGAAAGACGGAGAGAATGTAAAATATGAAAAAAAACTGTCGCTTACAATTTGTAGGCACAGTGTATTTACCATTTTAGGGCCTAACTGCTATCCGATAAAGCGGCACAAGCAAAGTTAACAAGTCGCGTGCTAGCTCAACTTATTCATTGAGTCAACACGAGAGAGCGTACTTAATGTGAGAGGGAGAGAGAGAGCGAGTGGGACAGACTGTCGTTGCCAAAGGTAGCATCAAGGCAGTTGCAAAACGAACGAACGAACGAACGAAAATATTGTGTTCAGTCGACGAGCAACATTTGCTGCGAGCAGTGGTCATAAGCGTGTGTTTGCAGGCTAACGGAAAAGTGGACTTACGTGGTTTGTGCGTGTGTGTGCGTTCGCAGCAATGTGCAAAAATATTTTTATCTATAGGTGTTGTATATTTAAATTGAATATATAAATATAAAGCATCATTCTGAGCATACATAACATATTGCTACAGAGAGACAATTAGAGAAAGAGAAATAGATAGAGAAGAGAGCGTGATAACGTAGAGAGAACTTCAAGTGGCCAACGGAAGTACGTAAAAGCTAAAAGCATCGAGATTGCATTTGTGTGCGTGTGCTGAACAGCTGCCGTGGCTGTTAGAAAGTGTAGCCAAAGAGTGACATCACGTCAGCCGTTACGGATACGACTGCGACTGGGATACGTAGCAATTAGCAATTAGCAATCTGTTTTAATATTGTGCAAAATCACAGCGCTAATCCCAACGGCAACTGGAACTGTCGAAGATCCGTACAACTAATTGTATGTACCAATTGTATCAATTTAAAAATCGAATCTGAGCGGGACAGTACTAGTCAGCCGAAACAAGACGACAGCCGGCTGCAGAACGTACGAGAATCAACGGACAAACACATTGTCGCTCTCAAGGTGAACCTGCCTGTGAGCATACAAGCAGCGGCAGCGGCAGCGACAGTGGCAGCAGAAGCAGCAGTAGCAGCAGTAGCAAAAAAACTCAAAGCTATTTATTTCGAAATTAGTCGCAGCGTTTCGAGACGCGTCGAAAAACGGAAACAGAAAGTGACAAAAGGAGTCGCTTGTGGCACCCAATATGAAGCCAACTGTGATAGCTGCAAGTCAAGCTAGCGCAGCCAGCGGTGCTGGTGGTAGCACCAGCAATAGCAGCAACGGCAACGGCAACGGCAACGTAACGTCCGCAGGAGCCGGCGTCAACATACCCATCAGCCGTGAGTATATGGGGATCGGAGGAGAGCACAACGCCTCACCCCAGCAGCATCATCAGCAGCATTATGCACAGCAGCGTCTGCCGCCGCAGTTCTACAACAGTCAGACAGCGTATGGATCACCTCGGCAGCAGCAGGTTCCTCCAAATCAGCAGCAGCAACATTTTCAGGTGAGTGACTGGCTAAAAATCGACGGCGCCAGCCCCAAGGTCGTCTCTTTGCCCGCTTGCTTATATGTACATATGTGCATTTGTATGTTGACTTGTAATTTGGCGCCCGACAAGGTCGCCTTTGTATTGTTGATGTCGCTGTTGCCGTTGTATTTGGCGATGGAAATTTAATTAGCTCGTTCTCACAGAATGCACAAAATACTCACTTGGAGAATATACAGACAGACAGATATATACGTGTATGTATGTATAAGCTGAGAAGTAAGAAGTGTGTCAAGCGATTATGGTTATACTATTGGCCCAATTGGCTTAGTCTTCATGCAAATGTGTGCACATAAGGGCCCTCATAGATTGGTGTACTGATTGTGGTTGGTTACAGTTAACGCTGCGTATGAGCAATATGAAACTTTAGCATAGAACAACAACGTGACAGCAGTGGTTTCACTTAGAGTGATCTTGGACTGTTGCTATCTAATCAAATTTCTCGCCACACACAAAAGTGTTCAAAAGTGTTTCGAACGAGAAGAATAGACGCTCTATCGTTAAATATACACACACGCATTGATTTCTAGAAGGTACACTATGATAGACAAACGCAAATGTTGTGGCCACAAGGAGAGACACACAGAGAGAAAAGCAGAGAGAGACACAAAGAGAGAGATTTCGCTCTATCGCAGCTGTGGCTGTGGCTGTGGCTGTGGCTGTGGCTGTGGCTGTGCACTAACTTGCTTACATACTTACAGGCAGAAACACCTCACATATACGTATTTATGAATGTGTGCATGTGGGTGGGTATATCTATATATATATATATATGTGCATATATGTACAAATGATTGAACGTATACACAATACGCTGCGTAGGCGACGACAGCTCACGAAATAAAAGAATTAACTAGTTGGCCAAGACAAAGGGGCCGAGACGATCGTCGTCATAATTATCTGATTGGAGAGTGACTTAGTTTATTGATATACTTATGGAAATACAAATATGTATGTGCACACACTCGTACTTATACAAAATTGTAAATTACAAAACAGCTGAGTTTTTATATTGCTTTTTACTCCCATTAGGAATGGCTAGTAAATTGGGGTAAATCCAGTATTTGATTGCATTTTATTAATTAGAAATTTAAAATCTGTTATTTATATACTTCTAACAGCTGAAATCATATAAAATAAATACATTGCTTATTTATTGGATATAGAAGATTTGTAGTCTAAGAGTGACTAACCAAAATCCAAAAATTATAAAAAGAAATTTTTATTCTGCTTCCATCCAAATATTTGTAGTTTACGAATCCAACAAATATTTAAAAAAAAGTATTTTCTTTTTATTGTATCTTAACTGAATAGTTAGCCCTAGATATATCCCACGATAGTGGCTTGGCTCAAAAACTATTATACTATTCAGTTCCGACTAGAGCACTCGTAATTGTTTGATATATGTTTGATATATTCCCGCCTATGGTTCGTTTGTTGATGACATTTTAAATAGTTCTGTTCGTATCAGCGCAAATCAGTTCGTCACTATTGAAGCTAGGGACTAAACATTTTGAATATATACTCGGAAGCACTATCATTTTATAAAGCGTAAAGGCTCTCCCGATAAGTGTTCAGGTACGATTTATTATTTAACGTGCTAGAAACTTGAGATTTGCATCAATTTCTCAACACAAGACCCAACATATACAACATATATATCAACGTTAATTGCGCAATCAGCCTATATAGTGTTATGCACAAACTCTGTTATATTTCGAATACTATTGATGGTAGACAAATTTTTATTTGGAATATAAACTTGTGATTATATAGATTATATATATATTGTTTATACATAAATAATTAACATTTTTATTATATACTGATGATATACATATATATCTATGTATATCTTTTACTGCCTTGGAGCTTGGTACTGAAAAATTAGATTATTCAGTTATTGTTATTGTGTTACACCCAATTCATATGCACAGTTACAAAATTTGGCAGTTACGTTACTGCAGACTGCTTCGAAGGACTTTAAAGATTGTCCAAATATTATATATCTACGGCTACTAGGGGAATGTCAAATGGAGAAGAGCTATTTCTTTTACAGTTCTACAGTTAGAGGCTCTATATAATCGACATCCGCTATGAATGCCGCTTGGGGGCGTAACAAATCGGAAAACTCTAAAAGTTCCATTCTTACTAGTTTTTGCTTTGTATTTAAAAACTGAATCGCTTTGCATAAAGGATTTCATAAGTAATATATATATATATATATATATATATATATATATATATATATATTTGTATTATATATACGTGCCAATGCTTATGATATTGCTGCTGTGAGCTTAGTTCGTGAGGCTAGTTCGTGAGAGCGGCTTCCACTCTGGCTGAAGTTTCGAGAAAAATCGAGCAACAACTTGAGGTATAGTGGGCGTCCGAGGAATTCTATAAAAGCCTGTTGGCAGCTGCTGGCGAGCTCATTCACAAGAAAACAGTTAAGTGACAAGCACGTCATCGCGTCACGTTAAGCGCTAAGGAAAGCGAATAGAGAACATAAAAGTGCTCAGGAAAATTACGAAACGCTATTTACTGATAAAGCAAACAATTAACTTCAAATAGGTAATGGCTAGAGATGGAACACATACATGAAGGATTGGCAGGTGTACATGCATACACACATGCACTCAAACAAGCACACACACACATACACGTATACAGAAATAAAAGTTTGTTTTTGCAACTATGCATGTGTGTGTGTGTGTGTGCGTGTGCATGTGTGTGCGTGTGTGCGTGCATTGTGTTGTTACGCTCAATGGGACATCAAAGCGTTTATTTACACGTTGACGTCACTTGTTTTTACTACAGCTCCAATTTCTTATTATTTGTCATAAGCCCACACACACAGACACACACACAGACGCACTTGTTAGCGACTTTGCGCTTGAACATGAATCATACGCTTATTTATGAACATACACACATATATATACATATGTACACAAAAGTTTTGTGCTTTGGTGCGACCTTTGGCTCTCTACAGCAATGAGGAATTGATTGTTTTTTGCTACTTTGCAGCAGCCCTTTGGATTTGAACCGGACATGGATATGGATATGGAAAATATGTTCGGACGGTCGCGGCTGGGACGTCTAAACAATGATCCTTTCGCTGGCTTTGGAGGCACACGTAAGCGGAATAGTTTGCACGATCCCCAAATCCCTACCCATCCCCAGGCACACTCAATGCACGCTGACGATGACTTTTCTCATTATTTTGACGATGCTGCAGACTTTGGATTCCCGCAATTTTCAACACTTGGCCGGCGAGGTCGCGTAGCCGGTGGCGCCAATAGCAATATAGAACCCGACGATGATTTTTTTCACAGACTGCCATCGGAGTTCCGACAATACATACCAGAGGGGTTTAGTAGCCGTCGAACTGTAGGCAGCGTCCCTTCTCAGCAGCGTCCACAGCAGGCACCGCAGTACTACCAACAAGAGTTTGGTGTGCCCCAACAGCCGGGACCGACGGCACAACCGAAGGGACCGCAATCACCCTCGAAGCGGCTTTGCGATGCTGCCATCCAAACGGATGACCCCGCTGGCCGCTCGGAGGTTGATTGCGCACCCACTGTAAACCTAAACCAGCATGGACTGCGCAATACTATGGATATGGGCGTGAAGAGCATCGCTGAACAAGAGCAAGGGCCGCGTTCGCATTCAGCGCCGCCCCCAGAGCAACAGAAACTAAATCAGCAGTACCAGCAACATCAACAGCAGCAACAGCAGCAGCAGCATCAACCGCAGCAGCAAACAAATCAACGGCCTACGCCGCCACCACAATTTGGCACGCAGACTAGTCCACAAGTACAGCCAAACTTAGGGACGGGTCAGCCGCAATTTCATAAGACTTACTATGCGCCACAGCAGCAATCGCATCCCCAGCAGAAGCAGCAGACGCCGCCGCCACCTCAAACGCCCGGCGGCAGCAATGTGCGCACCATACCAATTTTCGTGGAGGGTCGGGCCGATCCCGTTATCAATGCTCATAAGGAGATACCAACTCAAAGTGATTCAGGTGTAGGTCCAGCTCAGGCTCAGGCACAGGCCTGGTCCCAGGCATATGCATCAACGCCGGCAAATCAACAGCACCGCCCTGCTCCACTTAATACTCAACAGCCGCAAGGCGATCATCAATTGCAGACGGACGCTGGTGTCGGCATGCCGCCACAGACCCCACATACGCTAGACTCAATCAAGAAGATTCAGGATATACAACGCGATGTTCTTGACCTAATGGCCAAAGTGGAGCAGTTCAAAGGCACTCGTCAAGACAAGGAATACGTATACCTGGACGAGATGCTTACACGAAACCTTCTTAAGCTAGACACGATCGACACAAACGGCAAGGATAGCATTCGGCTAGCCCGTAAAGAAGCTATCAAGTAAGATAAACTAGTACTTTATCGGCCTAAATCATAATCATAATCATATGTTACAGGTGCATACAGGCATCGGTCAATGTGCTGGATGCTAAAGCCGAGGAAAACGGCAGACGAGCATCTGGAATTGAGGAAAATGCGGTCAGTGCTGAAACAGCAGATTCAACACTTCCAGAAGAGGCAAAGCCTTCCGCGGATTCTGAGCCTGCTACGCCACAGCCTTTGGATGCAACCAAAATTCAAGATCCTATACCACTACCGCCGCCGCAAAGTACCGCAGAGGAAGCTGCTGACAACCCGACAGAAGAATCACAAGCTGCGTCAAACAACTCAATGGAAACACCCAAGGCCGAGAGCACAGCGCTAACAACGTCATCCGAATGATTATCAAAGGACCTGTACAGATCCGCTTCGAAGCAGCTATACAAATTAACCAAAATCAAATCAAAATAATGGGGGATCTAAAAATGATTTTTTTTAATATATCGGAGGCAAGCGATACATTTTGGATTAAAGAATGGTTTGTAAACATCTGGATGGGTGCTGGTGAGGCATATATAACTCTTTGCTGATATATGTATATCTATATATATATAAATTTATATATATGTATAATTATATATCTATAGATATACATATATATATATATATATATGCATATATATATATATTTATGCATATATGCATACATGCATACATCATTTATATGCGCAATTACATACACACGTATGTAAACTAGGCTTAAGTTAATATGATATATACATGACAAAGTGCCTGCTTAGAATTGAAAATTATTGTTGAGAATGTTACAATTAAAAAAAATAGAAGCTGATTATGTAGTTTATATCACAAGATATTTATAAATAATAGCACAGATCCATGTACGCAACAGCAATCATCCACCTAAACGGAGTATGATCTCATTGGAATGAGGTGCTTGCAACATTATTAAATTGTTAAACAAGGAGCTTTTGAATGCATTAATTTTCAGGTTGCTAATTAATAAAATAAATGTAGATATTGATCATCATATAATACATGTACATACAAAACATATATTTGATACATATATATGATAATACAAATACTCATGTGCATAAACAAAAATTAAAAAAAGGACGCAACTTTGTTTCGAAATCTTAAGGTTAACAATCAGATATGAAATGTATACATAAAAATGGAAGGCACCTGTAAAAACATGGTGCGTGCGACGTACGTTCTAAACCGTGTTATAGTCGTTTATAGGCAATTTAAAATCTCATTAGGTATAGTATAGTACTGCATTATTGTTCAAGATATATATACTGGGCAGCCGTGCTTGACGTGTGACTAATTCAGATATAAATGTTTGATTTATAAATTACAGGCATGGCTGTTTAGATTAACTGACGTAGCTGCTGTGCAGCTGCCATATTAGATACGAATTTGGGTAGAATTGCTATTGCTAAAATGTTCTTTTTAGTTAATAATCTCGACATAGTTTGCCGGAAACAGTCCATAGGTTCCATCGGGGCCCAAGCCTTGCCACCATCCCTCGTCGATCTGATCAATGTGAGTTATAACATCGCCAGGATCAAATGTTATTTCTGACTCATCAGCTGCTTGATAGTCATACAAAGCCCGCGCGCGGAGTCCTAAGTCACCCAAGGTCTCCTGGCATATGAAGTCGTCCTCGTTGACCAGATCGGTAACTTATAGTTAACCAATACCAAGAAGGAAATAGAGTAACTGCATCGTATTAAACATAGCTCAAAATACTTACGTGTATTGCGCTCCAGCGTGCTTAAACCAGAAGTTTTAACCGACTGCGACTGCTGCACTGTAACAGAAACTTTGGTGCGCACCTCTTCCTCCTCCTTAAAAACGGTCGTGTCAGTCTCATTCGACGATGTTGTTTCGTCTGGCGACTGTGATTGCACCGAGTTTGTTTTACTGTGAGGCGACCGTTTGATGGTCGAAAACTGTTCACTCTCATGAGCTAATGGTAGGTCCTCAGGTTGCTGTACCTCCTCCTCAGTAATAGATGCAATAGAATTCACTTCGGCCACAACTGGCACTTCGGCCATGACAGCAGCTGCAGGTTCAATGGCAACTTGCATTTTAGGCGGTGCTGCAGACTGTTGAGGTAAAGGGATCGCTGTATCCTGCGGCTGGTTGTGATTAAACACATTTATACGTTGTGCAATAGAATTACGAGCAGGCTTCGCCGGCGGTTGTGTGTTTAGTCTTCAATATAAAATTGGTTTTAACGACAATTCAATGCTATGCAGTACAGTTGAATTCTGGTAACTTACTTAGACTGCAGCTGACCCTCACTAGTGTGCTTGGTGAACATGGCCTTGGCAGCACCCACTCGGGAGCCAATTAACTCACGTGCCTCCTGATTTCGAGCCTGACGCATACGTTCTGCATCGCTTAAGTTATTTGCAAAACTTGCACTGGTTTTCTCCGGACTCAATGGTTGTGGAGAGCTAAATATTATTTAAATTGCTAATTAGCCTGAACGGATATGCATTTATGAATGGATATTTACGTTTTTATGGGCACGTGCGCTGGCTGGAGTTTCGTCGTGCTTATGACAAGCTTCTCGCGTTCATTATGCTCTTTTTCTTCACGAGCGCGTTGCTCTTGCTCGAGCTTTAGAAGGTCTAATCGCTTTGCTTCCCTTTCAGCCCCAATGCGATTCTTCTCCTCTGCTTCCTCTTTTTTCCAGAAGTCCTGCATTACGGTAGCATTCAGCTCCTTAGTGGGAATGACACGCGTATAGTTTGTGCCCACGGGCGCTTTTTGCTCTTCCACTACGCCGCGCGGCTCTTTAAAGCTGTAAGCCGAGCTAACCGTACTTAACTTTTTAAGCAAACGGTCTAGATCAATGTCATCCTCGTTACGCGCATTAATTGTTAAATGAGCACCAGATAGAAATTTTCCAACGTCATGAATATGGTTGGCACATGTGCCCTTACGTATCACTGGAGCACCTTCACCCTATAGAAAAAGACGGCGAAGTTAGATAAGATAGCAAGTAAAAACGGATACCGAACACAATGACTCACCTGCCAGTTGATTAACAGGTATTTATTGAGGCCAGTCTTCGGATCTTCGATTTGCAAGAATGCGTACATTATTTTACCGCTATTTAGGTCTTCGGTTAACTCCTCCACGCCTCCTTCTCCTTTTCCAACTACCTTCAGTTCGTTCGTTTGGGCTTCATAGCCAAATAGTGCCCAATTGGTGTTGCTCTTGGCGCTAAGCACATCTTTCCAGGCATCGACAATTTCAGCACGATGCTTCTCAAAACTAATGGCCATTTTTCTGTGCGTCTCTTAGCGGTAATTAATGTGCGTAAGTCTTCGTTCCCTCGTCGGCGAAATAGTGCCAACGACCTTGAACAAAGCCGCAAAATCTGATAAAATGTTAGGTTCAAATATCCTGGCAGCTTTGCTCGCGTATAGATTTCTTGTTACTATCACCGAAAGCTTGGTAAATGCCAAAACCTCAAAATTTGTATTTTTCACTTAAATAATTTTAATTAATTGCAGATAGAATGCAGAATTCACAAATACTTTTGCATAGGTTTGTTGATGTATTATCGATTATGGCAACTGTTGTGCTTTGCGATAATTATGTACCGATTTATAACTCATTTTCCGATTAGTTTATGGCGACTTTAATTAATTATTAAAAGGGAATTTTTGTAATGTTTTAAGTGGTAGTTTAAATCTTTTCACCAGATTTATTGTTTAACAGTAAAAACAAAATAATGAGAAGAAATAATCCACTTATTATTTAATATGCCTCCAGAAGAGTCATTCCATGTGAATGGCAAAAATACTAGAAAATATCGTTACTTAAAAAATACTTGCACTCATAATTATCGCAACAGTTGCTATTCAAATTTAATATTAAATGTAATACTTTATTTTCTTACTGTTGCATTGTGCGAAAGGTTATTACAGCTTTTTAGCTTGCGTGATTGCATAGCCGTTTTCTAGTAAGTGTATTTTGCAAAGCCGTGGAGAATAAATCAACACCAAGCGAATAAAGATCGCGAATGATGACCCAAAGAACTGCAAAGACGTGTATTCAAAGAGGAAATCAGGTAACAAGGTGGCGAGGGAGACGCCATAAATTGTTTTCCTGATCACGACAACGAGCTTAGTTAATCTAGCCATTTCCGCCTGTTTGTCTGCCTGTGTGTTCGTCCGCCGGCCTGCCGAACGCGTCGTCTTCGCCCTATAAGAACTAGCGATCAATATTTGTTATTTTGTATGTTTTAAATAATCAATAACTATTGACGTATTAACCTCGACATTTAGTTAGTCTTCAAATTTTGCATTTGCATGTTAAACAATCGATTTTTAATATATATTGTATGCCATACGCCATAGGATATAATATAATTTTTACAATATCTCATTCCATTTGTCTACTATCGATAATACTACATTATCGATCATTTTATTTGGCTTGAAGGTTATGCTTAATGCAGACCAAACTCGACCACTGCAAATTGTGCATATGCGAGCGCATGGATGTTTGTGTTGATTCCTATGTATGTATATAAAAAATAAGATAACATTAGAGTGCCCCTCTTTACGGAAATCTTTAGTAAGAGGCGAAAGACTTATTCGGCAAATGAAGAGAAGCACGCTCTGTGCAGGCTTCAAGAGTATCTCCAAGAAATTGTTCACCATTTTCGTTGTGAATAACGATCTGAACTCCACGGCACCCATTATTACTACTTAATTGCAAATAAATTATTTAATAAATTAAAGTCTTGATGATTAATTTATTTGAAACTAATAAGAAAGCTCTAGTCGGATGGGCTCGACTAGCTGATACCTTAACCCCGTTCGATTTGTGTTTTAAAATATTTTCATCTAGCTTGTATCTAGCATAAAGAAAGCAAAACTGAGAAGATAATGAGAGCAGACCACCCCTACTAACACCGCCACTTCACCACGTGCTCCGTTGATCTGCCGATTCTATTGGAATATTTATCAGCTTAGTAAAAATAAAAACTCTTTCAAAAATATGCTTCCTATATTGAACCAAAATTTACAAAATATGGGGAAATTTGCAAACTGTATCCCAAATATATCAAAAATCACAATTGTATAAAATATCTATAAAACTAAGTACAAAACTTGGTGTTGAGATCTTAAACCGTACGACATATGCTTTAAAAATACAAATTTGGACTTTAGATCTTAAACTGTACGACATATACTTTAAAAATACAAAATTTGGACTTTAGATCTTAAACCGTACGACATATAATTTTAAAAATTAACTTCGATATTTTAATCGATAGTTATAAAATGGTAATACTTATAGATGGAACGATAAATAATTGAAATCTAGCTCTTTGAGGAGCTGAGATCGATGCGTCTTCGGACAACGGAATTATATCCTAATATCTAATTTTCAATGGGTTCAGGGTATAACAATACTGGAGTTGTTGAAACATCTGGGCAGCTTCCTATATCAAACAGATTTGATTAATCTACGGAGGTGGTTGACGCAGAATGTTCCGAAGCATTCTCCTGGATATATTTGAATTCGTAGTTACTGTCGATGGCTACAAAATAGGTCGGCAGCATGCCGATCCCCTTGACAAATGTCAACCCGCGGTAGTTACACAACAGACCAAATTTGCGCAGTATATTGGCCGTCTCCTCGGTCACTTGTATTTCCCCAGGGACGCCAGTGGAGTCCATCCGAGAGGCTACATTAACAGCATTTCCCCAAATATCGTAGTGTACCTGCGAGGCGCCCACCACCCCAGCCATCACCTCTCCACTAGATATCCCAACGCTCATATTGGCGTTAAATATCACACGATCAATTGGGAAGTTCTTATAATCATTGTTGCATACCCACAGCGTTCGCATCAGGTCTAATGCAAAGGTAGTTATCACAAATACCACCTCATCATTATTCTCGCTTTGGGCATTATTCTTTTCGAAGGACGCCAGCGAGCGACGTGCGCGGAGCACTGCAATAGAACAGACATATAGAAACATATAATAAGCCTTATAGCGTAGTGACTCACCCTCCTGGACAATAGAGTCGCTCCTATGGTGGTTTTCACTTATGAGCGACGAGAAGCGTATGTCCAACCCACAGGCTGCCATATATGTGCAGCCCACAATTTTGATCTTTTCTACTAGACTATCGTTTCTATAAAAATTCAACTAAACCAAAACATGAACACTTGGAAAATTCGATAGATGCTTTAAGATCTTACGATTCGGTCAAATTCGGAAATAATTTCATTGAGAATACGTAAGTTAGGCAAGGTCAACTCAAAGTCTTGTAGGGAAGCGAACATGACGCCCACCATTTTATAGTCCTCATAGTAAAGCTCGTCTTTGGATATTCGGGTCAGATAGACGTTTGCTGCATAAGCCAATAGGGAACAAGTTGATAAGCATAAGTAAACAAATAAACAACACTCCTACCAACATGAGCCGGTAAAATGTTATGCAGTAGAATAATTATAGACTGATCGGCTAAGCGGGCATCTTCCTGCTTCTTTAGCAGTTCTTCTCTCCATCTAAAGAAAGCATTCTCAATAGGCTTCAGGGTTTCGCACTTCTGGGCTTTTACTCACTTGTAATTGATTTTGTTATTAAACTCAGCCTGTCGTTCTTTGAAATATACCGTAAACATAGTCGATAGGATCATGAGGCAGTGAGCGATTTCAGGTTTCAAATAAGGATTGGTTGTCAAGCTAATGTGAACTAAGTACTCAAAATGATGAATCATAACGCTTAAATAGGTAATGCACACCAGAACGCTAACTATAATTCTCAAAACGAACGGAATGCGTGTAAATATTATGCTATTGGTTATTATAAGGCACACCATATAGGTGACTGACCACGGAGAGAAACACATTAAATTCTCCACCTCATAATGGTACAGCATGCTATCAATGTGCGCCAGTTGGAATTCTTCTTTGTTGCAATCACTCTAAACGAAATAAATATATAGTTATCAATATCAAGCGAGCGCCATCTGTTGCTACCCACCAGTATAATAGATATAATACAGCAGTACCCTGCCATGATTAACATATAGATGCATATGCGTTGAATGAGACTACGCTGCATATTTTCTCCGATTTTAATTACAGCGTTGCTGAAATTGGAGGGTTTTTGGTTGGTGCTGGAGTTCCACCAAATGCAGATCCTCTTGTACCAAGTTAAAATCAATAGCAGGGATAACGCTAACATCACAGGAATATTTATAAAATAAGACATCTCAACCTCGTCATGGTCATAGACAAGTTGCAGGTAGGAGAGGCCCATAAAGCAACACCAGGCTTGAAGTACACTGAACTTCAACATGTAGTCGGGCTGATGTATGTACTTATATTCTAGCCGAGGATCGCGAAAATGTAAGAGTAGCGTTTCAATTTCTAGATTGATGGAACTTGGCGATTCTCTGTGCTTGTTAGCACTAAACATTTCAAGGATGGCGTCTTTAATACTGTTCGGGTATACAGGAAAATCAGTTCGTAACACAGCTAACCAAAATAAACCCTTACCCTTTGGGACCAAGCGGCATTTTTTGCAACTCCTCATGTAACAATAGTTCAGCAGTACCTTCGCGAATCTCTTCTGTTGTGGAGACCGAAACCAAGGATTCGCGTTTATCCAATTCGAATTGGTTATTGTTTTCAATATCCACTATAAGGAATGTGATAATGTTGCACCTTTGAAGATAGGCATCATCACGCGCAGCCTTCGTTCCAGGATATGCTTGATACCGATTGTTCGTCATTTCGAGAGTTCTTTCGCTAACATGAATTTGACCAGGCATTCCGGTCGCCTCCAACCGGTTCGCTATTAATACATCAGTACCTAATAGTGATGATAATAAAAAAGAATAAAATATAAAATATGAACCAAATACAACGAGTGATCGATCCCAATTTCTGCTTACCCCAAATGTCATATTGCAGTTTCGCTGCCCCAAGAACTCCCGCAAACACACATCCCGAATGCACTCCAACACGTATGTCTATGTCAATCTTTACCACGGCTCTAAATGAAGGTAAAGTAGATAGATAGCTGCATACTGAATGGGTTGAAATTATGCTCAGTACCTACCGCATTTCGCGAATAATGTCGATCATACAGAGTCCCAGGTTGACGCAGCATTTGGCATGAAAGGGATCTGGTTTTGTCAAGCCCGCCACACAGTAGTAGCAGTCGCCCAAGAACTTGATTCGTTGCACCGAATAGCGAAAGGCAGCATTGTCAAATCTGGCATACAACTCGTGCAACAGAGTGACCAGCTTCTTAACTGATAGAGTTGTGGTCAAGTGGGTGTAGTTAACAATATCTGCATACAGAATACTGACATCGGGATGCATTTGAATGGCTATAATAAAACCTCTTCTATTGCAATCGAGGATATCGTGATGCTTCTGCGAGAGCTTGATCCGATTTCGAATTTCCTCTTGAATAGGCTGAGCAATTTGAGGCGGTAATATGCTATGAAGTAAAATCCTTTCCTTCGCACGAGCGCTCCTTAGCGCAATATCCTCCATCACGTATTGATGTCGATCGAGGAACGAGGCGCGGCCAACAATCTCGCGCATTAATCGAAATCCGGTACCGATCACATTCAATCCAATATAATTGCTCAAAACTACAATAGCTTGGGTAAAATGTGTCACATTGCCTAATCGGTAATGATACTTAGTATCTAGATAGAACACAAAGTAGCCAGCGTACATCGAAGACACAAGAACTGCTAGCCCCATCGCAGGAAATAGGTAAGGAATAGGAAAGAAAATATAGATCATAAGTATAACATATATGTCATACACGGGCGTCAAAACCCATTGATGGGCATGCAAATGGTAATAATTAATCATTAGATCTGCAAAGAAATATATATTATATGATAATAAAAGCATGGAGCGAATACTTCCTACCAACGAAAACTATCATCATTGCGACAATCCCCGATGTTACGTACGTCAACCACTTAAGTGTGGCTATACTTTTTACCTTCACATTGGTCCACATTACTGCAATAGCGACCACAGTCGATAACGTATAGCAGCTGACATCAATGTATATTAGGTCCAGCTGCTGTGTAGGCCGATAGATCAGCTATAGCGATGCTTTTAAGTAGTTCAACAATTCATATTCACCGCGCATGTTGCCAACAAGAGACTGCAATGAAGTATCATGAAAAACAAATGCAACACCTGAAACACGCTTATGTAGTTGACGGAAATACGGAACTGGTGCTCATCGAATTCTTCTTCTATGCCCACCTCTTTACACTTCTCCTGAAAAGCTTAGAATTAATAGTATTCCGCAGATAGATAGATACGATGGCACGATACCCTTAGAAAATCGTAGTTCCATTTCAATTCGTTCGTATAATTTAATTTGTATGTCATGTTTCAAAGCTGCCTACATATGAAATACTGTTATGAAAACTCTTCACAATCAAGAAAGGAATTGTTATCAAAAACTGACTGATTTTGACTTCTTGACTCGGTCGTTAACTGGCACATTTACTTTATAGCTTTCAAGCAAATACTTGGTTTGTCATTGTTCTCCAACATCACCAGAATCAAATGCTTCTTTGATGTGCTCCACAGTAAACTTCATCTTTAAAGGAACCAGTTGCCAGTCTCATGGCACTCAGCCAGTCATCTAACAATCTATCTCACATGTCTAAATGAATTTTGAACTCCTACAATTTGTAATGCTCTTCGAATTAGCCAAAAAAATGAAAACTTCCCAACTTTATCCTTATATTTTTTTGTATCTGATTAATAAAAGTTACAATACTGATAGCATAAGCTTAAGCGACATAGGGGATTGCAAAGCGTTCTGAAGTGACGATTTTTGTAGAAAAGGACACGAAGTTGTGACTGCCGTGAGAGAAGTGCCAAAAATCCAGCTACCCATTTGTCAGATATGAAACGAGAAGCCACAATTTCAGTTAAATATGGACATAGAAGCCCATTGAGTTTAAAGCTTGTGATGGGAGATTCTAACGGGGATGTGTGAAGGCGTAGATAACTGTTACTGTTACTCTTGTACTGCCTGTGTTAATTACACCTCACCAAAATGCAGCTCGGCGCAGGACTCGGGGTATCTTCAAGTCGGACCCACCAGACCTGAGCAGTAATACATGTACTCATACTCATGTATTCAACATATACTCGTGTGGACCAGCTTCGAATAAGGTGTTCAAATTTTCCTGATACGCATATAGGGGGCGTGGCAAATCGGGAAATACTATTAATGAAAGTGCAAGAGACTTGAAATTTTAAATACTTACTTTTGCGGGCAACCCGCCAGTAAAAGATGCAGATTATATACATATCTATGCACATACGGAATTACTATTACTATATAGATGCGCCTTGGGGCATATCGGGCATATGGTCATATCGAAAATAGCCTGAAATTTCCAGAGTTTTGGAACATTACTGTAGGCTCTGTCTAGGCGTTGATCAACAATGATGTGTCCACGTCCACTGGAGTCGTGGCAAATCAGAAAACACCAGATATCAGGCTGTGTTTGTTCCGAGAATGAGTGTGCCTATGCCCTAGGTATAGCGCCCGACCGCGACGTTCTTACTAGCCTCAGCGCTACGAAACCTAAGAAATGTACTGAATAAACATAAAACTCAGGAGCACATCAAAGACTCAATTGTCAACTTGGTCGCAACTTCTGCATCATCTACTCCATGATAATTGTGCCATTGTTTCAGAATATATCTTATTTATGTACGCAGGCTAAAAACATGAAATGCAAATTAAAATACGCCAACGAACTAAAATGGGACTACCAGTTTTTGAAGGTATCGGAGGATGGCCGCAAGTCTATCAGTAGCTATGACTAATTCGAACTTTTTCAGAAAAAGTGTAAGGAGGTGGGCATAGAAGAACAATTCATTGAGCACCAGTTGCGTCTACGGTCCAACTATGTGGTCGTGTTTCATGTGCTGCATATTTTTTCCACACTTTTACACTGCAGTCTGCTGCTGACCAAGTGCATGGTGAGTTGAGGCACATGAATTTATAGAATGAATTACTAAAGCTACAGTTATTTTGCTTGCCCACACAGCACCTGAGTTTAATATACATTGATGTCGGCTGCTATACGACATCAGCTGTTCTCGTTATTGCAGTAATGTGGCCCAATATAAAGGTGAAATATATGATGAAATATAAGTGGTTGCCTGTCATGACGTCCACGACTGCTGCGTTGATTATTGCTTCCGTAGGTAAGTGTTCTCGTTGCTTTTCATTGGATCAGTCGTATACCCTGAATCCACTTAAAAATTGAGCTCAGGACGTGGAATTAAGTTGATCGAAGCATGTCCATCTGTCCGTCATCCGTGTGAACGGGGCGATCTCGATAGCCCCTTACCCTGTATACCGTACTTATCACGAGACTATAATTGTTTTCCGATAACTCATCCCTTTGCTTCATTATCTATACAAATAGAGAATCTGATTTGGTTTTTAAGCGTAGATTTCATACCACGAAATGGAAAATATCCAATTTTGGATACTTAAAAAAATTAACTTATTTGAAATACTAGAGACCTGCGATGTTGCTATATATAATGTGAGGTATATCAATAGAGGACAAACGTAATTTAGTCGTTAAGGATCTCAATGACGTTTTAAGGATCAAATATGTGTCGCAAGTTTCTAGCTGTTGTAGATTCAGAGATAGCGCTTTCATACATTCGGATCGAGAACAAATTTTGACAAAAGAAAATCGGATAATTTGTTTATTTAGTTTTTATATCCTGATCCCATTGAAAATGGGAAATCAGGGTATAACGGTTTTGTGCAAATGTATGTAACAGCCAGAAGGAGGCGTGGCAGACCCCATAAATTATATATATTCTTGATCAGGACGACAAGCCGAGTCGATGGAGCCCTGTCCGTCTGTCCGTATGTGTGAATGCGTGGATCTCTGCATCTGTATGAGCTAGAGACTTGAAATTTTTTTATATTTTTAAATTTTTGTAGGTCCGTGTATAGCACGCGCATATCGAGTTTGTTTCAAATATTCGATAACTATTCGCATTTAATTATTATCGAATTAAAATGCAGTTATTAAATTATATCTCGGACGTCTTAAGAGCTAGCTTGTATTTAGTTTTATTTTATATTTTATGCCATTTTGATTTTTTTTGGATTTTGGATACCGGCTCCAAATTTCCCCAAATACTTAAAATTTAAGTTTAGTTGGAAATATGGCCATTATGTGACGGCGTTTGCATCTCTTCCAAGCCAATAGAATATGTAGATCATATGCTGAAAATTTCATTAAAATTCATTAAGTAAAACAGAAGTTATTAAACAAAACGTTTAGCCAATTTGCAAAAGCACATGTCAGCAGCGCCACGCGCACACCTTTTTCCTATGCGTGTGCACACATACGTACAAATGTGTGTATTCCTTTCTATGCGAAGAATCGAAATTTCACTTGAATTGTGCTGAATTCGTAGCTGATACTTAACTTCAAATTTGCAACTGCTTCTGCAACTGCAACTTCAAAGTAAGCAATGCAGTGTCTGCGTGGGTAGAGACGGCGTCCGTTAGCGGTTGGTCTCTGGTTCAAGTCTCGCGGCAATGAGGCACTTTTTATTGATATATTTTATTTTTTTAAATGTGTTGGTGGAGCTGTTGCGCGTTGCGTAAAAAGTTTGTGTTCGAATCTTGGTGTGGTAATGCCAGTTTTTATTTGTATTTATTTTATTTGTTGTACGGCAAATATTAAAAAACGAAGATAGGACTGGGATCAGGGTATCTTCTAGTCAGGCACCCCGACTAGAGTTTTCTTACTTGTTTATTTTAATTTTTATTTATATATATAAATATATATTTTACAAAATACATAATGCATATTCTATAAATATATAAATTATATTTTTACAGATATGTTGCTTAATTATTATCATGTTGTTGTGAATAATTGGATATTGGGATCATTCTATGACACCTACATAGTACTAATGATCTATATGTTTTTCCCTGTTACCTCTATCTCACTAGCGCTGGGGTTGGCATCTTTTCTCTCATTAGTATACATTATGTATAATGTATTATATTTAGGCACGTTGAATATGGGTGATAACGTTCGATTTTACGAAGTTATCCAACTTTTATTCTATTATATTTCCCTAAATATGATGTGCACCATTTTTCTGGTAATGCGCGAGATTGTTGTCCGCGCCTCGTTCCTTGATCGACATCAATACGTGATGGAGGATATTGCGCTAAGGAGGGCTCGTGCGAGGGAAAGGGTATTACTTCATAGCATATTACCACGCCAAATAGCTCGGCCTATTCAAGATGATATTCGAAACCGGATAAAGTTCTCTCAGAAGCATCACAATAAGCCCATTCCCAATAAAAGAAATCGGATTATCGCCATTCAAATGCATCCCGATGTCAGTATTCTGTATGCAGATATTGTTAACTACACCCACTTGACCACAACTCTATCAGTTAAGAAGCTGGTCACTCTGTTGCACGAGTTGTATGCCAGATTTGACAATGCTGCCTTTCGCTATTCGGTGCAACGAATCAAGTTCTTGGGCGACTGCTACTACTGTGTGGCGGGCTTGACAAAACCAGATCCCTTTCATGCCAAATGCTGCGTCAACCTGGGACTCTGTATGATCGACATTATTCGCGAAATGCGGTAGGTACTGAGCATAATTTCAACCCATTCAGTTTGCAGCTATCTATCTACTTTACCTTCATTTAGAGCCGTGGTAAAGATTGACATAGACATACGTGTTGGAGTGCATTCGGGATGTGTGTTTGCGGGAGTTCTTGGGGCAGCGAAACTGCAATATGACATTTGGGGTAAGCAGAAATTGAGATCGATCACTCGTTGCATTTGGTTCATATTTTATTCTTTTTTATTTTATTCATATTTTATTCTTCACTATTAGGTACTGATGTATTAATAGCGAACCGGTTGGAGGCGACCGGAATGCCTGGTCAAATTCATGTTAGCGAAAGAACTCTCAAAATGATTGGAGATTCGTATGAAGTATCTCCGGGAACTGAAGTCGCCCGTAAAGATCCTTATTTTCTGAAGTACAATATTATCACTCACATCATAAGTAAAATGAATGAGACAGAAAATTACAGTGACTTGAAAGAAGTATCCAAAGATTCATTATCTGTGACAAGCCGAAATAATGATGATCCTGAGCTATCAGTAAATGAAGAATTAGCAAAAATTCCGCTTGGTCCCTCAGGGTAAGAGGTATTATTTGGTTAACTGTATTACGAAATAATCTTTTTTCTGTGTACCCAAACAGAATCTCAACTTTATTTAAGAAAATTGTTAGCTTAGGAACTTATAAAGAACCGAAGCATTCAGAAATCGGAGCTTTTCTCTTACATTTTCGTGATCCTCCGCTGGAATATAAATATTTAAACCAACCTGATTATATGCTGAAGTACAGTGTACTCCTAGGTTGGTTCTGCGCAGTGAGCCTGGTATATATGCAACTTGCAAATAACAAATGGAGCCGCAACAATTCGCGTATTTTCGAGATAGTCACGATATTTACCTTATCAATGCTACTCTTTTTAACTTGGTATAAGAAGATCTGCTTCTGGCGTTATTCTAAGGAATCTCACCTTTACTCCAATCTCAGTTGCTCCCTATTTCAAATAGCAGACTTTTTACAGCACAATCTCATCATGAGAATCTGTGTCTATATGTACTTCTTATTGACGTACATTCTTATTGTAGCTGCTATACTGGTGGGTAACTATCGATCCTGGCTGGATAACAGTGGACTACTATCGCTTTTCTTTGTAGAATGATTGTGATCAGGACATGTACCAATTAGCGCTTATAGAGAGTTTACTGTACCGATATGAGGTGAATAATAACCTATGCTTCCATCCGTGGCAACTCTCCACTATGGTGTGCCTCATCCTGATCCTGAGTATTATATTTACGCGCATTCCTTTCGTTATGAAAATCATTGTTAGCTTATTAGTAACCGTCAGCTATTTGAGCGTCTCCTTTTATCAATATGACAGCGTATTCCTTGCTAGCACGCCAACCAATCCGTTTTTTCCAACCAAATACGGACACTTCATTTTGATTGTAACAACTTTGCTTATTATGTATGCCAAGGAGCGGCAGGCTGAGTTTAATAACAAAATCAATTACAGGTGAGTAGGAATCAAATCGGAAAACCGGCCGCCTTTTGAAAATGTTTTATTTAGATGGAGTGAAGAGCTGAAAAGAAAACAGGATGAAGCCCGCATAACCAATCAGTCTATAACTATTCTGCTACATAACATTTTACCGGCCCATGTTGGTAGGCGTGTTGATTACTTGATATGCAATAATAATACTTAAGAGCATTATCTCTATTGGTTTATGCAGTCAACGTCTATCTGACATCGGTAGCCAAGCACGAGCTCTACTATGAAAACTACGAAATGGTGGCGGTCATGTTCGCATCGCTTAAAAACTTTGAGTTGACGTTGTCCAATTTGGGTGTTCTCAACGAGATTGTCTTCGAATTTGACCAAATCGTAAGAGCAGTAAAATGCCTTTCTAATCCTCAAGATCTTATTTTCCTACTGTAGTTGTCCTATTATAGAGATGATAATATAGTTGAAAAGATCAAAATTGTTGGCAGCACATATATGGCAGCCTGCGGGTTGAATGTACAGAATTCCTCGCTCATCAATGTACACTCTGAGACGTACGATTCTGTTATCCGAGAGCGTAAGTGGCTAGGCTAATAGGTCTATTAATAATATACATATTTTTGTATTACAGTCATGAAGGCACGTCGCTCGTTGGAAACGTACAGAAAGGGTAATTATTCAATTGCCGAGAAAAGGGAGGAGGTGGTCTTGGTGCTAACCACATTTGCATTGGACCTAATGAGAACGCTTTGGGTGTGCAACAATAATTACCAGAACGTTTCAATCGATCATGGTGTATTTAATGCCGACATGAGCATTGGAATATCCAGTGGAGAGGTGATGGCCGGGGTGGTGGGCGCCTCGCAGGTACACTACGATATTTGGGGCAACGCTGTGAACTTGGCCTCGCGAATGGACTCCACCGGCGTCGCTGGAGAAATACAAGTAACCAAAGAAACGGCCCTTATACTATTCAAATATGGGATAGAATGTAATTACCGCGGCATGACCTTCGTCAAGGGCCGAGGCAATCTGCCGACCTATTTCGTAGGCATCAGCAATCACTTCGAATTCCTGTACTTAAAGGATAGGATTGCGGCAACGTTTAGTTCAGAGTCAAACGTTAGTGATGTTTAGTAGTGTTATCAGATAGGGAAAATCAAGTACTAAAGTATTGTCGTCTAAGCTAGCAGTCAATATAAGTTCCAGCAGGCGTCCAATGTTTGTATATATAGATTTCTAATTCAAATTGTAGAGTGTTTAAAGCAGCGCACCTGTCTCGAAACTAATGACTCCAAATTTGACGTACCTGCTGTCGCCATCAAGTTCTTAAATCATTAAGTTGTTTACTAAGTTGATGGCTACGGCTACGGCGTTATGTATTAGAGATAAATACACTACAAGAAATGAAAAAACTGTCGAACGATTGCATAAATTGAATCATAAATAAGGATTAGAATGAAACCCACAGGAGCGGGCGAATGGGAGCCCATTTATTTAATTATTATTTAATGGGAAATTGATCGATTGTGGTAGATGGTTATCTGGCATCTTGGAAACGGATAACATGAAATAACATTGTTCACTGTTCGCTTTAGCTAAGGTGTGACCCATCGAACGAATCCCAGATATTCTTAATACAGATATAATTAGCCCAAGTTCCTCAACTTATTCCTTGCATCTACAGACATGAGTAAGCTCTTTTAAGAGCAACAATTGAAGACATTAATAGTTTTACTTGAACTGCTATAGATGACGGATGTGCTACGCTTGTCATAAGTATCATTTTGTCTTTGCTGTAAGACAGCTAGTCTGTTGTCCTTCATTCCGGCACACAGAAAACAGCCGACTCTAGTATAAACCATGATTTAAATAAGCAAATTTGTTGTAATAAAAGAGTGAACATCTACATCAAATTTTTAGCAAATAAATCGGGATCGCCCATTTAATTTAATTTTTCTACATGCAGCTATTGCAGTATTACCCAATGACTTTATCAAGCATCCTTTTTCATTGGCATCGAAAATTCTCCTTCGGTGTCCAATCACCAATGATTGAAGCAGCTCTGGATCTTATGAAATGCTACTGTATAGCCCTTACTTTAATATAAATTTATAAATAAATGTAATGCTCGTTACTGAAGCGTAGATTCAGTTGAAAGTGCGAAAAGCGGCTTACAACATGCAGAAGGCAAACCATTCCAGTGGCGACCCAAAAGGAGAAACTATTAGAAAGCGGGAACCATGTAGTTTGCAAGTGATCTAAGGGAAAGTTACGCGGAGTTTTCGAGTCCGACTTGGGTAAGGAAAATGAGTTACAGGTCAATGGAGTCGTCTTTCTCGATACTTCGTTATTAAGCAGTAAACAAGAGTGCTTTAGTCAGGACTGCCCGATTATGTGATACTCTAAACCCACAGAGTTTACTGTGTGAAAAATTATTTAACAGTCACTCTTCAATTGAAACCGAAGAAAATTAACAAACAACTCTATCGCGAGACACCACAATACAACCAATGTGTAGACCACAAGATCGAACAACTGCAAATTGTAGGCCTTAGAACATCAGAAGCTAGCATAAAAAGTATTTTTGACACACAGCAGCGCTTTCAGAGTTTGAGTTTGAATAAACATGGTAAGCCCTTGATAGGACAATAATGTGCCATTATCCCAAAAGAGAGTTCAATACAATGCTGTTCGAAATAAACCTGAATTTGTACAGAACTCTACACGGTCAGATACGATATATAATATAATTATTCGCCGATTTGCAGAGGATCTTAAGTCTTGATTTTTAGGTATGTAGCTCTAAAGCTGCGGAAGATAGATAGATTTATCTGATTTTCGCTAAGTTACTCTTTCACTTCATGAATAAATGCTTGAATTTTATGTTCGGTAAACAATTACGTACAGTTATTCTTGCAAATGTATCATTCTTGCTGTTTATTATTTCAGCTGGAAGTAAAATAGTGGATTTCGAAGTTGAGCGCGAAGTGTTAAGTCGAAAGTACGGTCACGTAAGCGCAAAGCCACCGTCAAAAACGCAGAAATGAGTACCTTTAACGCACAAACGCGTACGTAACGCAAATAGAGTGGACTGACGCAAAAATGAGCACACAATGCATATAAGTAATGCTTTCCAGCACTGCAGTGTGTTGTTTTTCGTTCATTTCATAGTGGATTTAAACAGCATTTAGTAAAGCGTTTGGATGCTTTTTGGCTAACATAGATCTCAAAAATATATACAATATATTTGAAATTTCGTCTACTATCAGGGGAACATTGAAACGCATTACGTATAAACATTAAAATCAACTCTTATTCGACGGCGATAACAAAATTTCAAGCCATCCAAGCAAAGGTAAATGTGAAACAAAAAAATCTTCAGCTGCTGACATGCTTGGCAACAATGTGGCATTTTGGTAAATCCGTTTCGGTTACGTGTGCTGTGATCGCGCTCTGCTGCTGTACTTGGTCAGCGCCAAATTTTCGGCTGCGATGGCTCATGCTGTTTCTGCCGTCTTCAAACCTGTCCCAACTGCATCGTGCTTGCGGCCTTCCCACCCCTAACCCGTGTCCATCGCCCTAGCAATGAAAACTGAAAACTACTTGCAGCCAGCAGCAACAGCAGCAGGATTTCGCCTTGTTTTTTTCAGCCAGTCTGCGGCCACAACATCACTCTTTGTTACGTATTGCGTTCCGTTTACATACATAAGTACATGCATGCGCATGCAAGCAGTCTTCGATATGGTTTTGCAATTTCTATGTATGTACATATATCCACTTTGTGCCTTGGTCAATTTTGTTTTTCTCTTGTATTTACAGAGTGAAATTCATGCGGTGCAAATCGAAGACACCGCAGTCCACATCCACGGCCATAGCTAGAGACTCCGCGCGCTGGCAATTTTGTGCTATCCAAAAATATTTGTATATATAAAATGGAATCTGCTCTGGACGTTTTATCCCGAGCGGCCACCATGGTACAAAACAATTCAAGCGGTGAGTGCCCGACCGACATTTGGTCGACTGTTGTTCAGTTAGTTATAGCTAATATCTAAACCTGCCTCCCATTAACCAATTCCGTATAAACAGTGGCAACCAGGCTTACTTTTTGACGATGTTACTTTAATGGTCGTGACACCGACTGACACCGGGTCTTGTTTTATATAATTTTGGTCTCGTCTGTGCGCCTCCTCATATCTAATGGGTTTCACCTTTCCACTCGCGTCCTATAAGCTTGAAAGAATTTATAAAGCAATGTGTTCTCTGACACTTCAGTGAATATGTATATGTATGTGTGTGTATATGTATGTAGTGTAGGCAGTTCTCTTTAAGTTTCTATGTTCAAGTTGTAGTTACATCGCTCGACATTGCTCTTTCCTCCTACAGAATGAATCATAGCCTAAGAAATTTGCACCTGAAGTGAATATGTTGCAACCCAAGCTCCCAAGATATTTCTTTACTCTGCCGTATATGTTTATGTATTTGTATGTGCATACACATAAGCAAATGCACACGCACATTTATTGCGTATCACGACCAAACTGAAAATAAAACATTCCAATAAAATGAGTTGGTGGCGCATTCCGATTCCGATTTTCATAAATGTGTCAAATGCCGCATTTTTGAAAACGACGTCGACGACGAGGCAAACTCTCTGTGCCCCGCGTGCGGGCGTTATCAATAGTTGACGACCAGACGAGCACGAATCGGACGTTTTATGTATGTAGCTATATGTATATACATGAATATTTATATATATGTCTGTTTAAGTATTGCAAATTTTTGTATTGGCCACATACACATAGCTTGCATATGTTTGTACGTATTTGCCATTTCAACTTGTATTATCCGCGCCTCCCCCCATCAAATGCGTGACATGCCACAGTAATACGCGCGCCAACCAATTGGTTATATGTAATAAATCATAGACAGAGACACAGATATAGTATGTAAGCTAAACAATTGCTGTTTGCTTGTCATTCCATTCTTTTCTGTATTTCTGATTAGGGTTAGTTTGCGTAGGCTTCCCACAGCTTCCCCGAAAAGCAGAAATATTGTGATGAAGTGCCTCCGCGACTTATTTATATACATATGCCTGTTTGTATTTGTCCATTCGTGTTTTCTTTATCAACATATCCATATATATTTGACAAATTCCTGCCCAAACATATACATACGTTCCGGCTGTTAACGAACGGAATTTATTTATTAAATATATGCGTTATACACATATATTTTGTGTACATGAGTGTATATAGAAGCTCGCAATAACAATTCTGAAATAAAAAGTGTAAACTTTTCAAAACAATTGGGTAATACGCCAAGCTTCGTCACATGTCAGCAATTGTGTTGCCCCTGGTTCATACGTATAAGCGGGCCCTTTAGCTTTTGGCGGTGTCTGTGGCTGTGTCTGTGTCGTCACACAGTTTGATTGATCAGCCAAATTGGAAATACAAAATGTCGTTAACCTGGCTATGATTAATGAATTTGTCATAATCGAAATACGCATTTGAGTTCTTTAATAAATCACACGTGACTGTGCCTGGCTGCCCTATGGTAACCAAGAAAAGCGGGTCGATTATGTTTATGGCCAAGTCGTTAATTAAGCTGGCGGCACTTATGGCTGTGATTTCTGAATAAAGCACTAGACAGCTGCTGTCAGCTGATGTATGCACTATGTGTGCCCATAATTAATAAACAAATAGTCGCCACAGCAATTGTGCAGTTCAAACAAGCAAAAAACAGAATTGAGGGAGCTCTCTAAGACGAGCGCTCACCAGGCACAGCTGGATAGCTCGATAGCTAGATAGCTAGATAGCTAGATAGCTGTATAGCTGGAGCTCATCAAGTAATTTACATGGCCTTTCAATTTTCCATTGCCAGTTGCCAAACACTCTCTTCCTTTTACTAGCAAGCGGCACGCAAACTCGCCGTGCTTCTCGACCATAAGAAACAGGTCTCTAATCGGTGCACAGTTCCCAGTCGGCCAGATGACCGTCCGCCTTTCTTTTTGCTCTCGATCCTGTTGCTATTTATGTTTTAGCATTGGACCACCAATTTCGAGTTGGTCTTGATAACTGCTACTATAAACTTTATTTAGTCAGATCAAGCTTAAGCTAATTTTCGTAATTCGACATTATTTGCCGTGTATCTCCACAAGTTTGGTCAGAATCGTATTGCCATTTTCTCACGCTAGATTTAATGCCGGATGATATTTTCGAATGACAACTATATTTATGTTTCTTTTTGTTTTTTTTTTTTTTGCTGTTGGCATGTCTGTTCTGTTGTTGATTTGAGCCAATAGCCAAACAGGTTTTTAAACTGCGCGCACTCTCGCGCTTTATTTAAATTTTGAACTCGTTTCTCCTGATTTATATTGCTTTTCTGCTAATACAGCAGAAGCAAAGAAATTAGAACTTCCAGATATGAGAATATTTCACAAAGTATTAATATTTATATTGAACTTTGGTTGTGCGAATGCATTGATCTCCAGGCTTCCGCAGATCTAAAGAACCTTCTATACATCCCAAGCAACCCGAAAGTAGACATAGGCTCGCCGGAAATCACCTTTTAAATCGAAGCCTATGTTTCAGAGTGGCGAATTTATGTACATACAAACATATAAATATTTGTAGGCAACCTTTTGAATTTAGAAGAATAAGATAAGATATTCTTTACCGTTTCATTTGCCTTGATCTAGAAATTTGCTGTCAGCTTAATATTCGCTTGTGACTCAATGAGAACTTTTATTCAGTTTCCGTGGCCTCAACTTTAACTATTTGACCCATTTGCTGGGCGAGTTGCGGATATTGTTATTGTTGTTGTTGTTGTTATTATTATTATTTTGCATTGCTCTCGTTGGAGCTTCTCAGATTTCTACACTAATTTCTAAATGAAATACTGCATACATCATCAGCCAACAAGCAACACCATATTTT